GAAACCCGATAAGGATGAAGATTTTATTTATAACCCTGGATAGAAATGGAGGACAGAGGGATATTAAAAAGTCAAGGAGACAAAACCCGTGACCCACCATGTTTTATTGTCATGTCTAGTTTTGTGGAGCTCGTTGACTAAGGTAGACTTGACGAGGTGAGGTGGGATAGGTTTTCCCTCCCCACCCCGACTTTTTAATTGTCCTCGTCTTGATACTTGTCGAAATTAGAAATTAAGTCTTTATTCTTATTTTTGTTGCGTTTTGAGTTTTTCCGTCTCATTTTTACTTTACATTATTTTAAAAAAATAATTATACTTATAATAAATTAATTTTAATATATTTTTATTTTTATGAATAAATAAATATTTATAATTTTGTAATTATTATTAATTAAATATATATTTTAATTTATCATATTTATATTAAAAAATATATGTAAAAGAAATATTTAATATTTTTTTATACATTTGTCAAATACTTATTATATTATTATTATTATTATATTATTATTATTATTATTATTATTATTATACTTGAATTCAAATATTTTATTACGTGTATATATAAGTTAAATCTCATTTATAAAAAAATATTTAATAAGTTAATTATTATTTAATTAATTCAAAGTAATAAAAAAATGTAATTATTAATTTTTTTAATATTTTAAAATATAATTATTTTATTAAGATAAAATTGGATTGATGACAAATAAAAATAATAAGATAAAAAAATATGACATAATAAAATCTAATAAAGATAAATTATAAATAAAATAATAATATTAGTTACTACTGATTTTTATATAAAATATTTAGAACAAAATTAAGAAAAAGAAAAATTAACTTAGCATTAATCAAATTAGTTGAAAAAATAGAAAAAATTAAATTGATTAGAAATATTAAGAAAATGTGAGTAAGTGAAAGATAAGAAAAAGATAATAATATAATAAATTAATTAATATAAAAGAATAAAATAAATAAAATAATGAACAAATAAGTAAAAGAAAAATAAAAATTATTAAATATATAAAAAATGACATTATATATAATAATAATTTTTTTTTAATATTAATATTTAAAATTTTTATTTAAATATAAAATCGAATGTTTTTTCACCATTCTTTGTCAAAAAAATTCTAATTTTATTGATAGGGATCGAAAATTTTAATTTTTTCCAAAATGGATTAAATCATGTCAGGTGAAACGATTTTGGGATGATAAAATTGTACTTGTAAACACACTTTTGACTGAAATCGTACTTGGAAAACACGATTTCAATGTTATTATTTAAAAAAAAAAAACGTGTTTGGTAGCATGAGTTCACTATAATGGTATTTATATTGAACTCGTGCTACCTAGCTCGAGTTTTTCACAATTTTAAAATATATACTATTTTCGTGTTCATAAAATGGAATCATGGTATCACTTCAGCGTATGGACATGGGAAGGAAATTGAGTGAGGATAATTCCTAATGGTTATTATGTTAACACTAGAGGTAGGACTTCACATAAATGACTAATTGTGAAAAGATAGAGACTGAACAAAATATAAGGATTGGAGAGAAAACTGCAGAGAATATGTTGAGTCTTCATTGAAGTGCAAACTCGGTTTGGTTAATATTAGGGTATGATAACCTCTTTTCTCATTATTATTAATAGTTCTGTTAGGTTGTGTAATAGGTGGAGACATAATTATTACCGTATTGTTTGGATTAGCATAACTACCACATAATAACTAATGTTATTGTTACATTAGGGGAAATGATAGTGGTAATGAGTTCACATTGTTAGATTTCACCTGACATTTAGTAGCAACTCTTTTAATCTCTCTTGTCTCTTGACCTATGTTTCAACTTTTACCTTTAAGAAATTTTCTAAAACATGATAAGAGAAACTTCTTTTTTCTAAAAAATCAAAATCAAAATCGTGTTTAGAAACACAATTTCAAAATTTTATTCTCAAAATCATATAATCTTAATTTAACCCATTTTTAAAAAAATTAAAATTTTCGACCCATTGGTAAAATCAAATTTTTTTGACCATAGTGAAAAAGCCAAAATCAAACTACACCCATATTACCTATTTCCTATCCTAACTTTTTAAAATGAAAAACACCAGAATCTATCTAATCTCAAATTGATACATCAAACTAAAAAAAAAAAACAAATCCATCATTACGAATACGAATTTAGCTAAAGATAACCCTGAACTTCTAAATAAAGACAATGTTCATACATACCAATATTTTCCTTTTACTATAAAGATAAAAAGCTTAATATTTATTAATCATGGAAATAAAGGCCCTGCTGACCTATAAAATTCCACTTCTGCCCTTTCAACCTGCATTGGCAATACCAAACAAAACCCAACAGAATAAAATGGGGTCAAATGAAGGAATATGGAAATGAAACTTTGGCTTTTAGGATATTATTCATCGTTGTTGTACTTTATCTTTCCGTTTCTACAATACAAAATTGAAAGCAAAAGAGGTTCTGGTTGTTGTGGATGTGGACTACATTTACTCTTTGAAAAATCCATATTCAAAAGTTGAGAATTGAAATAATTGTGCTTTGGGCTGAGTTAAAGTTTGATTTGATTTGGAGCAATTTGCAAAGCAAAAGCTCACAGTAATTGTGTTTCGTAGTATTTTAATTTTCCTCTCTGTGCTTTCCCTCTCAGGTGCCACCAAAATATTTTGGCTTTAAGGAAAACACGATTCATGTGTGTTTAAACCATAGTAAGATTCATAGATAAACATCTCCAAAACGTGAGTTAATTACATACTTAAATAAAGTATTAATCATTTAAAATAATTTTTTATTTAATGAATCTTACGTGATATAATAAGATGTTTAAATTATTTTTATAATTATTTTACCAAGTAATTTATTAAAGTAAACAAATAAAAAACGAAGAGTGAATAGAAGAAAATATGAGTTAAAAAAATTATTTTTTAAATAAAACAAAACCAATAATAAATTATTTAAAAATAATATGATATGATGAATCTTTATTTTAAGAAGCAATTCAATTTCATTGAAAAAACCTTGAAGCCTTTACGACAGTTGATTTATTGATAAAATATATCCAGGTATTTGTTATATCTATTTCTTAAATTTGTTACTATTAAAATAAAATAATATATTATTTTTCTATAAGTGACACTGTAAAAATTACTCGACATAATATTTAATGTGCTAAAAAATCTAAATAAATTTCTCCATTTCGATGTAAATATATTTGATTTTAAAATATATGAAATTTAAAATTAGATTACACTGATAAAATAAGTATTAATTTTCATTATTTTTAATACATTTATTAATTTCTATTAAAAATTGTATCATTTTAATATTTTTAATTGAAATAATTTAAAAAAACTTTTTTTTATTATAATTAATATAATTAAAAATAAATATGTTTGATAAAAGGATACGTAATATAATCTGATATTTTAAATAGTCGTATATTTAAAAATAAAATTTTCTGAAAAAAATAGGCTTTAAGTATTGGAGTCCGCATCTTCATTAATGTGCTCCAACTTGTATTGTTGCTTTTACTGATAGGAAATAAGACAAGAGGGGTCTAAAATCGCTTAAAAAACGCGAAAATTTTGGAACAATATAATTGCTTTTGCTTTTTTACGAATAAATTATATAATTTGTGCATCTATCTCAACACGGAAGTTCAGTCGATTTTGACCACGCTACTTTCAAACATCTATTATATATACATAAATATATATTACTGGAGTTCTGTTTGTGTGCTGAAACATATTTTATCTAAATTAATGTAGAATAAATTATGTCTTTAGTTAACGTAGTTTTAACCAAATTTAATTTTGGTACTGTTTCTCATGAATATAAGAATACGACATTAAGATAATTTTTATATATTTTTTGAGAATTTATTAAAAATAAAATTATAATAAATTAAATTTTTAAAAGAAATAATATTTTGAATATGATAATAAACGGAATTGAAATACTCTTATTTTTAGATAAAATAAATTTGAATTATTTTAAATTAATAAATTTAATATCTCTTTTAATTTCATAAAAGTTAAAAATCGTCAACAAATATAAAATGTAAGGAATTATTTTAAATTAATAAATTCAATCTTCCTTTTAATTTAATGAAAGTTGAAAATCGTCAATAAATATCAAATATAAGAATAAAGAGAGATTAAATTTTTATATTTTAAAAAATTATAAGATTAAAATCATAATTTTTTTTATAAAGCAAATAAATTACATTGTTTTCTAAATATGAAATAATAACATTTATTTACATCTTTTTTAAAAGTGTCATAAATATTAACTAGAGTCTTACTAAAAATACAAATTAATATTTTTTAATTTTAAAGGAAGAAAACATTTTTTTTTCTAAAAAAAAACTGCTGGCTTTATCGAAAAAAAAAAACGTATTTATGCTAAAATAGTAAAACTGTGCTTTTGTTATTATGTTAAAACTGCTGGTTTAAATAGCAGTGAAACGAGTTTTCAGTGCATTTGTTTTGACCAGAAAAGAAACTTCCGAAACTAAAAAAAATGTTAAAATAAAAAACAAAGGCGTGCGAAGGACGCACATGATTATGTAACATGTACATGTAGTGTTAGTTTATAAACGTAGGAGGATGAAGTTCTGTTGGTTTCCGTTGAATTAAACGAACAAAACATTAATAAAAGCAAATGATGGACACAGAATAGAATCACAACTTTACGTAATCCGTAGTTGAAAAACTCCAAATTCTCTGTTCTCTGCTGTTATCTTCCCTCTCCCAAACCAAACTTCATTACAAATAACGTTCTCTCTTCAATTGCAATGATAAAAAACCTCGTCTTCCTCAACCTTCCAATTCACACGCTTTTGTCTTGTTAGTGTAATTTTCATTCCCTTTTCTCTTCTTCTGGACACATATTACACATACGTACATATATACGTACATAGTAAGATATATATATATATATATATAGTAACAAATATTAATTACGATACAAATGGCGGCTGCGGCTGCGGATTTGGCAATCTCCGTCTGGTTGTTGGTGGCGGCGGCGGCGGTTGCTGCCGGATCGCCGGCCACTCTGACACTGGAAAGAGCGTTTCCAACGAATCATGGAGTGGAGTTGAATCAGCTGAGAGCTCGCGACGAGCTGAGGCATCGCAGAATGTTGCAGTCTTCAAACGGCGTGGTAGATTTTTCTGTCCAAGGCACCTACGATCCCTTCCAAGTCGGGTAAATTATTTCTGGTTCTTCTGTTTTCACTTTTCACTTTTTTTGGCTTTATTTTTTTGGTTTCGTGTAGTTGAATCAACTTCAGAGGCTTTTGGATTTGTGTTGGATTTTGAGTGAATGCTTTTCTGTTCATATCGAATTGATTCGCTATTTTACTTTTGATTAATTTGTGGCCTTCCTTTGAATTATGTAGTAATTGTTTGAGTTTTTGAAATTTGGAATTAATGGCTTATTGCAGGCTCTACTTTACAAAGGTACAGTTGGGTACTCCTCCAGTGGAATTTAATGTGCAGATTGACACTGGCAGTGATGTCCTCTGGGTTAGTTGTAACTCCTGCAGTGGTTGTCCTCAAACAAGTGGGCTTCAGGTATGTGTAATTTTTTCTATTTATCAAGATTCTGCTTCAATAAACTTCTTATAAAACGCTTGTAATAGAAGAAAAATAAGAATTTTAAGTGAATTAAGTTTCTCTGAAGTTTAAATTAGTTTATCTAAACTATTTCATTGAGCTTCTTGTTGATTTTAATTTCTAGATAAACTCATTTTGACATGTGGCGCAACTTCGTTCATTTTACATATTTATTTTAGTGTGGAAGTACTTGTTGAGAAATTTTATATGACCTAATTTGATGTTATCAGTTATGTTTGTAGAATAGTAAGGTCAACAAAATACACCACCTACAATTTGTGAATATCGTGGTTGTTGGATTTTGTTACAGATACAGCTAAATTTTTTTGACCCCGGGAGTTCATCAACATCTTCACTGATCGCTTGTTCTGACCAAAGGTGCAGTAGTGGGATACAATCATCAGATGCCAGCTGTTCCAGTCAGAACAACCGGTGCTCATACACTTTCCAGTATGGAGATGGCAGTGGGACATCAGGCTATTATGTGTCAGATATGATGCATTTGAACACTATTTTTGAGGGATCTGTGACCACTAATTCTACAGCGCCTGTTGTTTTTGGGTGAGCTTCATTAGCCTGAAATATACTATTTCTGTTTTTTCATGTTTGTTAATTTAATCTTGGGAATTGTTGATTTGTGAATGGAACAGTTGTAGCAACCAGCAGACTGGGGACTTGACAAAGTCTGATAGAGCAGTTGATGGAATATTTGGATTTGGGCAACAGGAATTGTCTGTCATCTCCCAGCTCTCCTCACAAGGGATAGCTCCAAGAGTATTCTCCCACTGTCTGAAAGGAGATAGCAGTGGAGGGGGTATATTGGTTCTTGGTGAGATTGTGGAGCCAAACATTGTTTACAGCTCACTTGTTCCATCACAGTAAGTTCCTTTCATCAGGAAAAAACGTATTTTCTGTTTGTTGAATAATATTTGCATGATGGGGATAATCCAAATTCTTTGGTACAAGTAGTCAGTGAATGGAGGTTTGTGGTTTTGTACTAGGGAGCCTGATAGAATGTCTGCATAAAACTTTCAGCTGTAACTGATTGATAGCAGCAGATATTTAATACTGGAAGTCTTTCTGCGATCTAGGCCTCCGATTATTCATCTAAGCAAGATTTAAAATGAACTTTCTGTCTGTCAATCTAGAATGTCGCAATGGCTTTCTGGCCTACAGGTTTGGAAGGTGATTGTGATGAGTGAAATATTCATATGAAGATATAGAGTTGGCACCAAATTATGTCTATGAAACTATGGATAGTATGTTAGGATTTTGTCATCTACTCAGGTGAGGGCTCTTGGAATAGTGCCTTGTGCCAGGTTGATGATAAGTTTAGTCAGTGGTTGATTAGGTGGTCATTTCTATCAGGAAAAGGTTAAACTTCAAAGAACCCAGAAGGAAATATATTCTACCGTGAGCCAGAGTAAGATGTAGATTCATTATTGTATATTCAGAATTTTGTACAGAAGTTGGATAAAGAACTGGGAAATTTAAACACATTACTGACAATAGGTATCTGTACTGAGGTGGCTTGAAAGAATGTGCCTCTATAGAAGTGTTTATTTAGACTAACTCGTTCCTTTGCAAATATTTCAGGCCTCATTACAATTTAAATCTACAGAGCATCTCTGTCAATGGCCAAACATTGCAAATTGATTCATCAGTTTTTGCAACATCAAACAACAGAGGTACAATTGTTGATTCTGGAACAACTTTGGCGTACCTTGCTGAAGAGGCTTATGATCCCTTTGTCAATGCGGTGAGTTTCATTTAGGTAATTTCATGAATTCAGTTTATCAACATGTTGCTTTTATGTTTATTGTCTTGCAATAGTTAGCAATCATTGCATGCTTTTTGCTAGGTTGGAGGTTTATCAAATATTGATGATAAAAATGCGCTTTTTCATTAATGCAGATTACAGCTACAATTCCACAATCTGTACGCACTGTCGTTTCCAAGGGAAATCAGTGTTACTTAATCACCACTAGGTTAGGCTGAGTATTTCATGCCTCCCTTTTTGGACTTTTTTGTTGTTGTTCCCAGCTCATCCTCTTGGTTATTGGGTTCTAAAAATTGGATCATCTTGATAGTTTCTTTTTCTAACTCCTTTTTAATGTAATGTGTTTAGTGTCACTGACGTTTTTCCTCAAGTAAGTCTGAACTTTGCTGGTGGGGCATCTATGCTTTTAAGACCACAGGATTACCTGATACAGCAGAATTCTATTGTAAGTATTCAAACTTCAATTGCTATTTCTTCGATTTTCTAGGTTTTGATAACAAGATTTCCAACGATATTGATTTCATGTCAGAGTGAGTTACAATTTTTGTTTCTATGGGCGCCTTGTATGCATTATGTCAATTTCCTAGATTACTTCTCAAGTTCTTGTATAGAACTAAAAGTTTCTTATACCATATAGATATACTTAAATTATCTTCCAGTACAACGAGCTTCTTTTGCACTTTCACTATATTTGGTTAAATATCACCATTCTTATGCCTTGCTAACTCATGTTTGAGTGCATTATCAGTAAAAGATAAAATAAAATAAAAATTGCCTATAAACGACACATCCCTCGTAATTCTCTTTACATTCTTTTTTCAATTGAAATCGGATACCTAAAAGTTTGGAGAACATTTTAGGCATGTATCATACAGGGTAAATTCATGGAAATTGCTGATAGTTTTGATTACGTGCATTTGTTCTTCACCTACACCTTACCACTTTGTAATGTCCAACTTTTATATACTGTATGTGATCTCACTAAATGGTGAACCTATGCATGTTACAGGGTGGTGCAGCAGTGTGGTGTATTGGCTTTCAGAAAATCCAGGGTCAAGGAGTAACAATTCTAGGAGGTATACTACAGTAATACCAATTTGAAATTTTTAGGTCCTGTATCCATCGCTTGTATGGTGATATCCAGCATGGATAAATGGAATAATTTTTGCATTTGATTAACTCAAAAGTTTGAAGCTTGAGCCTATATTAGAAAGAAATTGTTATATTGATCAGATTTTTCTGCTCACTTATAGCAAAGTATCATAGTACAATCCCCTCCAGTCTTACCTTCTTCCCCCACCTTGTTCTCACTACCATTGTTGGGGATTAAAACTGCGAGAATATCAATTCCAATTATTTGTTTCTTGTACATAAACACTACTAGGATATTTTCTTCAAGAGTATGATACTAACATCATTTTCTGTTGTGGCAGATCTCGTATTAAAAGACAAAATTGTTGTTTATGATCTGGCTGGTCAACGCATTGGATGGGTTAACTATGACTGTAAGTTTAAGCCACACTACCACATAATTTACGTTTTTCACGAGGCTCTTAAGTTCTTGCTTTTCCAATCAACCAAGAATTTTCGTTTTGTTCTTCTGAGTGTGGGACCAGCATAAAAACAAGATCCAACTTTGTTTTAACACCAGTTTCTGATGCTGTTCTTTCAAATTCAACAATGTAGGTTCTTTGTCAGTGAATGTCTCTGCATCAACTGGCACTGGCAGAAGTGAATTCGTGAATGCTGGAGAATTAGGTGGAAGCATTTCTTTACGTGATGGACTTCAGTTGACGAAGACAGGGTTCTTGGCTTTCTTTGTGCATCTAACACTAATTTACTGCCTTGGATTCTTATAGCATTTATACATTGTAAGAGACATTCTTTTTCCTATGTATATTCTTTTGCCGGTATATATTTGTGACAATCGGCAAGACCACATTAATTTGAATGATGTTTGTGCCTCCTGTCTGCACAATAGGCTTGTCCAGTTTATACTCAGGTTATTCCGTTATCATATAGAATCAGATGATTATTCTTTACTTTTGGCAGTGTTGTAAATTACTTCATAGGATTACTGTTTGAAATGCATACACACGTTATAAAATATAGCTTTTTCTTCCCCTGCTTTGATTGAGCTTTTAGTTTCTGCTTATGATCAATGTTGTTGATGAAAGCTGATATTTTAACCATTAAGTTAATCTGAATAGGGCCAAAATAGCAAAAAATTGTGATTAATCAAAATACATGAGATTCTCCCAAGGATAACAATTAACAGGTCCCCAACCTCAAATGGGGCATGCCCAGTTAGTCATGAATTACAGAACAGAATAATGTATTGACTTTTCCAACAGATAAAATTAACTTCTTCACAAATTAAAATTATTTTATATATAGGTTAAAAATAAATTTTAGAAAAAGTAAATAAGATAATTTCTACCAATTAACTTACACAAATTAATTTTAATTTTGTAAAAAAATATTTTTTTTCTTGTATTTTACGAGAAAGTTTGGTTGAATTGAACACATCTAAACCCTACCTGAAAAAACAGAACCATTTTAACAAAACTGCGATGAACCATTTTCTTAAATGGGTTCGGTATTTGAAATCTTGCAGGGCCCATTTCAATGTCAATTTTAGTTAGTATTGTAAGAATAATATCAAATCATGCGCGCGGGTTTTTCTCATTCATGAGTCTGTTCGCATAGTTATGGGTTTAATCCTAATTTGCTCAATTCCATTATTTCTTGCTTCTTTTAATTAAAAGTTAAATAAAAAAACGTGAGAAAAATAAAAAACAAGTGAGTAAAAAAATATGATTTTTATAGATGGTTATAAAAGGTAAAAAAAGAAAAATTTATAATAAAAAATGTATTTTGATAATTACTAATATATATTTTTTATTATTTTCATAATTAGTACTGATTTTTTGCTTATATAATAAGAAATAATTTGAAAGTTTTTATTTATTTATTCAATTTAAGAAAAAATCATTAGTTTATTACGAGGCACACATTGAATTTTCATTAACTTAGTACTATTAAAAATATTATTTGATAAAGTTTACAAATGTGTTAATAGTCCCCTTCAAAAAATGTGTTAATGATAACAATCACGTAAATAACTGATTAAAATAGTTTCATTAAATATCATGAAGTATTTTCAATTAATATTTAAGTACTATTTGATCTTCGTACTTTTCTCAACCTTCTATTTTAGTTTCTATACTTAAAAATGCTTTGTGTAATTAATTTTTATATAAACAAAATTTCATGTTTTACTCCTAGTATTTTAACTTTGTGGTAGTTTTACAATGTCCGAAAAACTAAAACTAAGAATAAGTGGCATAAAACTGTTGTGTCTTATTTTTCCACTGTTGTCGTACAAAATTTCCAATTGTATTGGGCTGTTGCCCTTATTAGCCCAGGCCCAGTAAAAATATTATATTCTTTCTTCGGCTTTTACTATTTATATTCTTCCCATTTATTGAATACACTAATTTTTTTTATTTCCACAAATATATATGATATTAAAAATACAATTTTGCAGAGAAAGTATAAACCCTATTCCCAATACCTCGTCTTTATTATCCTCTGAAAGAATAAAAAAATAAATAAATAATATATATATATATATATATATATATATAGAGAGAGAGAGAGAGAGAGAGAGAGATAAACACTTTTTTTTTTATTCTCTCATTCAAGAATTGTTATTTATATAAAATGGGTTCTCAAAATATTAATTTTGTGTGTATAACGTGTGTGGGAGACAGAGAGTGAAGAGAAAGGAAGAGATAAAAATGGTGTGGAGAAGAGGTGGCATAGCCTCCTACTTCATTGGTGCGTGCTTGCTGCAAGGAAGCATGATTGCGTTGTGTTCCCCTCAAACTCTTTTTCAGGTGCATTCCGCGTAAGAAAACCAAGTCCAAATCCTTATGATTGATACTTTTCGTATTATTTATTTGTTAATACATTACACATTTCATTTTGAACATGCACCCCATTATCATCATCATCACTAACCCACACTAAATATAAGAGGACAAACCTAGTTGGTGGGTTGAACTTTAGTAGCACAATCTTGGTTAGTACTACTTTTTAATGGAACACTATAATGGCCTCATTAAGAACATGTTGGTGGAGCCATTAACTTTTTTTGGGTGTTGGTGCTTTTATTGGTTTGGTTAGTGCTGTTAGATCAGCTTGGTACTCTGCAATCCAACCTTTCATTATTTTGACCTCCTTATTTCTCTGCATCACCAACCATTCTGGATCCTTTTCTGATCTTGATTGTATGTCCAGGCAATGACACCCTGAAATTGTTTTTTATTTCATTAATTAATTAGCATTTAAATATAAAGTCATTAACTTCATCCACAAATATGTCTCTCTCGTTTTTGGTCTTAAGACCACATGCATGCACCCTCTCGTAGAATATTTGTCAATTTTTGTCTAGTCCTTATCCTGCTTTCTTAAATTTGTTTATTTGAAATAAATCCTGTTTTAAGGTTTCATTTGTTCTAGAATCTTATCTCAAAGCTTATTTTTTAATGCACTTATAAATTAATGTTGCAAACACACTTACAAAAACTAATCAATTTATGGTCTTTAATATGCATATGATAGTAAAATGCTCTTATCATGATATATAGTATTTAACTTTCTTATTTTAACACTTAGTTCCCATTATTTTCTTTATCTCTTAATTAATGAAGTTATAATCATTCACAATGGTAATAGTTTGAGAATAAGGATGTGATTGATTTTTATGTTAATGTAATTCAAGGAGGATAAAATACCATTTGCAGTGGTAACAGCAACGACACTGTTTGAAATACTCTCCAACACCCTGCGATTCATGGAGAACAAAAAGGAGGTTAATTGAAACAAGTTGGAGATTAAAAAGAAGACAAATAATGGTTTCTGAAGAAAATAATTGCTATACCCGCCAGAGCTGTACGGATCTCGCAATCCATTGGAGAATATGATGTTGCTGGCAAACCTATGGAGAATCAGTTTCAAATCCTGCATTTTGTTCCATATAAACCAAAAGCATTAATATTTTATACCTAATCATAGAAAAGAAGAAACTATGGGAACATTAATTTAAGAGAGAATTATATGGGTATGTGGATGGAACAGAATGATGATAGATAGAAGAAACTCACAGGACCCCCATAATATGTGGTCACCCAATGAGGTTGAGGAAGGACACCATATAAGCTCCTACACTCATGAACAAATCTCTTCATGTTGAAAGGTGATGGTGGGAACATTGAATCGTTCCTTTCATGACCTATTGGCATAACCATCTCGCTGCATGTCTGTTTATGAAGTTAATTAAAGATCATCCAGATAAATTTATCATGAATGTGGGTTTTAATACAAGGGATAACTGGTTTATCTACTGGTATAAAGAAATATGATGGTGAAACTTCGGAAATGTGTAAAAAAATTGAACCATGAGAAATTTACCTGCCATTTCCAACCCAGGTTAGTTTCAGTTGGATGATTATATTCATTCATGTCATAACATGAACGATTTCGCATAAAAGCAACAACACCTTTAAATATTTGGCCAAGAATGTCTGTTTTGTGAGCAGCAGCATCAATTGCTTCACATATCACCTTAACTGGCTTCTCAGAAGGGAAATTGTATTGAGCCGCGTCAGTATATAACGAGTCTAAGTAGTCCTTCAGCTCAAAACTTTTGTTCAATTTCCTGAAACAAGAAAACAAAAAAAAAGCTATATTCAATTTTTCATTAACCAGTTGGTTGAACAAGATGATCAACAATTGTGCACAAACTAAGCTTACTCGCAAGCTTTAAATCTCTTGCTCAAAATTGAAAGACCATTAGGCTTCTTGGCAACTCTGTCAATTTCAGACCATGATTTACGTATAGTTTGGTAACAGCTCTCACTAGTTTCCTGAACCAGTTACAAAGTTTTTAGTTTAATTCACATAAAACAATATTATTGTTTTTAAGAGAATATTAATATTACTTTGAAATCCTTTGTCACAATATAGTAGTATCCGGCTTGTGGGGCAATGCCATTGAAGTAAAGAATTGGTGCTGATGAAGCAAGAGCACCAATAGCAATGTGGGGATACTTTAGGCGAAACCATGATGCAAGCACTGCATAATATATTTATAAGGGAAAGTCAATTAAACCAAGCAAAATCAAAACGTAATTGAATAAACTAATATCTCTGATAAAGCCATTATTTATTGTAGTTTTTTTCTAATATAGAATTGATGATAGACAGCAATGACATGCTGCAACTGCTACTAAATATCTTGCAGAAGAGTATGACACGAATAATCTTATCTACCTGTAGTTACTCAACCAATTTCTTAAACAAGGGATTTTCTGAAGAAATGATTGTCCACCAAACAAATTTTAGTAGGGTTAGAAAAAATCAGACCTCTTACAGAGAGGATGAGAGTTAAATCTGAACTACTTATGCCAATACACATTTACTGTTACCCTTTTATTCAACTCCTGGTATATATATATATATATATATATATGAAAAAAAAGGTAATATTATATATGCAGTACTCCTTACTTCCACCATAAGAGCCTCCAATAACAATAATGGGGGAATTCTGAGCAGACAAAGTTTTCTTGACGTGTAGAAGCACAGCAGCATAATCTGCTATTGCTTGGGCAGAGTTAAAGTAGCCACGAGTACTTGCATTTCTCATAGCTTCTTCCCTTGACCCAAAAGGTATTGATTTCCCATAGTATCGATGCTGTTTGCAAACAACACACACGTAACATATATACAATTAACAACTAAAATAAGTAGTAGCTTCTTGTTACTGCAAATATTGACTATGCTTACTAAATAATGTCATCTTAATTGCATGTACACTCTTAAATTACCTCAATATAAACAATAAGAGCACTGAACTGAGGAGCGTTCTCTCTGAGAAACCCAACATAGTATATATCCTGATCCACTGGTCCTTCTGCACCAAAGAATGCAAAAATGGGTGCACTTGATTTTGCTCCACCCCAGTACTTGAAATCGATGATATATCTTTGTTGGAAAGTGTGGTAGCTGTCTGGTCTGTAGTTGAAGTGATCGAGTCTTTGGGTGTAGTAAAATGTTTTGAGCTGGTCATGATCATCTGCCAAATGTGAGGAAGAAGAACTGATCTGGGAGTCACGTTCCTTGCTTCTCCGCCACGATCCTAACCTTGGAATTTTGAAAGCGTAGACATTAACTGAGATAATTAGAAAGAACAAAGAAAACCATTGAAATGAGTGAAAAATGGTTCCCATGGCTCAATGAGTTTTGAGCGTATGTCCAGGCTTGACTCCAATGCTTTAAGGTTGTAATCTAAAGCACACACATATAGATTTTATTATTTCATCCCAAATTCGCATCAATGCTTTATGAAACATACAATTGATTATTTGATTTATAAAAAAATTAATAAATTTTAATTACTTTATATAATTTTTAACTACGTTAGTATGGAATTTTGATTCATAAAAAATTTAATAAATTTTAATTACTTTATATAATTTTTAACTACGTTATAGTATGGAATTTTGGTGATTTTGTGGATGATTAATCTTTCTAAAAATAACAATTTTAAAATGTTTTTTTAATATGATTTTATTAATTGAAATTTAGTCAAATTATCAAATTATAAATAAAAATTATAAAAAAAATGACATCAACGTAATTTTTTAATAATTTTTGTTTTTTTATAAGTGTTTGGTTCAAAGAGAATTGTCCTCTACATATTGTGGGACACTATAATATTTTTGTTTATTCGAATCAACTGTATTATTAATAATAAAATTTAATTATCAATGATAAAAATCATGATTAAAAATGTATTAAAACATATATGTTATAAGTATTAAACTAATTAATACTTTTACACTTAAAAAATTATGAATAAAACACACATATTATCAGTTTCAAATATAAAAATACATTTAAAAAGTTTGTTGATGAACACATGTCATGCATCACACAAAATTTTTAAAATGCAAAAAAAAAAAAAATTGGCACAAAATGGTGCTACTTTTCTGAATAATAGTAAACTAAGCTAAAGCTAAATGAAGCTATACTTTGTATAAAACACCTACAATGCAAGCAAAATCTTTTTTTTTTTTTCAAAACAGTATTAAGGTTCTTAATTATACTACTCTCATTAATACTCTTGTTCTTTTTAAGAGAGTTATTTATTTGTACCTTTTTTGCAATTTAATAGTATTAATGAGTAATTCACTTTTAGTCTTTTATTTTATTATAAAATGAAAGATAAAAAACAAAATAATAATCAATAAACTAATGAACCAATTCAATTAATTAGACTCTTTTAACTAATAAAATGCTATAATGCTCATTGTTTCCAATGTCATAGCCTTTTGAATATCAGTGTCTATAAAGCAATGTAAAGTTATGAAACTGATTGATACTTTTGGCAGAGAATATTATTAATAGTTTACGGATGTTAATACAAATTAGCATGAGAATATATGACTAATAAAAGAAAAAGAAATGGCACAAGATGGTGCTAGAAATATGTTGTAGCCTTCTATGAACAGATGGAAAAGCAGAAGGTGAACATAATTGCTAAGATTTTTGTAGTAATGGCAGTGCCGTGAGGGTTAAAACCTACCAAATCTACACAATGTGCATTATGCAGATAATGTTATTACACAGCAAATGAGTCCATTGATTTTATGCAGAAAAAGGTGATTTAACTATGTATGTTACTCCTTCAACGTAGGCATAATGATAGCATCCAATAACTATTATGAGGGTGAAAATCCGTGGGAAATAGTGGGCAAAAAAGGGTTTGAATTCAACACTGAAATGAAAGAACCTTGTTTAAATTGGCCGTGCTATGTAGCCAAATTTGAATGCTAAGAAGAGGTTGTTGCCTCACTCTAGCTATCACCAGAATGAACAAAGTCCCTTTTATTTTCATAGTGGTTGCACCTCCTAGTGGAAAGAAATTAAATACACCATTTTCTTTCTCTTTGGATGCATCATTGCACTTTGTTTCCATTTACTTCATATTCCCTTGGTTTTTAATGCATATTCTATCTGATTTTCATAATTTTTTTTACTAATTGTTAAATATGTAAAATAAATTAAAATAAAAAATGTGTAATTTAAAAAAAAAACACAAATAAATGGATGATTATAGCGTGTACCCAAACAAAAATATTTGAAAATCACGTGATCAACATATATATATATACTCCTGAAGCTGCGTCACCTTCCCAAACATGCACTGAGATTCTGAACATGCACTAAGAATGTTGTGAGTAACAATGATACATATGCACATACTTTAACAAATCAATTACTCTGTGGAATCAATCTAGTGGAGCCTTATGCGGTGAAAAGCTCAATTATGCTAACCGGATTAAGATCAGATTAGATTAGGTTATTAAGCTGACTTTTCTTTTTCCTGTTTTATATAAAAATGGATCAACCATATTTGGTGCTTTTATCTTTATTGCAATGATGGAAGACATTTTTGGTACTAAAGATGGTGCTTCCATGAAAACAATGAAGAAAGTGGAGGGGGAATGAGAATTACACTAGGACAAGGGAAGAAATGTGAAAAAGAATGAGAATAATTAAATTGTGCACACACACATTTGTTGGGCAATGAGATTATGAAGAAATGGGAATTTTCTGTTAAAAGATGGAACCTTTTAAGCTCCACCATTTCCATTTTGATACAATCAGAAAACAGCACCCAGTTGTAATGGTCTGAGTTCTGATGCACTTGGGGCATTGGTGACAGTGAGTGTAACTAGCAATGTGCTTTCTTAGCACCAGATGCCATTCACATGTAATTTGTAATCATGCCCACTCACCCATATGCTCTCCATAAAGAAATTCACAAGGTTTAATTTCCATACATAAATGTATAGTGGACACTCTCCATGGTTCTATAAAGTATAACATAAACAAGTGTATGTGTCAATGCACATTCTTCCTTTATCCACCATACATATTTCTTCATTCAAATGCAGGGAAAAGCTTCTTTCTTTGAATTGTCCATTTCTTCTCAGTAAAGCATTGTGCTTTCCTCTACTACTTCTTTGCATTTCCATTTCTTTCATTAAAGTTTATGCCAATGGAAACGTAATGGATAACATCCTTTACCCCTTCCAAATATCTTCTTAACGATCAATTTCATATTACATCATTCATATTAAAAAAACAAAAAACAAAAACATTGTGCTGCTAAGTTTGGTGGGATTTTGTTCCAAAAATACTTTTAATAGTTTTTTTAATTAATCTCTTTCCAAAGTTAATTAATTAAGAATTGTACTGTAATTAATTAAGAATTATACTCAAATTTGAAGACTCAATTTAGTATCACTTTAAGAGGATACAAATGGTACCATCACTATATAAATACTTTGTATTATTTATAAGAAAAGTAGGATAACTAATCTACACTGTTAACACATCATACTGTTGAAAATTAAGTGTGATTTGAAGTCTCATATTGGATAGAAATGAAAAAGTTGAGTAAGTTATAAATGAGAAAAACTCATAACTTGATGTCTTAAGATTTTGAGTTGAAGGTGATGTTATATTTTCTTATATAGTTGGTTCATGATCAATTTATTAGAATCTCCTTACTAGTAAATATATAATAGGTTAAAGGTTCCTTACAAAGTACTCATCACTAATAAATTCTTTCATTCCCCCACAAATACTCCACACAAGTAAGGTAAGAACAAAAATATTAAAAAAAAAATGTATCATATAAATATAATAGAATCTTATAATAAGAAAAATAAATAATAATAACATTGAACAATAAGATAATCTATATTAAGGGAATGATTGGACCAATATATCAATAAATAATTCTAGAGAAAAAAATTGAAATTAACTTATATATTAACTAAGTTGTAATATTTCTTTTAGATAGTCTTTTTTCATTTATTAGTTAAATAATTTATGAAGAAGCCTTTTCTACTTCTAATAAGTAATGTTGAAAAAGTTTATTCCGAACATAATTTTTTTTATAAGCTCAAATTATTTTTTTAGAAAATTAATGTATATTTTTTTTAAATTAAGTTATAAATAAATTCATTTTAATTTATAATTTTTTAGTTTTTTTCTCTTATAGATACTTATGAAAAAAAAATTACTCATGTTTAAGTAACAACCTTACCTAGTGATGTCATGAAAAACTGGTAGTCCAAAAAAGCAAAAAGAAGGGTTCCTGGATTTCTCTTAAATTCTTTTTTTCTTTCCCATCTGAAAAAATAAAATAAAAATCTAACTCAATTTTTAAAGAATATACCATTTTAATAAGAAAGGTGAAAAATAAATAAAAGATTTGTAAGAGGTAATTATAGGAATATTTATTTTTTAAGAATAAAAAAAATTCAAAGGGCAAACCAAACACTCCTTAACGAAGGAAAAAAAAAGAAATACACCCATTCACAGTATGGAGAAAATTCAAACAGAAGCCCACGTCTCGTTTTTCTTAGGGACGCATCGTTTATGTTATAATTAAGTTGTTTAATCCTATTTTTATTTATATTTATTTTAAATCACCTTTAAAAGATATACACTACATAAATATATATATTTTTTCAAATTTAACAAACCTTGAAAAGATATCCAGTGATTTTTTTCTTTTTTTAGTTTATATATTGCTTGAATATTGAGGACTAATATGTCTAAAATCTTAATAATATATTTACAGTTATAATTTATTAACGAAGATCTTATATAATAAGGAGATTTAAACTCATAACCATAACGGATATGTTTAACTGACCTAATATAAACAGACTTTCGATAAGATACACTCTTAAATTGCACGATTATCATATAAATCATTGATTATTAAAAAAAATTTAGAATAAGAGAAAATATATTAAGTTATTATTTTAATTTAAGTAATTATGTTTGAAATATTATTAATATTTAATATTTTATCATATTTATATATATATATATATATATATATATATATATATATATATATATATATTATAGTAGTGACAGGAAATGCTACGTTAATTTATTGAGAAGTGTAATTAATGGAGGGGCTCATTAATAACATGTTTTCACCCTTTTAGTTTAAGTGCTTGGAGATCAACGTAATACTGGGTGATCCACCCTTTCATAATGTTGATCTCCTTCTTCCACAGTTCAACCAACCATTCTGGGTCATTATGAGTTGCACTTGCACCCAGAATATCCAAGCAATGAGATCCTGAAAAAGTAACATTATTGGTTAACCATCAAAGTAGATCTTTGTTATAGATATAGATGGATTGAGAGAATTCAAATATGGAATCAGAATTCTGAGTCATACCATTAACTGCATGAATGGCAACAAGACTGTCTGATATGTTCTCCAGAACTCTGAGTGCAGAGAAGATTGTTTAAAATCTTAAACAATTAACCAAATCAATTATGTATTTTCAGTGCTTACCCGCCAATACTATAAGGGTCTCTTAGTCCATTAGAGAAAATGATGTTGCTACCAAACTTCTCAAGGACCAACTTTATATTCTGTCATCAGTCACAACATATGAAAAACAAATTTAAGTCCTGTTCAATTTTCTGTTAAAGTCGTAAAGAATTTCCTTTATACAAAGAGAAGAGAAGAAAGAAGCACTTACATGGCCACCATAGTAAGTGGTGACCCAGTGAGGACGAGGAGAGACACCATAAAGTTTCTTGCATTTCTTGGCAAAGCTCTTATAGCTAAAAGGTTGTGGTTGGAACATTGAATTGTTTCCTATGCCGATGGGTATCACCATTTCACTACATGTCTGAATGAATGAACAAGCAGTTCAGATTATGTTTCATCAACCAGAATGAGTAATAGTGTGACTAATAATATTAAAGTACAAACAGAAGCAAGATATTATCAATTTTAAGTAAGATTGTACAAATTCTAAGAGGTTAAGTTGCAAGCACACGCAATAATATGTATTAATTAGTATTAAATGTTTTATTAATTAACCTTGGCTAAAGGTTTTATAAATAATAATAAAAAAACAGTATTATTTTTTAATGTTTTAATAAAACTTCTTGTTATTATTTCTTTTCTTAATTGATCTCAAGAAACAATAATAGTAAAACTATATTAGTAAGTCAACGTTTAAAGTATAGGATTTGAAAGACTCAAACCTTAAATCCTATAATGTTACACATTTATTTAGTTAGTTAATAGATCAGAAGTAATAATTTATTTTGATTTATTATTATTATTATTATTATTATTATTATTATTATATTTATTACTATTTATTATAAATACTCTATTATATAAATTTGCTTTAAGTTTTTTTATTAAACAAATATTAATTGTTAATCTGTTAATTTTTTGGTACGAGGAACTATCCCACACGTTCCTTTATTTCCTTTTAAATTTTTACCATCGAATTAATTTTATAACCCCTAAATTTCAATCAATTTTATAAATAATATATTTAAAAAAAAACTCAAATAATTTTTTTTATCAATTTATTTATTAAAATAGATATGTTTATTCGTATGTATTTTTTCTTCTTTCTCTTCGTAATTTTTTTCTTTCCTCATTTATTACTTTTTTTTCTTTTTATTTGATGTTTCTTATTTTTCTCTCTCATCTCCTTCTTATTATTTTTTTAATTAAATTATTATATTAAAATTTAATAAAAATATATTAAAACAAATATTTTAAAATCAATATTATAAAATAAAAATAATATCAACTAATTATTTTAAATTATGATTATAATAAATAATTTTATTTATGTGAACAACAAAGTAAGCTATAATTAAGTTATTTTTAATGCGAAAGAGATCTTCAATGAAATAAAGAGCACAAATTTTGGGTATCTATTAACAAGAATATTCAACATACATTTCTCATTTTTTTTCATTAAGTCACATCATTATTAATATAAATTATTTTAAATTATAATGATAATAAATAATTTTATTTATGTGGACAACAAAATAAGCTATAATTAATTTGTATTCGAATGCGAAAGAGATCTTTAATGAAATAAATAACACAAGTTTTGGGTATCCTATTAATAAGAATATTCAATATACATTTATCATTTTTTTCATTAAGTCACATCACTATTAATATATTATCTTTTATCTACTGTCCATTTCCTCCAAGAAGAAAAAGCCATTCATACTACATAAATCTAGTAAACCTGATGTAGATAATTTGACGTAGTTCAATTAATTTATTTAAAAATAGTTTTTATTATAATTTAAAATAAAAATAAAAATAAGATATACAAAAATTATTTGATAATTTTAATTTAAAATTTTAAAAATTATGAAATACTTATCTCATTTTTCCAAAATTTACTTATATAATATTAGTCAAATATGAATTCGGTGAATTAATCCATAATTATTAACATAGAATGTCGTAATATTGTTAGGATTCACAATTGAAAATGATGAGCTAACTCAATTTACAAAATCAATTGAACCGTAGTTAGTTGAATATTTATTAAGAGTGAAATAAAGATAAGAAAATAAAAGTGAAAGATGTTTATTTACCTGCCATGTCCAACCCAGCGCTGTCTCAGATGGAGTGGTAAGAGCATTAAAATTGCAAGTGGTTTTTCCCCGTAAAGCCACCACCCCTGCATATATCTTACTCAGAATATCACTTCCAAATGAACCTCCATCAATGCCACCGCAAATCACAGTCACAGGATATCTTGGTGGATGATTGTATTGAGCAGCAGAAGCATAAAATGTCTCCAGGTACTCCTTCAACTCATAAGATTTGTTTAAGGGACTGTAATTTCAACATTAAACCATTACTATTTACCACCGATTAATACCATCTTCATTTTTTAATTAATTCAAATCATAAAATTTAAATCAATACTAAAACAAGGAGCATGTATATATAACTAAAATAATATGATTCTGTTTTTTCTATTAGAGCATCCATAAGGTAGACGTCTTAACAAGATAATTTTAAGAATTTGGTTTTATATAAGCCCTGAAGATTTAAGAATAAAAATAATATTTCAATAACTAAATTATTATTATTATTTTTAGTTGTATAGGAAATTGAAGTATAAGTTTTTATAAAAAAAATTGTGAAAATATAATTTGAAATTGATGTGAGTGAGACTTATTTCAAATAAAATAAGGCTTTTTATGAGTTTCTTGTAAGATCCTTACGTATATTGGAGATTTAAATCTTAGTTTATCACGTTATGAAAACCTAATCCTTTTTGCTATGTTCAATTATGTTTGCTTATTATTCTTCTTTTTACTATTCTATCCATTGTTCTAGTTTAATAACGAGAAAATAAATAAAATAAATACAAAAATGGAAATAGATAATAAATAAAATATAAAGTAGAAGTATTTGATTGTAGAACAATAGGAAGAATAAATAAATAAATGAATGAATATAATAAACTAAAAATAAATAAATACTTGTTGGATGTTACCTTTTTTTTTTTTTTAATTCTATTATTAAATTATCTATCCTACCAATAAATTCATTTAATTCCATAGCTCCAGTTTCCACCTCTTTCCCTCTTATCAGACCATAAGTGAAATTGATGTAAATTCTATAAAGATGATGAGTTTCAACCAAATTGAAGAATGTTACAAAAGCACGTTTAAGCAACAGTGTTAATACCGGCAAGTGTTGAATCTCTGGCTAAGAATGGAAAGACCCTTTGGCTGAGAACCTACTCTGTCGATTTCAGACCACGACTTCAATATAGTTTGGTAACATGTTTCACTGGCTTCCTGCATATACCAACTCATCATTATGTCACTTTTTTTATGATGTATTTGATGCTAAAATTAAATATAGAAAGAAAAAATGAAAATCAAAGTGTGGTAAATTACTCTAAAATCCCTTGAAACAACTGAGTAGTAACCATCTTGTGGTGTAATATTATCAAAGTAGAGGATTGGAGCTGATGAGGCTAGAGCTCCAATGGCCATGTGAGGATATTTGAGCCTAAACCATGAAGCAAGCACTGCATATAACAGTAACATAAAGAGTTCATAACTGGAAAACTATGAATGAAGGGATGAGGAGTATTTGATTTGAGGAACTAACTTCCACCGTATGATCCTCCGATCACAATCACTGGGGAATTTGGTGCATGTAATGTCTTCTTAATGTGTATGAGGACTGATGCATAATCTGCTATTGCCTGAGCTGAGTTGAAATACCCAATAGTGCTTGCATTCTTCAATGCTTCTTCCCTTGATCCAAATGGCACTGATTCCCCATAGTAACGGTGCTGATGAGAAATTTAAAGTGAGTCTTAGAATCTGTCAACTCAACAAACCTTTGAATATTGAAGAAAAAGAGTTGTATAAGATTATAATAATACCTCTATGTATACTAAGAGAGCATTAAAGGAAGCAGCGTTATCAGTGAGAAATGCTATGCCAATAGGGGAAGAATCTATTGGTGCTTCAGCACCCAAGTAGGCAAATATTGGGGCACTAGAATTGGCACCACCCCAGTACTTGAAATTGATCAGATATCTTTGTTGAAACGTTTTGTAACTTTCGGGCCTATAGTTGAAGTGATCAAGAACCTGTTTGTAGTAAAATGTTTTGATGTTTTCTGTATCAGTTTCTGCATCCAAGTTTGCAGGGTGGTGTAAGCTTGTGTCCCATTGAGGAATGGGACTCAACCTTGGAATTTTCACTGAATGTGTTGTGGTGAAATGGGTTGAGTAGTACATGAGAGAGATGAAAAGAAGGCATTGAAACAAGGTGTGGTGTTCCATTGCAAACATGGTGATCAACAATGGCTTGGAGGATATTTCCTATTTCAGTTATTGAATAAATACGTACTTTATATATATACATATAGAGCGAGAGAGAGTGTGCATGTGAGTTTTTCAGTTTCATTCTTGTGTGGTTTACATGTATATTGACAAAATTAATTGAGATTAACTATTTAAAATCAATTTCTTAAACATTTTAATTAAATGCGTGCTTAAACCGTAGGATGTAATATATGCTTGAGATTTTTATGAAATAAACTTTGAAAATGGTCTGATTTCGACGATAGATGTCCGCACGTAATTATTATTACTATTATTATGTAATATTTATAATTTTTTAGTGTAATGAGAAAATAAAAGTATTATAATTCAAAGAAATATTAATTATTAATTTATATATTTTAAAAAATGAAAAAATAGACATATTTAAAAAATGAAAAGAGAAAATAAAATAAAATAAAGTTAAAAAAATTATGGACACGCGTTTTAACACCTATGTTTTCACTAATAAAATCTATAAAGGGATTCCTTCGATAATCATTCTTTTATTACCGAATAAAAATAATAAATAAAAATACTGAAAATTTTTCATTTCTTTGATGCTTTCTCAATACACATTTTCTTTCTTTTTCCCTCACCATTTTGTTTCTAACAATTCATAATCTTATAAATAAACATTTATATTTTAAATTTAATATATATATATATATATATATATATATATTAAACTCTAATTTATCATAATGCTTAAATGTACTCTAATAAAAAATTATATATATGATGAAAAATTTTAAGATTTTGTGTATATATATTTTTATATATAAAATATATCTTATATGAGTATAATAATGTACTCTAATAAAATATTAAATATTAATAATATTTCAATTATAATTATCTAAATCAAAATAATAACTTAATAAAATAATACTTATAACTAATATAAACTATTTTGATTTTATATTATACAGTGATATAGGACTTGTAAGCATATCAAAATATAATTCTTTGATAAAAATATAAAAAAATGATACTTTATTTTCAATCCTACTATTTTAAGGTTAAACCATATTCCAAAATTATGTTTTTGGATTAACATATTTTATCTTTAAATTTACATTGAAAAATATAAATAAGTGACAAGATTTTGAAAATTCATCTTTTATGTGTCGCAATTTTTTTTATAATAATAATTTTTAAAAATTATATAATTTGTTTGTCTAATTTTAAATTTTCTTTATTGACAAACTTCTTAAGGGGAGTAAACAAAAATCTTATTTATGAAGCATGTTTACAAACTACATGGTCCTCAGAAATAAGATATTTGTTGATAACCAATTTTTTCCACCGAATATGAGTGACAATTGGATCGGTTTGGTTAGGGTTGAAAGCTTTGTGCAATAAACCAAAAATTGAAGTTGATTGTGATCGATAACGCGTTAACGCACTTTCCCTACGTTTTGTTTTGTTTTGACCATAGAATTGTTAGCTATGTTTTTTGGAAGCATATGTAACATGACATGCATCAAACGAAAGAGACGTGAAGTCATAATTCCATAGAGGAATGTGTTTTTAGAAATCTCAGTGTCCATTTTCAATCTAATACATAAAACAAAGAAGAAAACCTTGATATATTAGTTGTGAGAATATTTCTTCATCACTTCCAACTAGCACCTAACATAGGACTGGTTCAAAAGAATGTTACTATTTTTTGTAGTCAAATTTTTTCATCACACTTTTTGTCTTAACAAATAGTGCCAAACAACCACAAAAACTAGGACCATCACATTTTCATTATCATGATGTAAAGTTATATAAGTGGTATGAAAAAAAGTAAGTGCAAAGAAAGAGGTATACTTTTCTTGAGTTTCACGCATGTGTATGGTTGCTTAGTAATCATATACCTTCCAAAATTCACACTTAAAAAAATAAAAAATAAAAACTTCAGACTATACATCTTTTGCGAACGCGTGCGAGTAGAGCGTGCCTCTCATGTCATAATGAATGAAAGTAGACATAATCAAACCATGACCTGTACATTCTCTGTTCTTAAGAAAAATCTACCCAACCCTTTATAATGGTGTGTTCACCAAACAGAAAATAAATAAAGGAAAAAGAATTTAATGAAAAAATAAAAAAAGTTTTCATATTTATGAAAAATAAATAAATAAATCATGTTTTACTTTTTCTAAACTTAAGTTGAGGTTGGAGCAAGTTTAAAACTTTTACTTTAAAAATAATAAAATTTAATTTTATACGATAGAGATAAAAGAAAATAAATTGAAAGTAATTGAATGGATAGAAAATAGTTAAGATCAATAGTACATATGAAATGGGCTTCGTTTCGGCCTGGCCCATTATCACAATTTTAAATTTTGAATACCTAACTGTATAATGCAAAGTAATTGGGCTTAGTGGAACTTTTATTTTTGGATAATACGATAAATGAATAGCCACAAAAAAATAAAAATGAAAATGTTTAAAAGAAGATGGTACTAGAGAAAAAATGTTATGGTGTTAATATAATTTATATTTGTGAATGCATACAAATTTGTCATGTTTTTTTTTGTCAATTAATTTTTTATCTGTGATTAAAAAAAAAGTGTAATAATTCATAATATAAGTGTGTAGGTTATACCATTTATAAAACTTATTTTTTAAAAGCTATCTCATCGAATGAAACTGCACCATAATTTGTTTTAAATGGGGACTTAAAAGCTCCAAAATATTTTTCAAAATGTCAAGATTAAAAAATAATTATATTAAATAAATAGTTAAACATAAACTTTAATTTTTAAAAATAATTAAAATCAAGTCATATTAAAAATAATCTTAGGAATATCTTTTCACCTTACAAGTTATAAATATATTATTTGTTTAATGTTATGTTTTGTTCAATAAATTAGACAAATGCTTCGGTTGACTTAATGAAAAAGAAAAATGTTTGATTATATGCTTCAAATTTAAAAAATGATAATAATAAGAGAAAAAAAAATAGAAGACACAATTTACTTGCTGTATAAAAAAATAAAAATAAAAACGTTTTTTTTTTTAATTTATTTTAGGTCTGTCAGATAACGGTCATGCATTTATTCTTTGATAAAATAAAATTTATAAAATAACATATATGCTTATATATATATATATATATATATATATATATATATATATATATATATTGTTTAACTTATTTCTAAAAATTGAATAAATTTTAGAATAAGAAAATATACATATCGAATGATCTAAAAATTCATTTTATATATACTTTTATGTAATGAAATTCATATTCCATGATTTAAAATATTAAACTTTATAACGAGAACATACCTTTTTTTTTTATAAACAATAGTCTTTTCTAAAAAAAATTTACCTTATGAAATAAAGTATAATTTTTTAAATTTAAGTATATAAATAAATTCCTTTTATTCGTTAAATATAACGGTATTATATGCATTTCATTTAAAATGTTATTTATTAAACCAATTAACCATTTAATGTTGAAGTTGAGACCGTTTCAAATAATTGGATACAAAATTTTGAGATAAAAAGACTTTATATAAATCACAATTAACATTAATTAGAGCTTTAAAACAGGTTGTTTACTTTAACGGATTTAAATAATAAAAAATTAATGATACAACCAAACTTATAATGGATTATAATTTTTTTAGTTTTCATATTATATAACCTTATATCATACTTGATGAATTTTCATCTAATTAAAAATTAAATTTTTTTAAAACAAAAATATATTTTTAAAATTTAAATCATATTAATAAAATTATTTTTTATTTAATATATAAATTATCAAAAAATATATATTAATTCTAATATAAGAGTTAAAAATTTATTCTCTATCGTCATTCATTTTTAATAATTTATTAACTTAAAAAATAATAATTAATATTAACTATTTAATAATAAAATAAATAGTTGTTAAAGACTTATTTTAATATTTACTTAATAAATAAATATTATATCAAATTATATATATATATATATATGTATATATATATATAATAAAATAATATCACTTTTAACTTTTATTTCAAAAATAATTATTTTATAAAAAGATTGATCGATAAGCTTATGAATTACTTTGATCTATGTCATGTAAGTCATAATTTAAAAGACATAAGTCAAAATAGATTTAACTTTTATTATTTTTCTATATATAATGATTTATAATTCGAAGATATTGAAATATTGTATACTTACATATTTTTTTCTTATAAATAATTATAATAACTAAGTTTAAACAATTAAAATGAAAATTTAAGATACAAATAAACTAAAATGTGAATATAAAATCACACCCAAATCTTCGAATTTCAAAATACTTGTTTCAAATAGTGAAACTCTACCTCCATACACTTCAATTAATTGTATAAACAAGTTTTCCATCCTCATTTAATAGTTCAAGAAAAAAATAAAAGCAACGATACTAATAAATAAATAACAGTGAGTTATTTGAATAAAGAATTTATTTTAAATCCATCACAATTAATATATAATCGTGGCATTTAATTTACTTATTATAAAAATATATATATTTTTAGATGTTTTTTTCTTTAAATGTTATGAAATAATACCATAGAAGCAACGGTAATTTACTTTGTTTCGTGCTGTGTTGTACTAAAAAAAAAAAAAAAAATTCACTCCCCAATGGTAGAACACCAAATGTATACTTGTACTACTTACCACACTGTTATATATATATGATTGATTCTCTTCATTTTCCTCTAACACATATCTTTTGGGTCCTGACACCTCTCTCTAATCGACCATGGCGAAGGTAATGTATATATACTCGTGAATTGCAATAAAATGTTCAACTTTTAGGGTTATTAAACTATTGAGTTTGTTCTTTTAGGAATTTATGTCTGTGCCACCCTGGCTTGAGGTGTTCCTATCGATTACTACATTCTTCAACGAATGTGAAGAACACAGCGAACATATCAGAAGGGAGTGCAACTTGTACTGTTTTGACTGTAATGGTGACAAACCATTATGCTCAGATTGTGTCAAATCTTGTCACAAGGACCACCGAATCATTCAAGTGAAGTGTTTAATTTAATTTCGTGTTTAGTTTATTGATTGAAAAATTAGATGTTGATGAGTTGAAGTGCAATGCAGATAAGAAGATCTTCGTATCACGATGTGGTGAGAGTACAAGACATTGAAGATGAGTTGGACACAAGTGGGGTTCAATCCTACGTTATCAACAACTTTGATGTTGTTTTTCTGAACAAAAGGGGTTTTGACGTGTGTAGGACCAAAAAGAATAGTAAAAGTTGCAGAAACACTTCGCCTTGCGAGATATGCAGAAGAAATATTTCAAACGCTTTTCGTTTTTGTTCTTTGGGATGTAAGGTTGGTCTTGCTCACTATGTTTGTTATCATCTCTTATATTTTTCTTTATATTTGTCAAATTGTTTATTTATGCAATGGGTTTAATCTTTATTATGCTATATATCAGTTAATTAATTTGTTAATAAATGTGGTTTTGGAAATAATTATTGTAAACATAAACATATTTATTATATATTAATTTGTTAATATTGAATGATAAAGTAAAATTAGTCTCTTTGTTTTTAACTAAATGCTGACTAACCTTATTTTTTTAATTCTACAAATTGTTATACAAATTAAACTGCAATAGAACAATGTAAAAAAACACAAAGCATTGCCACTGGATTTTGTCTAGTACTAAAAATTTGAATTAATGTAAGAAAAATGTTGTTAAAGTTATTTAAACAAGATTTCATGTTGTGGTTTACCAGTATGTGCCTAAGAACTTCTCAATTACCAGTGTTGTTAGTTTCAATATTGTGTTTTTATTTCAATTTTTTTAAGCATAATTTGATATACTGTGTACATGATAACAGTTTGTATGGACAAAGAAGGGTGAGAATGAGAATGGGAGCAGTGACCAGACCATAAATAATGCAGAAAATTTAAGGGAAATAGAAGAAGAGGAAATTACCAGAAGATTGGCATCAAAAAAGGGTAGATCAAATTCAAGGAAAAGAAAGAAAACTTCAGGGGCTTACTCGAAATCAAGGAAAAAAAAGAAAACTTCGGGGGCTACCTCGAATTCAAAGCAAATAAAGGAAAATCCAGTGGCTACTTCAAATTCAAGAAAAAGAAAGGGAAATCCTCGTAGGGCACCTTTCTATTAAGGATCCTTATTAATATATCAAATCAAAGTGCCCAAAGAGAATGTGATGTTATCTGTAGAATCTCATGATTCTTTTTTAGCTGATATTTGTTCTCTAGTGGTATTTAATTATCCACCTCATTTTTCCCAATCTAGTGTGGGATTAATCAAATAATTTCTTAAACAAAAGGATTATCAGTATGAACTATCTTATAATGCAGGGTTTTAATAAGAGAATGAGGTGCTTACTGTGTTGATTAGTTCTTGTTTTTCTTTTCTTTCATTATGTAAATATATTTTCTGACGAAAGCAATCTATTTTCAAATATATTTCTGAGCCCTAAAAGGAATCACAAAAAATCAAATGCTCAACACTTATTTGCTTAATGGTTTCTTCTAGTATATATCTCATCTATGACCTAAGGTTGAATTCTTTTCTTCAATTGGACTAGGTTTTTTGGAACCTTTTTTATGCGAACTGATATGTGATTTTACTGGAAAATTTATGTGAATAATTAATAATGTGAGAAACCTTAAAAAAAATAAAAAAAAATTCAAAGCAACATAAAGTGAAAAACAATAATGTATATCCATTTGTAACACATACACTTTAGTTTTCTCAGTTTATATATGCATCTCTTTGCCTCTGTACATTGAATGATATATATTGTATGGACTTTGTATTGATTCCAAAACTGAATAAACCCTAAACTTTTGAACTCGTACAACATTGAATGATATTGCGTGAAGCAATGATTGTGGGGGAAATTACGTTTGAAAGAATGATAAAAATAGAAGTTAGTTCATTAAAACTAAAAAAAATGACTTATTAGGGATTGAAATGAAAATAAAAACAAATTGATAAACTACAATAGTGAGTTAAAAGGAACCTAAACATAAACAGTACGCTGAGGAATCTATCTTGAATGTATGGAGGTAAAAAGAAATAAATGAAAAAAAGAAAAAAAAAAAGATAAAAGGTGTAAGTAAATAAATTTCTCTTCGTAAATATACTTTCAATTTTCTTTTAGCTATTCCACCATTTTTCGTAACTCCAATTATAAGGAAGAAATATGTTCGTAGAAGATGTTTGACACAAACTAAAATTCTTAACCAACTTTATCTATATCTAGACTATGAAACTTCATTTTGGTGATTTCACCTTTACGAGCTAGAGTTTTATCATGATGCATGCCTCTTCTTGATGTATATATAGGTTTATTGAACTTTGTATTATATACATGATTAATTTGTGTGGTGTCTTGGATTTCTTTGTTCTTTTAAGCATAATTAGTTGGATTTTAGGTTTTTTTAGTTTTAATTGATATGTCGTAATCTCTTAATTCTAAATAATTATTTAGAATATATCAATCTTATTAGAATATTTTTTTTTATGTATGATTAAGTTTTGATATTAATACAAGAAGCGTAAATTTACCTAAGAATACCTAATCAAAATAAATTTACGCTAAACAATATATTAATTGACATTAGTTTACATCGAACATTATGTAAATTCTATGTTTTTTATTTTTATTTTTAGTGAACAAGTTTCGTAAAGAACTTTTAGAATTGTTATAATCAAATGTTGCATAAAACGAAAAAATAAATATCAGGATATAAAATATCGTTTATCAATAAGAATTAAAAACAAAAACAATGAATCATCCAAAACAAAAAAGCAAAATTTTTATTTTTTTTCTTCAAGCTTAATCTTGGGTTAGGACTTGGGTTTTTCTTTTTTCAGAACCTTCTTCTCCTATGGTGGTAGTGAAGAAGTGACTTCTTTTTTTTTTTTCTCCTTTTCTATTTTTTTTCTCTCTCATTAATTGTTTCCATATTTATTCTATATTCTCTTCTTGTATCTTTTTGAATTTTTCTAGTTATTTTTTCTCGTGTAATTGGTTCCTCTATTTGTTTTCCCATTGTATGATTCTTTCAAGTAAAAAAAAAAAAGCAAAAAATCATAATAACATTAAAAATTAATTTTCATATAATTGGTAACAATAACAAGCTTATTAAAAATGTGAGAGAGTAATACATTTGATATTCTAAACTTAATAATCATTAAATAAATTTATAATTTTGATCGAACTTTTTATATTTTTATATTTATTATTATTATTTATTAATAAAATATTATTTATTTCCCAAAATCATCTACTAAGATTCGTGGTGTAATTAAGTAAGAGAGAATAGAGAAATTTTAGAAGATATATAAAATAAATTTTAGGATGATATAATACCCAATAAAAACGTTTGTTTTAATTTTATAACTATCATCACATTTTTGTTACATAATAACATAAAAAACATGTAAAACACAAAAGCTTTACTATTGTGTGCTGAAACAAATATAAAAAAAAATGTAATGGGAGAGGTATTTCCGATATGAAGATAGATATTAAGTTTTTTTTTTGAAGGTTGTGGTTTTAGATACAGATCACCTTACGGAGAATGTGAAGTTATGATAGATTAAAGGTCAAACAAACAATAATATCTTTTCTATAAAATTAGATAACATAATACAATATATTAGCATAAAAGAATATTAAGAAATTTAAATTAAATTTTATATTAGATAAGAACGTGAAAATTAATCAATATATAATAAAATAAGATTCTTAATTAAATGTCTTAAAATTTTAGATTAAAAATGATATTAATCCTAGTTGGATCTATTTTTATATTTTATTGGTATTTTTTTTTCAATAAATATTTTATCAAAAGAAAAAAATAAAATAAAATATTTTTTAATTATTAATAATACAAATACTGTACTCTTTTATAATATAAATTTTAAATTATTTATAATACAAATACTGTCCTCTTTTATAATATAAATATTAATATTTTTTTTATGCGATCTTCTTTTAACATTTATAATATATGTATATATATATATATATATATATATATATATATTTAATAAAATAAAATAAATACAAAAATATTAAACATACCTCTTGTATTAACTATCGTTTTACTTATGCTTTATTGCAAGCAATGATGTGAGACAATGTTGGTGGAAAAAATTATTCATGTATTTTATAAGTAGTGTTTTCATTAATCAAATAAGGGATATATTTTTTAAGTTAATTTGGAATTTAGATTTTTTTAATTTTTTTTTTTTACAAAATATGAGAGAACATTTTTTGTTAGTTGTATTTTCAATCCTAGCAAACATCATTTTTATTTCTATCCCACAACTATTATTATATACTTGTTAGTAGGAAATCGATAAAGGGATCGAAAAACGAAGGTAAGAAAAAATCGAGGATCATATGATTGGTTAAAAAACTGATAAAGTGAAAAGATGGTTGGAAAACATTCGATGACCATGTAACAGTATGGACACATAAATCGAGAATTAGAATCGAGAATCGAAGGAGGAATATTTAATGTCTATTGTCGAAGAAAATCGAGGAATTAGAATCATGTAATGTTAAGGTTAAGGGAAATAAAAAAGGCAATACAAAGTTCTCGAGATTTTGAAATCGAAATCGAAGGAAAAGTTAACATGCACGACCATCGAAATTCTGGATAAGTTAGAAAGAGAGGAACAGTTAACGCGCGCATAGAACATGGGAAATGGTTTCTAAACCGTGACAGAGATCGAAGGTCAAGGGAGCGGTTATCTCATGCATGGGAACGTGAAATACAGTTTTTCAAACCGTGGAACTGAGGGACGTGCATGATGGATCGTGGTGGCAGTTTTGTTAACTACCCTTAGGAGGTTACTTGAAAGGCGCTTTATAAATAAAGCAAAGAATGAAGGAAAGAGGGGAAATTGGCAAAGATAACTGAAACACTAGTGAAAAAGTCTACCAGAGAACGACGAAATCATGAAGTGTCTGGCGATCTGGATTTCCACTTTCATTGATTGTCTTTACCGCTTTTTGTACTTTCCCTGGTAATTTATGTTCACACAATTTAATTTGATGCAAATTTACGTTTAGCAACTTTAAGTTCCTGCACATTCAATTCCTTGTTATTTTACTTCTATGTAAATTGAGGTTCTGCGTTTAATTTCTTTGTTATTTACATTTCTGCAATTTCGATTTCCTGTTATTTACATTTCTGCAATTTCGACTTCCCGCTTATTTAGAATTCTGCAATTTTCGATTCTTTGTCATTTACACTTAATGCAAATTTGAGGTTTCTGCATTTTTTACGTTCCTGCAATTTAATATTCTGCACCGCTTTTCGATTCAACAATTTTACTGCTTTCTTTACTTCGCGTTATTTAATAAAAAAATACCAAAAATAGTACTTTCGATTTGCACTTTAAGTAGTGTTGTTTGCATTCATGAGATTCTCGATTCTCATGCACTTTTTGATTGAAAACTAGTTATTAGTCTAAGTAAAAAGAACATACATGGTCGAGATTTGATTAGGGCTCAACTTCCCATAAATCGAAATCAATCAAATTTTTACCGAAACAATATTATTTTTATCAAAACAATTATTTTTATTGCTGTAAGAGAAACAAACATCACTTGTTAATAAATACTTTATTAAGATAAATCTTCACTTAGTTACTTTAAAATAATTTTATGAGGTCGGCAAAATTTTTTTGAGAAAAATAATAAATTAACTCTTTTCTAAACGTAGCTAAGTTTTAATTATTTAAACAATTTATTTACAAACGTAATAATGATATAAACTAGATAAACTTAAACTTAAAATAATAATAATAATAATAATAATAATAATAATAATAATAATAATAATAATTATTATTATTATTATTATTATTATTATTATTAATTTACATGCAATACTTCCAAATAGATTTGATAATATGATTTATAAACTTTTATTTTAGAAGAAAATAATCAAAAAGTTATAATGTATATTTTATATGTATAAATATTAGTGTACATTTATATGAAAAATCATACACTTAAAAATACATATGACAATATAATATTTTTTTATAAGGATAACTAATAAATTAATATATATTTTAATTTGTATATATTTATAATAAATACTTTAATTAATTATATTGTTTTTAATATACAAACATTCATATTAAAACTCAAAATTAATATATATATATATATATATATATATATATATATATATATGTGTGTGTGTGTGTGTGTGTAAAAATAATATTTCTTAAAAAAATAATTAATTAATTAATATTTTAATGTGTATATATATTTGTAATATGCTCATATGAAATCACTTAATCATAAAATTTACAAATATTTTATATCTTTATTATTTATATTTCATTAATATATTTATATATTTTATTATTTATATATTTCTTATGTGTTTATTGTTTATAATTGTATTTAAAAACAATTTTACAAATACGTTTTACAGATAATTTTGTACAAGCAATATTTATTTTTCTAGTAACGTTTGACAATATAATTTTAATACATATGCTCATATGAAATCACTTAATCATAAAAAAATATTAATGTATATTTTAATGTATATATATATATATATATATATATATATATATACATATTTATAATAATTATTTTTAATTATTAATTGAATTTTAACAAACATGGATATGAAAATTCATACAATTAATAAATATAAATAATAAATTAATATTTTTCATCAATAAACAGTAAAAAAATTAATGTAAATTTAATGTGTTTATATATTTTAGCGATATAATTTAATATGCGTAGATTCAATTGAAAAATCATACGCTTAATAAATAAATATACTAATTTAATATTTGTCATAAAAAATAATTAAATTATGTATGTATATTTAATGTGTATATATAATAAATACTTTTATTTAATAATATAATGTTAATATACATATATTATGTAAAGTCATACACTTATTCAATATACATTACAATTTAATATTTTTTTAATCCAAAAATATTTAAGAATTGTATATTTTAAATGTGTGTGTATAATATATATATATATATATATATATATATATAGTAATTAATTTTTATTTAATAATATGATTATAATGCACGTATATTTGTATGGAAAATCATACACTTAATAAATATACATGGTAATTTAGTATTTGTCCCAAAATATAATTAATAAATTCACGTGAGTACTTATATTTATAATAAATGTTATTTAATAATATAATTTAATATACATATAAATTCATATGAAAAGTGATACACTAGTAATTAATATATAGAAGGAGAGTAGGGATCCATTTATTTTAAAAACAAGAGTTATTTTTCATCTTTACTTTCACAATAACAGTTAAAAAATTATCTTTAATATTTATCATTTGTTTTCATATTTTATTTATTTTTAAAATTATATGTATTTTAGTCTTTTAATTATTATTTCAATTTGCTCTTATCCTGTCCAACATTATTTTTGCTTTTTATTAAATTTACATTTTTATTAAAATCATCTACTGAATAAAATCAAATTTATTACAACATAAAAATTTAGAGAGTGACAGTGAAAAAGTAGAAAATCACTGAAATAATTATGTTCCTTTCTAATTAAATTGTTTTAAGGTTTTGTTTTAAAATTTTGGCCTTGTTAATTCTCTCAAAACCACCCTAAATGAGAAGAAACAAGTGAAAATATATATTTGAATAAAAAAATCCTCAAAAGTTTAATAAATTGAAATTGGAATCAATAAACAAAAATTAAAAGTATCTTGGTTTTACTTTTTGTCTTCCTAAAATATAATTTTAACTCATAAGTTTAATGACTTAAACTTAACCGATGTTAGAACTATATTTTTATTTTTTTTACAAAAAATTCACAATTAAAATAAATAACTTATTCAAGTTGAATTAGTTTTTTTATCTAATTAAATTTGACATATTTATGAAATTGAAATAAGATGAACCATAAATATTAATTATTTACTACATTAATTAATTTAATAAGAATACTATGATGTTTTTATCACAGTTTTTACGATAAATAAAATTACATTTTCACCTCCCAATAGAAAGGATCATGTGGAAAAGGTAAAAAATAAAAATAAAAAAATCTGGAAAATATTTAAGAGGATAAAGCACAGTAATAAGTATTTAGTTGAAAATTAGTTATTGATATTAATATTAGTTTTACATTTTGTTAAACATATATTTAACTTTATTAGATATTTTAATCATTGATAATCAATGGTTTAAAGTATATTTTAGATTTATTTGAACAAATTCATTCCTAAATATACTTTTAGGAGAGAGAGAAAAAAAGTCATAAAGTTAAATTTAACTTTTTAAGTTAAAAAACTTTCTCATATATTTTCTAAATTTTTTTATTTAACGTATATATATATAACTTTTCAATTTATAAAGCATATCTCATTTTGATGTGAAAAAAACTAATTCAAATGTAATTTTTATCTTTTTAAAGTGCATCCTCTCCACTTTATAGACTTATACAACATGGTTACTATCATTAATTATGTTCATTAATTTATACATTGATATAACATATGCCTTAATATAATATTATTCTGGTACATTAATATTCTAATGTGATACATTTTTTTATCAGTTTGATATTTTCATGTGTATTCATGTCTCCATGAGATATATATTAATCATATTCAAGATAAAAATAAATTATTCATTATGAATCTTTAATCTAAATCCAAAGAAATCCTGTATCCTCACATTGATGTGTATATGACCAAATTAGCCACTGATGGATTAGTATGGTATTAAAAAATGAAAACAAATCATGTTTAGTAAACTATTAAATTGGAGATAATAAATTAATGAAATCAAAATAGGAAATTTTTTGACTAAATATAAAATTTACCATTTCAAATTCAAGAGTATAGGTCTAAAAATTTGATACAAGGTAAGTTGGCCACAACATTCCAATATGAAAGACCTTAATTACTTAAATAGTTTGAGAGTGAGAGAGGATCAACCTTTAAAACTATATCCATATGGTACTGTGATTCTTTCAACCTTCAAGCTTGAAAATCTAAAAGGGTTGAGAGAGCATCAAAGAGTATTTCAACAAGAAAAGCAGAAAAAACAAAAGGTACACATTTACAGCAGAAAAATGCTATTTATCCTCTCTCTTCTTGAAAGGTTCTAATTATTTTTCAAATGAAAAAGGACGTTTTATTGAAGATGATAATTGATGTATAACTAAATGGTTGTATCATTTTGTTTTGATCAATTATTATGTTTTGCTAGAGAAATCCTCAATGAGTAAAGGATCAAGTGAGAGAGAAGATAGTGCAGAAAGTGAAGGAGTGATCATCATCACTAGTCCTGAAGAAGGAGAAAAAGATTATTTGAAGGAAAAGTTGATTATTCAACCACAGAGAATGGTGGAGGAGGTAGAAGAATGCAAAACTCCAACTTGGTCATCAAGGAACCAAATTACAACCATGCTGGAGTGTCCACCTGCACCAAGGAAAAAAAGACAGCAAACTTCACCAATTTCATCACACATGATGATGAGAGCCTTAACAATTGATGATGATGATGATCATTTGAGCTTCTTTCAAGAGGTAGAGCCAGGGGAGATGGAGCTCTTCTTCCAATCCATAAATGACTTTACCAGAGCTAACAAGTGATGCAAAACTGTATTACTTTAATTTCATAGCCTTACATGTAGGATTTTAGAGGTAATGACTATGACTTTTGTTAATGTAATATTAGCTTTCATTTGATACAGAAGAATAGGTAGAAATAAAATGGGGGAACGACAATGTTTTGAAATTTAATTTATGTTTTTTTCTTGTGAAGATATGGAACTTCAGTTTTTTTAACATAGTTTTCACATTGTCTCATAAAGAGTGTTTTTTTTCAATGGTTTTATGTTCGATTTTTATATTGTGTTAGAATATAGATTTATATTTAGTTTATTTTCTTTTAGTTGTGAAGAGGGAATGCATTAAATTAGGTGTTTGAATTTCTTTTAAAAAAACCTTTTGTTTTATTATTAAGAATATAGCGGTATTTATTCAAGATTTTTAAATATTTAAGAAAGATGCTATTGTATCCATTCAGGACTATCATGATTTTTACAGAGGGCACCAAATCAACTGAAAAAAAAAATCATCCTCTTATGTTCGAGGTCATACAAATTTTAATAGATTATATATATAATTTCTATGAAAGAGAATAATAAACACGGGAGATTGTTCTATTTTCTTTTGGATTATTCTCAACATCAATCATAACAGCTATAGAATTTTCTCTTCCAATTTCAAATGTTTTTTATGTACCAGGTTTATGATACCATGGTTATGAGTTTTTTATAATCAATTATTAAGTTATTATTATTATTTAATCATTAAAGATATATTTTTTCATTTGATTTTTATAATAATATTATAATATCAAATTTCAACCATATAATCTATTGGTTTAATAATTGAAAAATATAATTATTAGGAATTATATGGAAAAAAAATAAATATAGAAAAAGTTTTCAAAAAAGTAATAATATTAAATATTTACATTCCTAATTATATATAAAAGATTCATTTTATAGCCGTTTTTTCGTATCATTATAATAAAAAAATTATAATTTACAAAAAAATTATTATTCTCATTTATATATTTAAAAATAATAAAAATATAAGAAAAAAATAATATTTTTTTAAAAATTAAATAATATTCTTAAAATAAATTATAAAAAAATTGTAAACAAAAATGGTGTTTTAACATCTATATTTCCATATTATTAAAATAAATTAATAATATATATGAATTTCGTTCAAACGAGCAGAAGCATGACATGTAACACATGTAATAGGAACTAAGTTTAAAATGATTTACAATGATCAATGGAAACTTCTTACTGTCTTTAATATCCCAAATCGTATTTCAAACCTTTAATTTCAAGTTGAAAATATCAATATTCCAAACCTTAGTTTAATACTTTTTAATTTTAGAGTGAGAATATCAATGAAGGGAATGAATTTGGTTACTAATCTTCATCAATCTACAATTACCTCAATATTTGGTAAAAAAAAAAAACAATATACTAAGATGTAAAACAAGTCCAAAAAAAATTAAAGTTTTATAGGAAAAAAATTAAATACATTATTGGATTGGGTTGATTTACTAATTAAATGAGTTATATATATATATATATATATATATATATATATATATATATATATAATTTGAAAAAATTAAGATAATAATCAAAATAGAGTAAATAACTTGGAAAATTGTAAAAAGTGATAAAAAAATAAAATGTGTATCGTAAGATTGACTGAACTTATAACAAATATATATAAAATAACGTCATAATAGATAATCAGATTATCATTACCACTCATGATGAATAGTTGTAACCCTATAAAACTTAATATAAAGGAAATAACTTAGATTATAAAAGAAATGTAAAAGTGAAACAAATTAAAAAAAAATTGACAGTGAAATAACTGAAAACTGAGACAAAATGTTCAAGGTAAAAAATAAAATAACCATAATGATCCGTATCTACAATGTATTCGAAGAAAGCCCACCCAACAACATCTGACCAACAAATGAGCATTTCTTTGTATGTGAGTTTGTGTAAAATGTTTCAATGGTTTTTCTTTTAGTTTCTTTTAAGAGAAAAATGAAGACAAATGTAATGGTTGTCATTTATGTGACCTAAGTCGACTTTTTTTCTTCACTTACATTCTATTAAATTTATAATTCAGAAATAACAGTTCTATTAATATTTACTTCATTAGCACTATTTTTAAATTTTTTTTTATAACATACTATTAAATTTATAATACAAAAATAACATCTTTCTATCAATATTTACCTTATTACACAATTTTCAATTTCACTAATTAATATAATTTTTAAAATAAAATAATATTTATTAAATATAAATATATATCTTTTATAGAAAATAAATATATAAATATTATATATATTTTAAAAAAAATTATTTATATAGTTATATGAAATAAATATAAATATATTTTTTTAAATAACATAAAAATATATTTATATAATTATATTATTAATATATTTTTATAAATATAGTAAAAACAAGTATATTTAATATATATATATATATATATATATATATATAATGTTTAAATATTTATTTATATTTTTATAAATATAATACAATTTAATAAATATATTTTATTATATTATTAATATATTTTTATAAAAATATATTTTTATAAAAATATTTTTTATATATTTTTATAAAAATATATTTTTATATATTTTTATAAAAATATAAATAAATATTTAAACATTTATATATATATATATATATATTAAATATATTTATTTTTACTATATTTATAAAAATATATTAATAATATAATTATATAAATATATTTTTATGTTTTAAAAAATTATATTTATTTCATATAACTATATAAATAAAAAATTTTAAATATATATATATATATATATATATATAATGTTTATGTATTTATTTTCTATAAAAATATATATTTATATTTAATTATTATATTTAATAAATATTTTATTTTAAAAATTATATTAATTAGTGAAATTGAAAATTGTGTAATAAGTTAAATATTGATAGAACGATATTATTTCTGTATTATAAATTTAATAGCATGTTACTGAAAAAAAAATCTGAAAATGATGCTAGTAAGGTAAATATCGATAGAATAATGTTATTTCTCAATTATAAATTCAATAGCATGCTACGAAAAAAAAATAAAAATCCACCTAAGTCAGTGGATTGTAAGAATTTCGCCAATTTCTTTTACTGATGGTTTGGGTTGGTAATTCGTTTGCATTCAAAATTAAACTATCAACTTGAAAGAACTCAAGTAAACGCATGTGTAGAAATATGTATTGAAAAATGCTAATTCTATACAAACAAAATAATGTCAAATAGATATGGGGAAAAATGTTTTTGTATATAGTACATGACCCAAGCGTGAACTAAGCCGTCACTTGTCACGTAATTTCTGCTTATTGCTTCATCAAGAAACCTACACACATTACGCTGAAAACACAAAATGCAAATATATATGACAAACAATTTGACTTTGATCCGAATCTAGAATAAAAAAAGGAATCTCAAACAACCTAATCAAACAAAATACTTATATTCATTTCAGAATCATAACCATCAGAAGAGCCATCAGTTTTTCCATTGGTGCACTCAACATAAATACAGTAATCACGGGAAGAACAGAAGAAATATTAAAATATATATATATATATATATATATATATATATATATATATAAAGTACCTGGAAACGCCAGGATATGGAACTTGTTAGGATCCTGTATTCTGTAATGTGTGGCCCTTTACTGTCAAAACTATTGTATAGAATAAGCTCGGATCACTTCCACCACTGGTGCTTGACACATTGGACACTTTCTTCTACTTTGGTGCAAATCATTCGCACATTTTGAACATGTGCACATGTGCCCACATCTGCAAGACAAATATAACAGCAATATGTAAGTGATTTACATCAGGTACGAACAAAATTACTGATTTGTTAAAGTGACCCTGAATAGCACCTGTACAACAAAGAATCGATATTGCTTTCACAGCATATACAACAAAGTCCTTTCCTCACACATTCCCATTTAGATTCATCGTCTGGTGAAACACGGTCATCTATTCCTGTGACCAATCTAAGACTATTAGTATGAAGTTATTCTCCCTAGCAATAATGTTACAGCTCAGTTTCAAAGGCTTTTGAAAAATCAAATGAAATACGGAAAGGACAAAAATTATCTGACCTGATGAACCAGTTGAGCGATTTAAGGCTGCAGAGACTTCTTGTCTTATTGAGCGTTGTAACTCGAGCTGCATATCCATACAGGCCTCCAGCATTCTTTGCATATTATTCATTCGTTGCTGTAGCCTAACCATGTCAATTCTCAAGTCATTAACAATATCCCACTCCTGCCAAAAAAAGTCCAGTCAGAGAATTATAAATAAATATGAAATGGATAAAGAACGCAGTTGAATGTCAAGACTATGGAGTACATCAGCTAAAGAAAAGCAGTTATGTCCCGCAAATGAACGCACAATTCCTAGGCGCTGATTATTTATGTCACTTTGTGACCAATTGTCATGGCGAGAGTGTCGATCCCATAAAGGCTGAGGTGGAGGCGTTGGTGGCAAGGGTCGGTCAAGTGAGCTGTTAACAGTACCCTGAGGACCAACAACTGGATCCCTAGTTTGTTGCTCTGAGTCTTGTTCTGCCAAGGGAGAAGAAGGGGTTGTTTCCTGCAGCTCCCATTCAACATGAGCATGACCTTGCCTTTCAACATATGATTGTATCAATTGGTCAAGACTGTCACGAAAACTGCTGCGAAGGAGGTTTGAGACACTTCTCCTGCCAGAGGAAAAGAAATATTTATTCTACTTTATAATATACTCTTTTTTATTTCAAAATATGTTGGTAGAAACCTTCCAATCATATCAACATACCTACTTAGCAATTCCCTGAGTTCAACACTGTACACATTGTCATCTTCGGGAAAATAAAACCCATGAATTCTACCAACTGGAGCTACTTCATTATCAGAAGGTCCGCCTAACCAAATTTCCACAGCCTCTTGAAAGCCACCATCCTCTTGCCACACTTCAGGGGCTTCTTGCTCTTGCATACGAGAATTTTCTCCATCTTCGCTACCCAATATGTTTTGGGGCCATTCATTTGTTGCGTTACTGAGCTGATGATCATCCACACTTTGATGCCAGTCACTTCTTTCATTTTCAACAATAACTTCTTCCTGTTGTTCTACTTCCAGAGCAATAGATTCAATCGAATCTATATCACCAACAATATTGCTATATACACGATCATCTTGATTTGATAAATTGCTTTCATCATTAGTTATATCTCCCCACTGAGATTGCTCAGTATGTACCTCGCTTAAGTCTTGCATGATCATGTTGCCATCCTCTGTATCTTCAATTTGCAAGCTTTGTTGGGTAAGCTCATCAGAAGGATCTTCAGTCGGACCAGCAACAGTTTGTCCAGCGCCATCTCCTCTTTCAACCCTTATACTGGAAGATGATTCCCAATCTCTTGTTTCTACATGAGCGGCAGAGCCTTGCCAATCTAATATCTCACAAGGGGTTACTTGTGAACACATCTTATCACATGGTATCTCAGGTCCGTCACTCCCATTGTTATTAGGCCCAGATTGTTCAGAATGTACAGTTGGGACTGCTTGTGAGCTGCTAGCTCCAGTTTGGTCGATTGTATTAACATCAATATCACCCACGGAAGAGGTATCAGATGGGTTACTGGCTGCTTGACTACAACCAAAATTGTCCTTTCTAAAAAAGAACCCCTCCCTGATCAGAAGACAAGTTAGCATCATAAGTACAAAGCATAGAGACATAATTTAACATGAAGGAAGAAAAACAGACTGGTAGCTTTAAGCAATAAAGCTAAAGCAACAAAGAACAGTTATACTTTCATTTGGTTTAAGGGGGAAATAAAGTAAAGATTACTTCTACCGATAATAATTTGAAATTGTTAAAGTAAATGATAGAGAGACATATGAATAAAATTTCTACATGTATTCTGCACAACAAACAAACAAACACACACACACACACACACACACATATATATATATATATATAGAGAGAGAGAGAGAGATCATGAAACAAAAAGAAATGAATCTGAGCTCATATATTTAGTTATTTCTAACTCCCTCCCTCAAGTTGGTACACATATGTACCAAATTTATTGCAAATATAATCAACTACAAAATCCCATAATGATTTGGTGAAAAAATTTGATAATTAATCACTAGAATTCACAATCTGAGTGGTAATGTCTCTAGATACAATTTCCATCTAACTTGTCAATAAAGAGATGCACATTGACATAATTAGTGAAAATAGGAATATTAGACCTAATAGAAGTTGTAAAGGTCATAAACCCTAGAGCAGAGACAATACAACAACAACAGCAACAGGGAAGGAAAAACAACAATAGGAGAGAGAAAACAAGAATACTACAAAGGAAGGATGATTTTGCAGTTGCAGCGGCAGACAATGGTGAGAAAATTATTTTTTGTTTTCATCTTTAACTACAAAAATGTCAACTTGCTTTCATTTTGTGTTCTCAAAAGTTTGCATAGAAAAAGTGAAAACAAAAAAGCAATAAAAATTGTTTTGACTGTAATTTTTTTTAAAACAGGAAGCAACGTGAAAACAATGTTGCATTTCTGAATTAAGAGTGAAAACAGAAAACATTTTGCCAAACCAAACCACTCATTAATTTTCTCATTAAAAGTAATCACCTTCATTTTAAATTTACTGTCCTATTTAGAAGTTTTATAAATGTGTAAATATATCTTAAGCGATGCTTACAATATTCTTGCTTTACTGTCTCACTCCATAAAACATGCTCACAATAGCAGAAGTTATCTTTTGTTATATCACGTGACCACATTTTAAAAAAATACAGCAGATGAGTACCAATCTGCCGCTATATTTTAATAAACTCATTAGATACTCAAAAGGATGACGGAGAATTTGAGGCAGAGTCTCAGTATGGATCAGATGTATGAATCCAAAATAGAAAAGAAAGTCAGAGAAAATGTTTTACCTTTTTAATTAAAATAAGAATTAGGGGGAGGGGTAGTCTAATAAAAAAGTCATGTTAGAAAGAAAAAAATCCATAATGCTTCACATAAAAAAGAAATTAAGTTTCTTCTCAACGTAATGGCAACATGAACTGCATACCTTAGACCTGATACAGTCTGCTTTTGTCTCAGTAAGCCTAATTCACTTTCTGCAATGGAAGTGGACCTGCTATTATCAATCGATCTATCATTTCTCAAGAAACTGCCTCTAAGCAAGGCCTGAAAATATTTTAACAAACAATCATCAATTGCAACAGCAAAGCTCGAGCTCAAACCAAGTCCTAGATTTAAATTCATTCTTCAAATGTATCCAAATTTATGGTATTTCCCACTTCTAGGTTTCCTCCAAATTCTAGAAATTTTCTATTTTTCACATAATACAATTCTCCATTCACTATGCCTGTGATGAAATTATTACAGTTCATCCTCCCCACAAATTGAGTATAACAATAAAACCATTTAGGTTACCCTAAAACTATTTCACTTCAAGTTCTCCTAAGAGTGCTTTCTAACACTAATTCAGTTAAGGCAAATAATTTACGAATTACATTGGGCGAAAAAATGTCCAACATCAACACATCATACATTATGGTGCCAGAATAGTAAAGAAATAAGGCCTCAAAGATATCAATCATGTAGTAGACTAACCTGAATACGATTACGATGGGGGAAATGAGATACAACCCGATGGTCCAACAATTCCTGAACTTCCCTTTGCCTTTCCATCTGAGCCTTCTTAAGCATATCAAGCAGTACCTGTCTGCCACATAATTTACGGATTCCCCTTCGTGTATGTTCAGTTTGACCCTCATTCTGATTAACAACAAATCCATCACGAACACATTCAATTTGGGTAGCAGTTTCAGAAGATTGGTCTTCTCTATTTTCTCCAGAAGAAATACCTCTCTGCTGGCTACTCATCTGTACCCACTCCCTTATGATACTTACCCTTTCCTGCTCAGTTTCCCCGAGCCATTCTCCCCTGTTTCCTTGGGAATTATTCGATGACCGATCCCTAGAGCCACTATTCATCCATTCCCTGAATATTTGCCTCACTCTTTCCCTTTCAACTTCTCCAAGATCAGAGGAGTTTTCGTGACTAGAATTGTTTAATTCCTCATGTTCGTCATGGAACTCATTCTGACTTTGTGACCAGGTTTCAGAATCATTCTCACCCAAACCTGCATCCTCTATTCCATGCGCTTCTCTCTGGTTGCTATCTGGCATATTTTCCAGTGAGGGGTCCACAACCAACTCATCACTCCTTTGTTGGAGTAAAACCTCCCCAGGTCTTCCTTGAACTTGTCTCACTACCTGCTCATCCTCAATCTCTCTCCACATTTGCAAGACCGAAGACGACCGGGTGCCTCCCCTCCCTCCATCTCCTTGCCTCCCAGATGACTGAGAAAGGGATTCCCTCAGGAAAGTAGATTCGAGCGCAGTCACATTATGCACTCCAGCAACAGCCATTTCTAATTTAGTTCATAACAAGCACACAGATATTTTCAATCCATCTGACTCAAATGCACTAAAATTTGCATATCATGTGGAGAAATCGAAGATACACAGAAACAGACCTTACATTTCCATTGATTTGAATCACTTTTGCTATTACCATTACTCTCCCTGATATCATCATCATCATCGTCGTCAGTATTAGCCTCATAAAGAAAAATAACTACAAAATCTGTATTTCGCAAAATTGCAATTGAAAGGAATTACGGCTTACTCTACGTTAGCCTGCCAAAAAACGAAATAATAATACTAATAAAAAATAAAAAAAATAATAATAATAACAGAATATGAAATCAATCAATTTATTCAATTCTTTCTGTACAAAATAGTGCTTATAAGAAAATCACTAAAACATAGCTTGTCGATAATAAGATAATCAACGTGAGTTTTAGAGTTTTCATATCGGCTATATTGCTAAGCTAAAATTCTCAAAGAATGAAAATCTCAAACTTTCCAGGTAGCAAAACAGAGTTGCAGATCATTCAATTTTTTCGATAGTAAATAAAGCAAAAGTGAAATAGGAATGTTAATTCAAACAAAACTGAGTGTAGAAAATTTCAGTATTGGAGGAAACTCAAGTACTGAAGCGCGAGCTGAGTGTGAAACATGAAAAAGAAACGTACCATAGAAGCTCCACCTTCGATTTCGAAGTAAACAAAAAAGTAACCTAATCTCAATAAAAATCAGAGAGAGAATGAAAAATCGAAGACACAGTGAAGACTGAAACACAGAGAGAGAGAGAGAGAGAGAGAGAGAGAGAGAGAGGGAATAGCTGAGAATTTAGAAAAAGATAAATAAATGTGGACACGTCAGCGTCTGCGAGACTTTTCCTCATCAGAATTTTCTTTTATTTTCTAAAGCAGCTATCATTCCGGTGACACGTGGCGATTTCTCTTTTGTTCCGGGCAATTGACGAAACGTTCCAAATCTTAAATCGAACGTGAAGTTTGGTGGAAGCCAATTCCTAAACGACGCCGTCTCGATACGTTATAGTATACAGTTATACTTACCCATCTTAAAATCCTTTTCTATAGTTTTCCTTACAACCAGAAACAATTAATTATTTAATGTTGTCGTTTTTTTCTCCACCAAACACAAACATCTTACAACAGTGAAAATCAGAAACGTCATGCCAAATCAGAAACGTGTCACAATAACCTCTTTATTTTACTGAACTTGATTTAGACTGTATCGACCATTTCAGATAAGTACAATTCAAGAAAATCAAAAGTGTTTAATAGTTTTTTTTTCTATAAATAAAAAGTTCACAAAATTAGACATTATCCCTTTTATTTATGGTTAAAATGTCACAAAATTTAGTAACTACTTAAGACTGTATATAAATAATTTATAACTTTAATTGTTTATTCTTTCACAGAAACCTCTTTATGGCTTTTCATCATATAGTCATGCTTACGTTTTATTTTTTTTCATGTTATCTTCAATTAAATTATCACAATTGAATTATTACCATACCCCAGGTCAAATAAAGTTGGCATGGCAGAACAAAGTGGGGGACTAGGTTAGCCATCAATTATACTACAAATTCACTTGTAAAATAAACTATAAAATATAAAATTCAGCTGTAAAGAACTGTTCTACACGCGCAATAAGATGAAAAGCTAATTCATCAACCAGTTTTTAGACAGGAAAAAAATTATTGCCAATCATTAGATAATTTGTATATAATCATGGGGTCATTGTTTATATATATGCCATCTTCTGCCATGTATAACTGTAAAAAGAGGCAAATTAATCATTACAGGGAGTGGTTAAAGATTAGTAAATGCTTTTCCACCGTCCAAATATTGTAAACTTGACAAGAATTATTTGATGAATAATCGATTCACTGTAAGATTATTATAATATGCAGATAGTTGAAGAAAAAATGAACACTCTGGGTCTGGAAGAAGAAGGTATGGTCATGATGATGTTCAGAAAAGGCTGCATTGAACACATGGACACTTTTGTGGAGGCAGAACTCAACTTTAAACATTGGTCATTAATTGGTTCGTTTAAGTTCTTAAAATCAGTGGATAGATTCGGATATGGATGAGTTTAGTATTAACTAGTTGAAGAAAAACTTATATGAACATGTCTACTAAAGGTGCTTCAACGTAATCATAAGGTTGCTTTGTATAAAACACATACACAGCATAGATCTTCCTTGGAAATTAAGGAAAATTGGAAAAGTGCCCCTCTCCCCAAAAAATAAACTACAAAAGAAAAAAGCGCGTCCTGTTAAATTAAGCTCCCTTGTCTAACCTCACTTTTCTGACTGTTTTTGTTAATTGACAAATTTCCGAACACATTGCATGCATGTGTCCTTTGTCCTCATGTTTCACCATCGATCACAACTCAAACGAGCAGTATTTACTGGTAGATAGATGAACGTGAGTATCTTCTCCTGATCTAAACTTTTCTTTATGAAATAAAATCTCTAACATCTAACTACATACAAATCTAGTGAGATTGCAAAGATTATAAGTCGTATAGTTTCTCACCTGATTGGCATTAATTGGTCCAATGGGAGTACCCCCGCAAGTAAATGATTGGAGAAAGATTGTCTATGCTTTGGTGAAAATCACCAAATCAATAACATGCCAAAATTCATATACTAATTCAGTGTGAACTGGATGTGAAATGATGTAGGCCATGGAGCAGAACCACCGTCACAAAGTCCTGATAGATATGCTTCCTTCCTTGCTTCAAAGTTATTGTCCAACGTGACACCCCTTATCTCACTTTTCCTAACTTTTTAATACACACTCACCCTTTATATCACTTTTCCTAACTTTTTAAGATATACAAATTTAAAATATATTTTGCTTCCAAGTATTTAAAAGCACTATAAATTATTTCAGAATATTTTACAAACTCAGGATTTCATAATATACAGAGTATACTTTATATAAAACTTCTTAGGATTTGGAAGGGCGATGAAACATGTTATCCTTTACTCATATTTGTTTGTCTAATATGTTTTATCTATCAAAGCCCTCGTGAATATCTGAAAGATAATCAAGGAATTAAAATAAATGGTGTTGGCTTCAAAAGTTAAATAGACTAAATAAAGAATTGAATTTATATAAAGAACTGTCCCAAGCTTTTTCCTTTCCAATAAACTAAATTCCGTTTATTTCAAAGCATGGGCACATGGAATTGGTCCATTACACTGAATCCATCCATATATCGTAAGCCCCACGAAACATTTTGCAAGTTGGTCGATCATGCACCTACTCAAAATGAATCCACTATTTTAGGGGGTAAATTTTGTTGAAAGAGTAGTTTTGGCTTCACATGATGATAAGAAAACCACCACTTCATTCACTTTTCAGTTTGCATTAGAATGAATTGTTGTGATCAGAAACAAAATATGTGTGTTGTGATTGGGATGGACAAAAGGGTTTAGAACAAAAACTTTGTTAGGAGATGTCCTACTCCAAGGGTCATTTTCCTTTGGGTAAATTAGTATATTGCTTTGCTTGTGAGGCCTATTTCCTTTAATCATTGCATTTTTCATTTTTCAAGGGGGCCTCTCATCATTACTCCAAACCTGATGCAATTGAAAGGATTGGTTGTCACAGGTCAAGCCCCACCACCAACTACTCTTCACCCGCAACCTCCACAAGTCACCTTCGTACTAGGGTTTTTAATGTTCCTACTTTCTAAGACATGTTACAAGTTCAAAACCTAGAACTAGATTTGGATTATTCACTTTCTTTTGGTCAATGGAATCTACATACACTTCTTGGATCACTGTTAGTTGAACAGTACAATGAATCAGCCCAGATTGTTTGTTATGTACTCCTTGTTCAAGCCCAAAATGTAAAATAGTTCTCTTTACAATCTAGGTCCATTACAAATGAGCCTTTGGTACCTAATGACCAACTTTTTCATTTTTTTGCTTATTCTTGGTGTCCCTTTGTTGGTCATGAACCTCATTTTCACATGAAAAAAAAAATGAATCTTTCTTTACCCTAAACCCTAAATCTTTCTTTACTCCTACCCTCCCTAAGAGAATTGCTTAAAACTTCTTTCAAGAATGAAAAAAGCCCTTCAAAAAGAAAATAGAGTTTAAGTGGGAATTGAGATCAAAATAAATTCAAGCAATACAATTCTTCAACCAAGAGATAAATGTTCACTTTTTAACTATAGTAAATGATTTCCTACTTCATCCACCATAGGTTACAAGTGGATTTAATTTTATTATTCAATCCAATACAAAACAAACTACTATAAATAAAGTTGTTTTTTTTTTTTGCAAATATATTTTTCCTAAATATAAAAGTGTGAAAGGTACAACCATGTAGCGTATATATTTCAAAACATTCAATTCAAACCCAAAATTGTCATTCACCATGAAATCTCACTTCCCATCATCATACAATCTAAAAGTCCCACATCATTGAATCATTGACTTTTTTGGAAAATATATAATAAAAACAGTAAACTATAAAGGTAAATTTTTTATTTTTAAATAATACGTTTATTAAGAAATTTCAAAAATAATAACTCCTATGAATAATTTTTCACTTAAAAATAATAAAAAATATAGATTATGAGTTTGTACGTATTTTAAATAACATATTTGATTTTACTTTAATATATATTTGTATTGTTTTAGAAAAATATATTCTATGTCCTCATATTCTTTATTTTATTATTTTTAGAAGGAAAGAAAAATAAAAAATTGAATAGAAAGTGAGAGTTTGATTTTAATAAGTAGCTTTTTTTATTTTACCAAAGATGCTTTGGTTTTATAAAGTTTTGAATGTTTAGTACAAACCAAAATAAAACTTTAACAAGAAAAATACATAAATCTTATACAAATTAAATGATATTTCAAAATAAAAACAAATTTAATTACATAATAATAATATTGAGATTGTAATTTTAAAACTGTTTGATTGAAATTTTTGATAAATAATATTACAACTAACCAAAAAAAAGTTAATAATCAAATATATGAATGATTTATAGTCAGTATACGGCGTATAATTCACTGAAAAAATATTTATGACAATATTATAATACAAATACAAATGTAATTTTAAAAACAAATTAAATAACTTTTAATAATAATAATAATAATATAGAATAAAATCAATGTTTTAATTGTAAACTAACATTGATTTTGAAGTCATAAATATTTATTCTTGGTGTCTTATTATTAATGGATGGTGTAGTAAATCATATATTTGTTTATAAAAAGAAAAAAAAAAGAAAACTAGAGGAAAATAGAATTGTCATTTTTCGTAAATTATTTTCAACTGAATTTCTCAATTTTTTATAAAAAATATTTTGTTAATAAATTATAAAATAACTCACTATAACCTATTATATATATATATATATATATATATATATATATATATATATATATATATATACTTAAAAAGTTGTAAGAATACGAGGAAAGGTAAAATATTAGTTAGTAATTTTAATTATTCCCTACTAACACTATTTATTATATCCCATAAAACAGGAAAATATATTATTTTAAAAATCAATTTAATCGGTTTAATTAAAAATTGATATAAAAATTAATATATTATTTAAAAAAAATCAAATAAAAAAATTGACTAAAACTTTTTGATAAAAAAATAAAATTATTTTTTAATGTAATTTTTCTAAAATATATAATATATTTTATTTTATATATATTAACTTTAAATAATAATTATTTTATTTTATACTTTTTAATATAATTTATATTTTTAAATTTTATTATAACTCATATCTATTATAATAATCAATTTTATTATTATTTTTTATAAAAATACATTATTACTAATAATATATTTTATTAAATTCCATTAAATATGATTCAACCTTTAAATTCTTAGTATATATTTTTACATATAAATCGATTTAATTTTAAATATAGTATTATAAAATTTAAAATATAAAAATTGAAAAATAATATATATATATATATATATATACCAAAATAAATTTATATTACAAAAAATAAAAAATCAAATAGTACACAACGGTATATTAATTTAAAATAAAAAACACCTAAAACAAGTGTAGACAGTTGAGATATTAGTTTTATTCTTATAAGTTTTACTGACATTGAGTATATGATGTGAATTAAATTGTTATAATTTTGAAATTTCAAATTTCAGTGGCTGTCTTACCTAATGTGAAATTGATTGCTATAAACTATTTTTTACTTTTAATTATTATTTTATAAAGATAGAAAAATAATATCAATTTACGATTCTAATAAAAAACAAACTTTTTTTTTTATTATTGATTGATGATTTGCTGTGATGTTTTCATTGTTACTTGATTTAATTTGTTTTCATCAAATTAAATTTATTATAATTATCTAAAATAAATAGTTATAATATATTTATTCTAAAAAAATTTCCAATTAACTTTAGATGTGAATAAACTAAGATAAAATTATCCTTAAAAATAATATAAAAAATATTTTAGTTTTAAAATTTGAAAAAAAATTCGTTTTGAATTTTTGTATTTTATTATTAACTTTTTTTTAAATATAAAAAGTTTTACTGTTGTACTTTGCAATCGTAAAATATATTGGTATATGCAAATGTTGAAAAAATAAAAATATGAAAGTGAAAAGTTAATCATTAACCAGTTCCATAATCTTCTGCATTTTCATACTCAATTCTTAATGTTCACCCGTGTGGCGGTATTAACATTAGAAAATGTTTAATTCAAGTGAAAACGTTATATTTAGTTAATTTTTTTTTTTAAATTCAATTGTTTTAAAGATTTATATTATTTTCAGTACTTTGTCATGTAATATAATAATTTAAAAATATAATCTTAGTTACTGTCAAGACAATTTGTGATTGTGATAACTAATTATAATATAAATAAATGTTATCATGATAATGATAACAATAATTAACATATTAATAATAACAATAATTTTGATAACATTAACAATAATATTATTGTTTCACAATTATCACAATAGTTTTAATAACTACTTCTATAATTATGGTGGTGTATGTAAATATAATCAAGATAATAATAATAAGAATAATAATAATAATTACATGTTAGTTGATCCTGTGGCATTGGCCAATTTATTGTTGATCTTGATTAGCTTGCTTATAAAATCGTAATTATGGCAGTGGTTAGTAAATATAAAATGTAGATGTTTTAAAAGAATGTTTAATTATTAGATATTTACTTAGAGAGTTAACTATTACATAGTTTTAATTTTTCAATTATCAAATATTTTAATTTATTAGTCTGTCAAACAATAGTTTCATTAACTCTCATTCAATTAATGATGAAACTAAAATGTGTGAGTTTTAAATTTAAATTAATAAATAAAAATATATTATCTGGATATAGAAAAAGATAATGAAAATTACACGTTCTAAAAAATAGTTAACTTACATGAAATAAATAAATCATATATTCATAAAATCGAATATACATATTATAATTAGTTATGGGAGAGATTAAGAATTTAACCGTAATTTATCAAATATCTTTTAATAATTGTATCGATTTAAATATAAGCATATAATGAAAAGTTGATAATAATATAATAATTTATGATAAATCGATATATTTTTTCTGGTAAGTTTTGATAATAGATAGAAAAAATATTTTTCTGAAAACTATGTTAGTTTTCTCCCATGTTTGTTCATTTAAAAAATTGAAATCTGAGACTTAAGGAAAAGAAGTATAATACCAGTTTTAAAAAGTATGTTCTCCATTAATTAATTTAAAATTACATATTTTGATTATATATTATTATATTAGTATGTACCGTTAAATATTTGAATAACAAATAGTTATTAGACACCTCTTGGAAATGGTGATGGATAGACCCGCAGGAATTTTAAAAATTGGTCAAATAATGTATTTAATTGTATGGAACGTATAAATAAGAAAGCAGAAACTAGAATATCACGAAACACAAGGCGAAATGGAAAATCAAAATCTGGAGAAAATGTATCGCCATCATCGCAGGGTTAGTTTCGGCATTGGAGAAAACATTAAGATCGCTTCTGCGTCTTTTCCCTTAACCTCAAATCCCAAATCATTCACTCCTTCCCTTTTTTCCAAACCCTAACTTTCCCTTTCGAACCCAATCCTCTCGTTCAACCTCCCCATTTGCATGTGCAATCCACACACTTTCTCGGATCTTCCATAATTTTCGGGTGTGATTGTGGCTTTTGTGTTGCCAATAGGTCAAATCAATGGCGAAGGGCACCGATTCCGACGAGTTCGTGTTACTTTCAAGGGTCCGTACGGGTCTGAAGAGGGAGTTTGCGTTCGCAATGAAGGCTCAATCTGAGATCTGCGGCGGTTCTCTTGGTCGAACGCGGGCCAGCAAGAACCGGCCCGAGGCTCCTGTTCAGACGGCTTCTACCCGTAAACGGTACAGGAAGACCGCGGAGCCGAAAGCGTCGGAGGACGTCATGAGCGAGGAAGAGGCTAAGAGCGACGTGGTGGATCTTCAGAGCGACGATGAACCAAAGAATAATCACGCGGGAGAATCAGAATCTGCGACAATGTTGGATTGTGAAGAGGAACCGAAGAGTGATGTGGCGATGGAAACTGTCATCAGCGAAGAGGAACCGAAGGTGTTGGAAACAATTATCAGCGAAGAGGAGCCGAAGGTGTTGGAAACAATTATCAGCGAAGAGGAGCCGAAGGTGTTGGAAACTATTATCAGCGAAGAGGAGCCGAAGGTGTTGGAAACTATTATCAGTGAGGAGGAACCGAAGGTGTTGGAAACTGTTATGGGCGAAGAGGAGCCAAAGGTGTTGGATAGTATTGTCAACGAGGAGGAACCTGTTGTGGCGGAGACGTTGAAGGAAGAGGTTGTGAATGAGATGGTACATCCTGTTAGCGAAATTAACGAGGAATCAGCAGAGAAGGATATTTCGGGAGAGAAGGATCCTTGTGGGGAAACCCTTGTTTTGGAGAATGATGGTGACAAGGGGAAGAAAAAGAAGAAGAGAATGAAAAAGCGATTGGAGGGGCCTCAGACTGTAAGAAGGTTTACGCGGTCGGCATTGAAGGTAAATTCCGAGGAAACAAACGATAGAAAATATGTTGGTGTGGTTGGACATAATGATGGTATTAAAAGGGAAACAGAAACCGAAGCTTCGGTGTTAATGACTACTCCTAGTTCGGGAAGATTTTCGAATTCTAGGTTGAGGAAGTTTCCTACCAAGTTGAAGGATCTTTTGGCTACGGGGATTCTTGACGAAATGCCGGTGAGGTACATGAAGGGATCAAAGGTATTTAGTTGCTGCTTTTAATAATGGTTTTTAAATGTTTATATTTGAAAATTTCTGCTTGATGTTCGACTTTGTTTGAGGATTTTTTAGGCACGGAAAAATGGAGAAACAGGGCTTCAAGGAGTGATTCGACACTCTGGGGTTTTGTGCTTTTGTGAGAGTTGTAGGGGGGCTGAGGTGAGTTAGATAAATGCGTCTTTTTAGTATCTGACCGACATGGTTGTAATTTGTGCTTTATATTTGGTTTTTGGTGAAAATAGGTAGTCACGCCCACTGTGTTTGAGTTGCATGCCGGCAGTGCAAATAAACGACCCCCTGAGTATATTTACATGGATAGTGGGAATTGTGGAAATAACCTCCGTGATGTCATGAATGCCTGCTGCGATTTGCCATTGGAGTCAATGGAGGAAGCCGTCCAAAAACTCCTTGGTGATTTCACTATGAACAAATCTTCCATCTGTTTCAACTGCAGAGGTTTGGAATGCTTGTTTGATTTCACACCCTTGTTTCTCCCAACGTGTTACCGCTTTGCATACTTATTTCCAGGCCATGTAACAAGTGATATTAATGGGGTTTAGTGTCTATTTTAGGAGCGTGCAAGGGTGTGTCAAAGCTAGTATGTGAATCTTGCATATTAAGCCCCCCTCAAACAGCCACAGCTAGTAGCAAAAAAATTTCACCCCCAGTGCAACCAAGGTATGTTTTATTTTTTCTTTTGTAAACATAATGACTACCTAAGTTTACATTATAAAGATACGAAGTAAGAATTTATGGTAAATATGGTAACATGTCCTTCGAAAACTTAATATTTATCAACTGTTGTACATGCCCTGTCTTATTCATTATTAATGAATGTACAGAATGTTATAGTATAAGTTGACGAATTATTTTGTTTAATGCCACTCTCACTTTCACTCGAGAGTTCTATATCAGATTATCTAATGTGTGCTGTGAGTGTGATGTTATCAAAGTTCACTGAATTTATTGCATATGATCATTTAATGCATGCATATTCCATCTATCTCAGATCACCAGAGACAGTAATGGTTCAAAAATTAGACAATGTGATGCAGCCAACTTCATTCGACAATGGGGTGCAGTTAATTTCACTGGATAATGGTGTACTGCCAAACTCGTTAAACAATTGGGTGCAGCCAAACTCATTAAACAGTGAGATGAAGCCAACTTTGTTAAATAGTGGGATGAAGCCAAATTCATTAAAGAATGGGATGAAGCACAGTGCATCTCGTGGTAAGAGTCAGGGAAGACTTACTAGGAAGTAAGTGTGTTTTATAGCACTTATCTTAACATTTGCTTCACTTAGAGTTTAGAAATGCTTATATTACTTGCGTAAACATATCATGTTTAGTCTTTCCAGGAACTTAATTCATGTCCATATGTTTTTATTTTTGAAAGGGATCTGCGCTTGCACAAGTTGGTATTTGAGGCAGATGTTTTGCCAGATGGAACTGAAGTAGCCTACTATGCTCATGGACAGGTTGCTTTGATTTGAATATTTTTTTCCTATTATTTATGACTATTACCTTTCCTGATTGCACTTTTGTTTGTGACCAGAAACTGTTGGTTGGTTACAAAAAGGGATATGGAATATTTTGTACCTGCTGCAACTCTGAGGTGCTTTTTCTTGTTAACTGTTATATTGTGCTTACCTATTAGGCTATGGCAAATGTTTAATACCTGTACTTTAAAAAAAAAAAAATTTGATCACACAGGTCAGTGCCTCTCAGTTTGAAGCACATGCTGGCTGGGCATCTCGACGAAAGCCGTGAGTTTTTGTTTAATTTTTTATTGGATGTATGGTGCGCCTGCACGGATTGTCTAGATTTTCATTAATATGCACATCAAATGAGTTTTTTTTTTCTTGCTCATCAAATGAGTTTAACTTGTTATTGGATGTAATTCATGATGGAACACTCATGCACCCCTAAGAAATTGGAAAATAAGAAAAGGAAAGGGACAAAGTTTCGTTTCTACTTTCCCTTAAAAGTGATGTCATGGTAATAAATATGTTTTCCCCTCAAATACTTAATCTGATTATTTAATTAGTTTTTCATATTGCACTAGAAGTAGAAAATATTAGTAGAAATCAAAAGAAAAAACATTGAACTGGTGATGCAATTTAATGCAAATTTAGATATATTGATTCGGTGTGTTTTATACAATTGACTAGTAATCGTCATATCCTTGTTTAAAATTGTGTTATTGTGATGCAGTTACCTGCACATTTACACATCTAATGGAATCTCACTCCATGAGTTGTCCATCTCTTTATCAAAAGACCGGAGATTTTCCAATAATGATAATGATGATCTATGCATCATATGTGAAGATGGAGGGGATCTTTTGTGTTGTGATGGATGCCCTAGAGCTTTCCACATAGGTGAAATGTTTTCTTTTTATTGCTTTAATCTATTCTGGATTGGCATTTGTTACTTTACCTTTTCTTCCAATCATGGTATACATACAAGTGTTAAATTTTGAACTGTACAAGCAACTGGATACAAAAGGATAAATTTTTTTGACATATTGATACAATGTCAGTAATTATATATTGGCAGCCAAAAATAATAAATAAAAACACGCAAAAAGCTTCTTTAAAGAATGTTTTTACCTTTATAGAATCTCTTATGGTCGTGGCTGTTGAGTAATTTCTTATGGTTGTTAAACGCATGTTGCAAAAGACCACAATGATTTGAGAACGTGCCATTCTTTATCTCTGTTTAGGATATTGTTATACCCAACGATTTTTAGAAAAATCTGTAATTTTAAGGCAATTGTAAGCTTTTGAATAAATTCTTCAATTTTAATTTATTTTATGATCAAACTAAATGGAAAACTCGTTATTTTTGTAAATACACTTTTGAAATTTTATTATCAACATAATTTAGAAAAAAAAAACCAAAGTTATATATCTCAACTAACATTTAAACAATGGAGATAACTGTTGTTGGTTTGGTTTTTTGTGGTGATTCTTTATAATATGTCATCCGTGAAACCCCTTTAAGGCCTTGGTGGTGCTTTTTGCAGGGCTTTTCCCTCCCTAAAACATTGTACAAAATTCTCTCCCTACTATGATGTAACAAATTTTTTCAACCAAAAGTGAGAATAATTTTCAAAATAAAGCATTTTATGTATGATATTCTTCATTGATAGTCTTGCAGCACTGCAAATTATGGTGATGGCGGAGTTTGTATCATTGTATCCTTTTTCCTGACAGTTTATATATTTACAATTTCAGATTGTGTCCCTTTACCATGCATTCCTAGTGGTACTTGGTATTGTAAGTATTGCCAGAATGTTTTCCAGAAAGATAGGCAGGGGCAACACAATGTGAATGCTCTGGCAGCTGGAAGGATTGAAGGAACTGATATTTTGGAACAGATGAACCCAAGATGTATACGGGTTGTCAAAACTGTGGAAGTTGACCATGGTGGATGTGCCTTGTGCAGGTAACACTGCCATATATTTGTTTATTAGCAAGCTGTTTAGTGACCCAAGCTATATTATTCCTATGACTTTCTTTGGCCGTGTTATGGTTTGAACAGCCAAAGGAAAAATCGCCAATAAAAGACATGTATCTTTTATGGGTTGATTTGATGAACTTAAGTGGGATTCTTATATTGTATTGAATACTTTGTTCTGTGTTTTTAATAATGGCTAGTATTCTATACATGTGATTTAATGCGCCTGCACTAACACAATATTTTTACCTTCCTGATGCTTTGTTGTTACTTACAGTCGTCACAATTTCAGTAAAAGCTTTGGTCCTCGAACAGTAATTATTTGTGATCAGGTACTGCTTTATCTGAATTTTAAATACAGGCCTTAGGAACCTAGTTTTTTTTTTAACTATATATTTATTATGTTTAAAGTTGTGATTGGGTATGTTGTTGCAGTGTGAGAAAGAATATCATGTTGGATGTTTGAAGGATCATAACATGCAGAACCTTGAGGTACCATTGTTTATTCTTTATTTTCTCCCTCTATTGAAGTATTATTCTAGTAATACATACATTTTTTAATGGAGGATTATCTTTTACAGGAATTGCCTGAAGGGAACTGGTTTTGTAGCACAACTTGCACTCAAATTCATTCTGCTTTGGTGAGTTTGGCGGCTTGTGGGGAAAAAAATATTCCAGATTCCCTTCTAAGTTTGATAAAAAAGAAGCACGAAGAGAAAAGTGTAGACATTGATGGTGGTCTTGATGTTAAGTGGAGGGTTATAAACTGGAAACTAGATGATTCTGTTGAAAATAGGAAAAGGCTTTCAAAAGCTGTTGCTATTTTCCATGTGAGTATAAAAGATTATACTTTATTTAGTTTTCTATTTTTTTTTATCAGTTACTTTGTCTTCTGTAAATAAATTGTGAAATATTTATCATTTTGATAGATGTGGAATTTTAATTAATATTAGAATCTTGTGTTTAACAGGAAAGGTTTGATCCTATAGTTGATTCAACATCTGGCCGAGATTTCATTCCAACAATGTTGTTTGGGTAAGCCTTCGATATTTTTTATTCGCGAGTGTATGTATGCATGTATATATATATATATATATATATATATATATATATATATATACATATGTGTGTGTATGTGTGTGTACTTGCTCTAGAGTAAGTGTAGGAGATTAAGGGTGGGTTTCTTTACTGTTTTTAAAAACAGTTTTTGTTTTAAAAGCTAAAAAATGTATTTGATGACTAATTTGTTAAAAACAAATTTTAAAAATTGTTTTTTTTTTCTAGTTTTTTAATAATTAAATATCAAAACTGATAAAAGTGTATTCTGCTTTTAGTTTTTTATTTTCATTAATTAATCTAAACTATATCATCAATTAATTACCCTAAATCACTCATTTTCATCATCTTGGAGTTATTAAAATTGATATCTAAACCTGTTTTTAAAATGTAAAAAACAATTAAATCGAACAAGTTTTTACTCTGCATTTTTTTTAATATGATATAATATAGTGATTTATCTGAATCATAAGATTAAAAAAAGAAAAGATAAAGAACAAGTTTTTACACTCTGTGAAAGTGAATTGATTATCTTGTTGGTTTCATTCTCAGTAGGAACATTCGGGGTCAAGATTTTAGTGGAATGTACTGTGCAGTGCTTACTGTCAAGTAAGTATCAAGGTGGTATGATTTTTCTAGAGGTGCAAATTTGGTTGGAATTGTTACCTGATTGATTGTATTATGATTGCTCTGCAGTGGCGATATTGTGTGCGCTGGAGTGTTTCGTGTCTTTGGGTCAGAAATTGCAGAGCTTCCGTTGGTGGCGACAACTTCTGATCAACAAGGACAGGTTATTTTATTTTATTTTTTCTTTAGTGAAAAGTATATAGGAACTGTCTAATATTTTATAAGTGTCAGGAAATATTCTAACTGAGCGATATGTATATTTTTTCAGGGCTATTTTCAGTGTCTATTTTCTTGTATTGAGACGTTACTTCGATCTTTAAATGTGAAAAACCTTGTCCTACCAGCCGCTGATGAAGCCGAATCAATATGGACTGGTAAATTTGGGTTTTCAAAGCTGCCACAAGATGAGGTATCCGTATTGTAATATTGTTGTTTGGTTTATATTCTCTGGTTACCACTCATTATATTAGACTAACTTCTGCTGTCGTTACAGATAAACAAGTATAAGAAATTTTATCGCATGATGATATTTCAAGGGACCTCGGTGTTACATAAGCTTGTTCCCGCACTCTGAAGTTTGTGTAAAGTTTTTTGGTGGTACAATATGCAGTAGGCTTTTTTTCTTGGTTGCTTTTGCTGGCTGAGATGTATGTACAGGGATCTGCCTTTTTTGGTGTACAGAAATACTGACAACCACCTCTAGCTGTTATAATTTGTTTTCGTAGCAAAGGAATGAAAGGAGGTTAGAGTTGAAAATAGAGGAAGCTAGGTCAAGGGATTTTGTGAAACTAGCCAAAATTTTGGTTTATGTTATAAAATTCATTTATTACTGGCCACACTGGTTCTTAACCTCCTTTTTTAACTAATGTAGTCATTTAATTTTGTCCACACTATTCGTTTTTCAATCATAGATGTATATTTTAGGTATGTAAATTCCCGCCGTATCTTTAAGACTTAGCAAGTGAGAGATGTTCGTATAAAACTTCGGTGGAAGCACTAAACTGGGGATTTTAATTTATATTTAGGTAAGTTTAGTTTAAACTGTACCTATAATAGCTGCTTCTATTTACAAACCTTTTGTTTAATGCGATTTGTAATTAATATCAATATAAGTTATTACCGATGTGAGCAATGCCTAATTATTATCAATATAATGTGATTTGTAAAGATGAGTGCGTATGATCGTATGCAAAATTACGACGTAGATGTCATTAAGATAATTGATGAATTAGGGTAGATTTTACTTGTTGAATCCGAAATTACGAGCAGTTTCCAATGAAAATCGTGTTGGAGGATTGGATAGGACGATTCGCGTTGCACGCTCATCTTGGTTGCATCTCGAAGCGGTTGATTTTTGTCAACATATTCTTTAAATTTCCCTTGTTGGTTAGCGGGTTTTGTTTGAAATTTGAAATTGCAGGTAATTAAATTAAATTGTTGTTTTCGATCGATAACGAACCTTGGAATTGTATAAAATTTATTCTTTCAACAACCCCTGTTTGGTGGGATGCACGTGACGGCTAGACTTTACCTTCCCCTCTGCCTACTTTGGGTCAATGTATAAATAGCTTATGTTATATGGATTATTGTACAAGTTACAGTATTTAAATACTATTATATTGTAATTTTCTAATTACATTTTACAAATACTTTCTAATTCTGTTCCTGCTAATACAAGCAAACACCTTTCAATTTTAACATTATGTTTAACATTTTTTTTCACATCATCTTTCTGTTTTTAACCAATAGTTATTTAAAATAAATAAAAAATGTTATTGTGTTGAAATAAAATTAGATAAAACATTTTGTACATCTCAATTACAGGTTTTCTTCTTCATAGTATACACGGAACATACAAGAATGAATGGACTTAACAATATATAAGAAAATATTGTTAATGAGAGACAAAATATATTTATTTGTGTTTATGATAATTGAAGTTGTTAATCTCTTATATAAATTTTATAAATATGTTCAAAAGGTAAGGGTTGATTAATAGTTTTAAATTTCAAACATAATACAATCAAAATAAGATAAATAGCATCCTAATAAAGTATTTAATTACAAATACAAAAATTTAAAATAGAAATAACTAATTGTAAAATTAAACTTTACAATCTCAAAATTTTTATCTATAAAATGATAGAAAAAAGTTATATTCACAGAAAAATACACTAATACAAGTTTAAATGAATGTTATTATTTTATCTTTGAAAACTATAAATTAAATTAAATCAGTTTTAAAGATATCAAATAAATTAAAAACTTGTCTATACCATTATATTTGAACTAAACAATCAAATAAAAATAATTAACGTTAATTAAATTATTATATTATACTATTTGAAAATCCGAGAAAAAAAAATCCAGAAAAAAAAATCAACATAGTCAGCATCCACTATGCAACGTATAATTTAGATTAAGCATCATAAAAAAATAACGACAGAGAAAGTATGCAACTTTTTTTTTTGTCTTATAATGGTGGATTTGGTTGAAAGGAAGAGAGATAACGAGTGGAGATATAATAATATGAGGTACTTGATAAAGACGAAGAAGAGAAATAAATTTAAAACATTGTAAGGTATATTTTATTATTTTTAATATATTTCTATTTTTCTAACTTAACTTTTTATATTTTAATTTCTTTTATGATCTATTTCTATTTCACCAATTTATTTTCCTTATACCTTTTTTTTTCTCATTATCAAAGGATAAGGATCGTTTGATTTACTTATTTAAATAATTATTTTCTTCATTTCTATCATTATTTTTTTATTAAGCTTATGGAGAATGTTTACCTTTATTTAAAGGAAGGGAGAATTATAATTATAACCCGAAAAAATTTTACTTTCGCTCATGTTTGGAGTTAATTATGTGTTAAAATAAAGAGTTTTGCAATTTAAAATAGTTTTATTCCATTTAAAATTTTGAATGAATTATTTGAATAAATAGTAAAAATAATATATTTTAAGAGAAAAATTACTCAAATAAAATTTATATAAATTTATTTACTTAAATGGACTGATTTATTATATATATATATATATATATATATATATATATATATATATATATATATTTCTCCATTCTCATTATTTTTTTCTGTTTCTACGTTCATTTCTTATTTTTATTTCTTTACATATATCTTAATTTTTCTCTCTTCTCCCGCTATTTTTAATTCAAATATTATATTAAAATTTAATACAAATGTATTAAAATAAACATTGAAACTAAAAAAATATTAATTAATTATTTAAAAATATGATAATAATAAATAATTTTATTTATTTTGACAATAAATATTTTTATTTATGATAACATAAATAATTAATTTAAAGTTATTTTATCATAATAAATAATTATCCATCTAATTAAAAAATATTAAATATTTATAAGTTAAATATAATTTTTATTTAATAATTTAATCTAATTATAATTTGATTGAGTGATGATAATTAGTTAAATTATATAAAATTTTAAAAATATATATTAAAAAATATTTTAAATAAATATTTAATTTTTTTAAATAATTATAACATAAAAATAATATTTATAATATCTTAATTTTATCATATAATATTTTTTCAAATATAATATATTAAATTATAGTATTTTTATATTATTTAAATATTTTTATTTTTTCAATAATAATAAAATACTCACATTATTACATTTCAATCTATTGAAAAATAAGGTAGAGTAAGAAAAGAATAAAAGAAGAAAAAAGAAATAAAAAAAGAAAACAAGAAATAAATAAAGAGAGATAAATATAAAAATAAATGAGAAAAAAGAAGAAAATAATTATATTATGTGAAATAAATTTATTTTTTCTTAATTAAATTTTGTATATTAATAATAAATAATACAGTTGGGTAAATAAATTTAAAAAGTTTCTATTTAAATATATTTTTTTAAACGCATTATTTATGAGAATTGGTTTGAAATATTTACATGGGATTTGATAAATAAATAAATAAATATAACTTTAAGCTGTACATTCTTCTTAATGAGGTGATAAACGGAACAAAACACGTTGGTGGAGGTTGTCGGGGACGCTTTGGAGATTTGACCAGTTTTAGCACTCACAGGAAACATGGCAACTGTATCTGTTCCTACGTCAAATGCAAAGAAACCTGTGAAATACTTTGTTGTATGTTTGTTGTGATTTAACTGTGTTTTTCATTATTTTACGTTGTTTAATGAAATTAGGATGTTTTGTGCGCTGAATCTGAGTTTGGTGATTAGGTGGATGCGTTTGCTGAGTCGGCATTCAAGGGGAACCCTGCAGCTGTGTGTTTGCTGGAAGAGGAGAGGGAGGAGGAGTGGCTGCAAGCATTAGCCTCTGAGTTCAATATTTCTGAGACCTGTTTTTTAACTACTCCCATCTCTGACGCCTCAGTTCCTCGTTTTCATCTCAGATGGTTTACTCCTGTTGCTGAGGTAAAAATATAGTGAGAAAAGATAACAAGATAGTTTCTAACACATTAACATAATCTGATATTGGTTATAGTTATTGATTAACATAAATTTTAATATATTTTAATTAACGTAGATTGCTACGAAGAATTTGTTTGAGAGTTTATAATTAACACTCATCAAGTAGTATATATATAAGTAGAGTTATCTTTTAGCTTAATCTGTTCTAGCCTTTGTTGTCAGATCCCCTGTTGTTGTTCTAGCATATGTTCAATCCTAGAAACTTCATCTGATGAGTTAGTTCAAATTCAAGTTTTAAAATAGTTTATTTGAAATATTGTTGGAACTATTGGATTACCTATCATCGAACAATTAGCATATATTCCAGTTTTGCAAATTTCACTTTGAGCTAAATTTTGGTATAAAGCTATCACCAAACACAAATTAGAGTGGATTCTTGTTATTGTTGAACCTGTCATACTACATGTGATTAGGTCATTATCGAACAATTAGCATGTGTTTAGTATTGCAAATTTCATCTCATGAATTAGTTTATTTTCATTTATAAAAATATATTGGATCTCTGAGCTTTATTATTGTTAAATCACTGGCCTTTTTGTGCAGGTTAAACTTTGTGGTCATGCTACATTAGCCACTGCGCACACATTATTTTCATCTGGTTTGGTGGATAGCGATGTTATTGAATTCGTGACGCTATCTGGGATATTAATTGCTAAAAAGATCCCAGTGATTCATACCACTAGTGCCTCAAACTTGCAAAAAGATCCCACAGATTCATATATTGAATTGGATTTTCCTGTTAATCCTGTTAGAGAGTTCAGCTTTGAGGCGAGTGCTTCTCTAATTTCTGAGGCATTGGACGGTGCTTCCATAATTGATGTAAAGAGGACACAAATTGCAGATGACTTGCTCGTAATTCCTATTCCTTCCCTCTTCCATTTCTGTTATTGTCTGATACAGTCTAGATGTTAACCAAGGGATACTGATGAAGCCTGTATGGTCTTGCCCGATTCTTTGAATAGAAACAATATATGTATCTATGCTACTTACTCTTACCTTCAAAATAACAAGTATGTGTTTTGAGCAATTGGGCACATTGAACATTATGAACTTACAATGTTATCAGGTTGTAATCTCCTCTGGAAAAGCTATCTCGGAACTACAACCAAAACTTGAAGCATTAGTGAAATGCCCTGGAAGAGGGGTAATTGTCTCGGGGATGGCTCCTTCAAACTCGGAGTTTGACTTCATTAGTAGATTCTTCTGTCCAAAACTTGGGATCAGTGAGGTATGTAAAGAATTTTGTCTATAATTTTTGTACACTTACCTTGGGCAAAGTCTCCTTGATAATGCAGTAAAAAAGGACAGAAGGTTCAACCAAAAGTGTGATTCAGGTTTTGATTTTGAACTTGTTGACATGATGATGCACTTCTGGAACTGTATAATCCCTTAACTACTTAAACATTTTAAATTACAATAGACAAAAAACCTAAGAAAATGCAAACAATAATATGAAACACAACTTCAATCTTCCATTTGACTTCAATAGTAGAATTTATTGAAACAGTGTTGAATCACTCACTCTTTCTCCCAGGATCCTGTTTGTGGAAGTGCTCATTGCGCATTGGCACCCTACTGGAGCAAGAAGCTGGGGAAGTGTGACTTCAAAGCCTATCAGGTAAATACCCTAATTCCCTTCATTGGAGTAAAGAACTATAGTATTATACACTAAGATGAATATACAATATTCAAACAGGCATCACCCAGAGGAGGAGTTATCGATATCCACCTCGATGAAACCACACAAAGAGTATTTTTACGTGGGAAGGCTGTCACAGTGATGGAAGGGTACATTCTAGTCTAGCAATGTTCCTAACATTGCAACATATGTAATTGCACTACAATGTATTTCAGATGACAAATACTGTCACAAAACACTGGAAAATAAACATATGAACATTAAACAAGAATATTCTGAAATCAAATTTCCATTGAGTAGAGGAAAATCACAATTTCGCTAACATATAGAAATACACTACAAGTCATAAACTGTGCCCTAGATTTACAAAACGGAAAGAAAGATTAAAACCCTAAGAGCTAGTGAACTTGGTCACAGCCTTTGTCCCTTCTGAGACCGCATGTTTGGAAAGTTCCCCAGGTAGGACAAGCCTGACCGCAGTCTGAATCTCCCTGGAGGTAATGGTTGGCTTCTTGTTGTACCTAGCAAGACGCGAGGATTCCTGAGCAAGTTTCTCAAAGATATCATTGATGAAACTGTTCATAATTCCCATGGCCTTGCTTGAAATACCGATATCAGGGTGCACCTGCTTCAGAACTTTGAAGATGTAGATCTTATAAGTCTCAACACTCTTCTTCGATCTCTTCTTCTTCTTGTCAGCGCTACCTTCCTTTGGAATCTTCTTCTCAGCTCGTGGCTTCTTCTCCGCCGGAGACTTCTCACCAGCTGGCTTCTTCTCAGCTGGTTTTTTATCAGCAGCCTTTGCCATTCTCAGAATAGAGAGTGAGAGTAGAGAACAATGAAGGAGAGAATGTTGATGATTTAGATGAGCGATGAAATTTAAGGTCGAGATGAGTGTTGTATATATAGGTTGGTGCGCTATGATTTGATTGGTGGAATGGGATAGGGTGCGGATCGCTGGCGTGGAGCGTTGGATATTTGCTTTGAGTGTTTGAACGGAGTGGATTTGTTTTTGGGTTGAACGTGTGAGTATCCGGCGCGGCCTGGAAAAATTTAAAAGGTTGAAATTAAAAATATTACTTATTTTGATTTTAATTTTAGAGGGAAAATCAATTTTAAGACTATCCCTCTTAAAATAAAACAAACAAATCCTTAAATGTTTGATATATTTATACTATCAAAGATAAAATAGAGAAAGATAGAACCCATAAATTTTTTATGTGCAAGTCAGACTATAAAATTTGAATTAAAATTTCACGCATATTATTTACATCTTTCTAAAACAGTTATAGTGAGATAAATGTATATAAATTATAATATAATATTTATTTTTTTTATATATAATTATGAAATATAAATAAATATTATCCTAACAGATTTATTTATTTATTTTAATTTCTTGAATTATTTCTATCATATTTTATAATGTATTTAAGCATTATAAATCTAGAAACATATATTGGACAATTTATACATGTAACTAATGTCATTTAATGGTGCGATTTAGTTCTATTTTATATTAAAAAATTATTTAAATTAAATATACAATTTAAATAAGTTTGATTTCATTTTAAAGTTATTATAAAATATTAAATATATTTTAATAAAATAATGGTTAAATAAAAAATATATTATAAAAATATAATATATAATTAATTGTAATATATATAATTTAATTTTGTTATTCTTCTATTTTCAATTTAAATAATATAATAATATATGGTCTAAAGTATAAAAAATTAATTAGTTTTCTAAAAAAAATATTATTTTATGTTTTAATTTTAATAATATATATTATAGTTATTTTTTAGTATTAAATTTAAAAATGATTTATTTTTTTTTAATAAAAAACAATTTAAAAATTTTTATTAATTTGATTTTAAACACTGCTCGTATTTATCATTTCAGACAAATCAATCAATAAAAATTATCCACTAAATATATATTTATTTTCTTAAAATTTGTAGAACTTTTTATATATTCCTACGTATTTTTTTATATATTAAATAAAATTATATATATATATATATAAGTATAATTTAAATAAAGTTACATTATAAAATATTAGTTTGTATCCATAGTTTAAATAATTAAAATAATCATATGAATTTATTTATTTTCCTCTTATGTCCATCAGATTCCTATACTATATTTTTACTCATTCATTCATCATTGTTACTTGTCCTTCTCTAAAATGAAAAAGTTCATGATTTTGTGGTGACTCTTGTAGGGAATACATATTTCAAATTAAAAATTAATTTTTGTTAACATAAAAATAAGAAAAAAAAACAGATAACAGTTTCTTTGAATTTCTGAATAACTCTATTTATAAATACAAAATATAACCTAAAAATAATTGAAGGATTATAACTATTAAAATATTATAAATGATAATAAAAATTAACAAAATTACAATGAATCATAATTTAAAATAATTATTATCCATCATATGAATTATGTTTAATTAATAAAAAATATAAAAATTATACACCAAAATCAATGATAGAAAGTAATAACAATCACGTCTTATCAGCTATCACTTTACATGTCTTATATGATCTGATTCATGCGCAAACTTCGTATTTAATTAATTATTAATTTATCTATAGTGGGTCTTAATATAAGAAAATTTATATTTTTTAAAGAAATTTATTAAATATATTAAATTTGGATTTTTTTTTCTTTTTCTTTTTTCAAAATGTTGAGCCATTAAAATAGTGTAAGTATGTTTTACGCTAACAATTAATACTAAGATGCATCTTTTTGTTATTTTGTACTTTTGTTTTGTATGTGAGTAATATATTGACAATATTTGTCAATCTTTATATCAATAGAACTGTTACCTAGTATACCACATCTTAGCATATGTATACTCATAATATTTAATGTTTTTTTTACCATGTGATTTTAATTCATGGAAGCTTCTATATTGATAGCACGTGACGTTAATTGATGGAAGTTTATATAGTGATAGCATGTGATCTTAATTCATGGAAGTTTCTATACTGATAGCATGTGATTTTCATTGATCATCACAGACGAAAAAGTATCAAAGGAAATTCAAGACAAAACTCTCTGTAATAAGAATTTACAAAAACAAAAAATTTACAAAATCAAATACATAAGTTAATAAATTAACTTGGAAAAAAAGTTTAATTTATTATACATATTTTTTTCTCAGAGAAGTTTATGTGGTGAACATATAAAAGTTGGATTGGTGTGAAGCTTGGAGAGGCTCTTCATGAATGATGATATAGACATAACATAAACATCATCTTGAGCCAGCGTCAATCTGCATTTGCAATGTGTGCTGCTCCAATTTTCCTGAGTATGATGACAGACCAATATTGTTGATAGCTGGTTGGTGCCCCACGAACAAAGTAACATGGCCCATGAGTTTGTCTTTCCGAGAAAACGAAGTGCCACAAGAGCACTGCCACTTGAGATCCCCACAGTGTTTCTCATGTGTCCTCAGATCAGAGAGCACAGAGAACTGCTTCTGGTTGCACCTCTTGCAAACGTACATTTTGGGGCAATGGCTTCTCTTGTAATGATTCTTAGCACAAATCATAGACTTCAATGGTTGGAACTTGGCGTGCTTTTGGTTCCACCTACACCCTTCTTGAGGACACGAATATCTCTTTGGCTTCACACTCATCAAACACTCTCTTTCCCCTTCTAAAATCCCTTTATTCTTATTCTTAATTGGGTTGCTCAAGGCAGCATTGGTCTTGTACTCATCCCCATGAGCCCTCATGTGCATCCTCAAATTCGCATCACGCTTGAAGCCTTTGCCACAAACTTGGCAATAGTGCGTGTACTTAGCCAACAAATCCCCAGCATCCAATTCAATTATGTCACTAGTATTTGGTGAAAGCCCTCTATGACTATACCCTTCTTCATTAGGTTCATGTTCATCCCTTGGAGACAGTAGTCCACCTCTACCAATAATCATATTGTTTTCACTAATCGCAACGCTTGGATCATCTTCCTTAGTCTTACTAATATTGCTATTCTCGTCGTTATTGTTATAGCTGTCAGTAAACCAGTCCAGTGCCTCTGACTCAGTGCTAGAAAATAAACCCTGATGAGGGTCACTAATATCTATGCCTATGTTACCAAGCACACTTCTATTTGTGCCAAAATTTGAGTGAGGCAACTTGTTCAGCTGGTGCAATTTGTTGGTGCATGTAGTAATATTATTAGTACCTGGAGGGGTAGTGAGAGCCATCTGTTGGCAGGTGAACATCATTGATGTGGCAGTGACTATGACTTCTTGGATTGTAGAGTTCATGCTGGATATAGCCATGGAAGTTGACTCGGGTAGGCTTTGATTTGGGGAGAGAATAACCCCTACCAGGGTCTGCACCTCACCGACCTTGTCCTTCAGAATAGAGAGATTGAAGAGGAGGGAACTGGAGTGTGAAGATGAGCCAGATTCCACAGAGGGTGACGCAAAATCTTCTGGGTCAGGGAACATCTGAAGCCCTTGATGATGACTTTGGAAGGTAGAACTTACCCTTGAAATCATTGCTCTTGATTGTCTTGTTCCAAAAGTTCTAGCTAGCTATAGCAGGATGTTATAGTTCTAAAGACCGGTTCTGAGTTTCTCGATATTATAAATTCAAAGCATATTGCTTAAGTAGATTCATTTATATGAGTCTGAGAAACAAGATAAGCACACTTACATAACATATATGGTGTATGTGTGATGGTAGTGTGAGAAAATAGAGAGAGAAGTCAACTGTGAGAAATAACTTGAAGTTCTTCCCCACTTACGACCTTCCTTGCATGAACCCTATCTCAGAGTGGGCCCATTCTCATTCAAAATTGAAAAGAAATTGCAAGTGACAGACACAAACCAATGGGGTATGACTTTATTGGACTTCACGGTATTACGTTTTTACATGTTGATGGATTTTTATAATATTATAGCTAGCTAGGTTGCTTGGATCTATAAACCCTATTATGCTTCTGTCCGGTCCTCTCTCCTTCATCGGAAGAAAGTAAGTGTTATTATTCTCTTCTCTATTTAAATATATTATGCCAACAAAACTTGGTTTTTGGTTTTGTAATTTTCTTTTAAAAACAATTTGTACCATAAAGTCTCAAACTGGGTAAATAAAGACAAATGTTTTATCTGTTCGAAAATTTTCCCCATACAACTCCCTTGTTTGATTGGTACGCAGAGAGACCCTTACACATTCACTTCACCATGAAAATAATATCATATCAACAACATAATAATTTGTAATGATTCATATTCCCGCTTATCGTAATCTATTTATTTTTAGTATTGGATCGTAATTAATTATTTTATTATGAATTCGATTTATAAAATCAATTATGTGATAAGGTTAATTATTTAGATATTATAATTTTAAAAAAAGTGTGAAAGGTTAAAAAATGCGTTTTAATATTTAATGATAATTAAAAAAAATATGGACATAAATCTTATATAGACTTTAGTACAAATAGTTAAGGTTCAAGTATTTAATTGGAATATTTAAATCATATCGTATTTTATAAAATAAGTTGGATAGGTTTTTCAACTTGTTCCTTTTAATAAAATATATCCGATTAGATGTAGATTATTTTTTACTCATAATAATTTTTTTTTAATCTAAGTCAAAAATAAAAAATAAAAAATATATTTTAACTCTAATACTATACATTAAGAATCCAATAGAAACTCAATTCACATCCTATAAAATAATCTTTCAAGTATTTAAATCAGGTGGGAACCCTAACCTCAGATGAGATTTTTTGTTTTCGTTAACTATAATTAAGTGATGAAAGTGTTAGAAAACTTAAAAAAAAAAATCCAAGACAGATTTATAGGTTAATAACTACGTTAGTTGAACCGGTAACAGTTTGGTTGATTGATTTTGTCTCAAAAAGATGTTTCATTGTCTTTAATCTGAATTATTTAGGGCTTATTAAATATATGGAAACACTTTACATTAATATTTGTGTCATTGGTCACAATGGAGATAGAAATTATATTAAAATTTTTGAAATTTAAATTAAAAAAATAAATACATGGATTGAAAATGTATTTAATATATTTTTGACTTGTACACTTTTGTTTTGATTGGTTTAGATTTATGAAGTCAACCAAATGGGAAGGTTTGAAATATTGAGATGGATAACCCGAGTCATCCACTTACCTATTAAAAAAAAATATATATATATATATATATATATATATATATATATATATATATATATATATATATATATATATAAAACTAACTTTTATTTTAAAATAAATCATTATTCTTATAATATAATTACATTTAAACCATAATTTAGATAAGACATCAAAATAAGTTTAATTAAATATAAATTATAACCTATTTCTGAATTTTATTATATTAAATCTATTTTCACGTAATTAATAGTATTTTGTACCGTCTTTTAGTCTTTATTTAATGTTTTTTTAAAATTATTTTTTGGCAATTTTTTTCAAAGAAATTCTGTAAATGTGTAGAAATAAAAATACAAATCTAATAACTCATATTAAAAAACTTTATTGTGATTTTTAAATTATAATTTTAAAAAGTTAAACAATCCTATGTTTTTTAATGGACTATGTCGGAGGGTGTCAAAACTATTTATCATATTCATAATTCCTATTTTTTTTTTAATTCATTTACTTGTATTAGAGGGTTTAGTAAATTTAGTCAATCGCATTGATAATAATTTAAATTAAAGAAAAATGAATAAATAATATTTTTTAAATAACTACATATTTATCCGAAAAGTATGACGACTTTTACTCCAAGTAGTAGCTATCTACTTGAAAGCTTGGGTCAATGAAGAAGATCCAGTTCTACTCATCTCATTGATGGGCTTTACTATTTGTACCTCATTTTGTTTCTTTTCATACTTTCAAGTTTTTTTTTAACAACTTTTTTTTTTTTCACACTCCCTTCTCTTCTTCCACACCACAAACTTCACTTTCTCTACATCTTCTCTTCTTCCACTCTAATTGTTTGTGTGTGATTTTGTTTAATTTCTAGTTTATTTGAAGGAAAATAATTTCCCTTGCACGAGAATGTAAAAAAATATATAGCACAATGGGTTATGTAAAAGAAAACTAAAAAAAAAAAAAAAAAAAAAAAATAGGAGCACCTAGAATCAAATGAAAATATTCCTCCCAAAAAATCCATATATTTGAATAAAGATATTCGTCTAAGAAAATAACGCTTATATTTATATATATATATATATATATATATATTTCATCATATTAAAAACTTGTCTGCAAATTATTTAATTGTTTTAAGGCTTTATTATAATTTTTATTTGATAAAATTTTAAAGTAAATAACAAATATTTACAACATCACAAGTTGTTGCTGTGGTGTAGTGGTTATCACGTTAGTCTTACACACTAAAGGTCCCCAGTTCGATCCTGGGCAGCAACATTTATTATTTGATTTTTTATTTTTTGGTTCTATTTATGAATTTTAATATACATTAAATTATAATTATATATTATTTTTATTGCTTATGTAAAATTTATTAAAGTTAAATAATTATATATCTATAAGTTTGATTTATATAACGTGCGCCCATAAAATTGTATATCAGTAAAAAGAATGTACTCTAGATATGGATTTTTAGATAATATAAAAATCGAGGAAGTACATTTAATAATTTGTCATGAGTTGCTACTGTAATTTTTTTAAATACTTTTACCACATTTAAATTAAGTTATAAATATATAATAAATTAGTTCTTACTTTTATATAACTCTGAAAATATGCGAGTTCAATTTTGATTTATATTGATAAATTGTTAAACAATTTTAAACTAAACCAAGATTTTCTAAATGCGATTTATATAATTAGAATTATATATTTAATAATTACTTCACAAAATAAAATTGTCTAGTTAAATAACAATATTTGATTTAGTTTTATTTTTAATTTAAAAAATTATTTTAATATATATTTTTTTAAATTGATATTTATAAATAATAATAACAACAACAATATATAGTAGTAACACTACTATAAATAAAGCTTTCAACGTCGGTTCTAATAAACTGACGTTGAAAGTATGATTTTTTAAATTAATAATTTTTATTTATTTACAACCCTTTTACCCCTTTTATTTATCTAGAAGTCTCCTCTCTCTCTATATTATATTTTTATTAGGTCCTATATCTCTTTATATCTCTCTATAGGTCCTCTATCTCTTTATATTATATTTTTTAGAAGTTTATTAATTTATTAAGAGAATTTTTATTAGGTCATCTATCTCTTTATATTATATTTTTTAAAAGTTTATTAATTTATTAAGAGAATTGTCATTGGTAGGATTCGGACTCGAGTACTTTAGAGTTGGAGGTCGATACTCCAACCACTAAACTACTAGAATTTTCTCGATAATAACTTACAAATAAATTATATTTATATACAAATAAATATATATCCGTGTAAATATATAAATATATAAATACAAATATATTTATATATTTTGATATATTTATATAGTTATATATTTATATGTTGGATGTGAGGGCACACTCGAAAGTGAAAGTGTGTGTCGAGTGTGTTTTCAAAAATTGATGCTAAATTTGTGAGCATGTATCTTTATATGAGTTTGTAATTTAATGACAAAATATAATCTTTATAATTTTATTTATATAATGATATAAAATAAAATTGGGAAACGCGTTATTTGCTCTCAAGCAAAAAATACCAATTTTCGCTCAAGCGAGACTTGAGTGAGTGAATTTCCGTGAGCTTTAACATATTTTCACTCAAGCAAGAGTCAATCACACTTTCACTCTCGATCGAAAAATACCAATATAATTTATTTGTAAGTTATTATAAAAAAAATTATAGTAGTTTAGTGGTTGAGATATTAACTTTCAACCCTAAAATATTGGGTTCAAATGCTATCGATGACAATTCATTAACTTAAGAGAATTTTTGGCTGAAAAAAAAAATACTTTCCAGAAAATATATACAAATAAATATATATTTACATGGATATATATTTATTTGTATATAAATATAATTTATTTGTAAGATATTATTAAAAAATTCTAGTAGTTTAGTGGTTGAAGTATCGGCCTCTAATTCTAAAGATCTTGTGTTTGAATCTTGTCAATAATAATTTTCACAATGAACCAACGTAGAAAGTATATTTTGTAGTAGTGTAGTAATAATATTAATAATAAGTATAAGTATAATGATGATGTTATTAAAATATATAATGAAAAACAAAAAATATAATATATTCGAGGAGAAATTGTATTTTTTATTTTTTATTGTGGTATGTGATTGAAATGATGAAAGGAAAAATAAATGATGTAACATGTTAAAATATGGAATTTCTCTAGCAACAAAAAAGAATTAAAAAAAAATGATAATTTTCGTAGCACCACATATATGCATGTGTGTTGTTGATTTTTACACCCGGAGTTTCTGGAAACAATGTTGATTTCATTAGGTTGTTTTGACAGTGAAGAATTTGTAGCCATGGAAACAATGTTGATTAGGTGGCCACATACCACTAAATTAATGAAAAAGAGGAAGACTTAACTGGACATTTATTGTTCCGTGGGTGGACACCAAACCCAATTAGTAATTAACTAATAATCATCATCACGGTGGTTTGGTTCTCATAAGTTTCAACCTAATCATGTTGATCATCAATACTAATACATGATTAAGCAAGGGAAGCAATAATTCAGTTAAATGGAAATTTGTTTAACACTAATAACACAAATAGAAGTGAAGGGTGCCAAATTTTTTGGTCATAGTTAACCGACTCATGCATTTCAAGTTTTTGTTTGTATCTCCAAATACAGTGAACCGATTATACTTCAACAAACATACCAAGAAGCAAACACCATAACAACTACACAACTCATATACTCCCAAACTATTCAATCACTGCCATTCACCTTTGAGATTGGAATGCACGCCAAACAACTTTATCACACCAAAATTCTTATTCACTCTAATCGTGTGGAATTCATATTCTCCTCTATCTGATTCAACAATTATAAATGCGAATTACTATGTTAACTCTTGCTTACAATTCAAATCGCTCAAGCCCAATACTCTACTTTTGCGCAAGAACTGAGAAATGTGAAACGTGTTGTGCGTAGTACACATGTCATTTCTGTGGTGTGGGTGTGTTTTATTATCCAAAAGGAAAAAACTTTGTGAAAATGACGTGATACAGAATTAAAAATATAATGAACTGAAAATATTCCCTCTTGAAAACGACACGAACATCGCATCAGACCAGGCCCTGTCTCACCGGGACTGGTAATTGAGGAATGCCGAGACTAAAACTTGGTACAGAAACATGGGTTTTTGTCATGGTTCATCTTAAGTTATGTTTATGTTTTTAATTGAAAAATGAAGGGTGAAATGAAAACTGATGTTGTGCGTCCACAAATTATGGCGAAGTTGATGAGAAGTTAATTAAGAAAAGAAACAAAGCAGTGATTTATTAGTATAGTATTAGCGTATAATGAAGCTCCCTTTTGAGTGTAATAAGAATATTGTGACATAATAGTTTATAAAAAAGGAGAATAAGTATATAAAAAATGTAATGGGAGGTTACAGAACATGGAAGGAACTTCCCAACCTACATGTGCTAATGTCAATGAGTGATCACACTTACTTCTCTTTCTCTTTCTCTTTCTCTGATTTCTTATGCATTCAGACACCTCACGCAACGTATGTGTCCACATGCTTGGCTTACCAGCATTCACCAAAACGTGCACATAACTAACTTTAGATAAGTGGCCACTGTAAGTGACTTAAAAGGTCTTCCATCTCTCTCTCTCTCACCCTATAATACGTGTCGACATTTATGCCCTTCTGTCAGGCTAAGACACATTAGTACCATTTATGTATTGCTATTCTGATTTTGTTGTTTTTCATGGAAGAGAAAAAATGAAAATGTTGTCATTTCTTTCTCACGTCCTTTTCTCATCTTCATTCTGTGAACTACATAAATAATAAGGATCAAGTTTGTAAAAGACAGATAGAGAGTATGGTTGATGGGTCCAAATAGTGGACCACACCAGACTATACCTCCTAATCAAACGTTTGTGGTGTCAGACTCACCAGTATCTTTCTTGGGAGCATCAACTTTGTATGGGCCGGAACTTCCATCACATAATCACACCACAAAGCTAGATACCCAACTGGTATTCATTTTCTATATTATAAGCCAAAAATATCAGATTTAATTAAATTAGGTGACTCAAATTGTTGAGGTTAAAGCTAAAATATATGAGTCTGTCTTCTGAGTACTTTGCTACGCTACTGCCACACTCGCACTTTCTGAACTTTCTTTGTTTAATTTGGTAACCCTTTATTGTTAACAGTGGATGGAACAGAGTGAGTGTGGTAGATAGAGTGAGTGAGAAGAACTGAGAAAGACAGAGACTGAAAGAGAAAATCTTTAAGTATTATTAAAGTAATAATGATGTAAATAAAAAAGGCAAACAGAGGAAGCCTATTATTGCAACTTTTGGTTGTGGTGATGGTGCAACCAAACCCTAGCCTTGCCAATCCATTTCAAAGCTCCATTGATCTCCCCTCCTCTTATGATTCTCTCGCGAGAGAAAATTCCAAACTAGAATAAGATACAGACTCAATATTAAAATTAATAAGAAAAGAGTGAGAAAGAAAAAAAGAAGAGGAGAAATAAAGATGCTCCATGACTCAATATCACTTTTCGTGAATGAAAGGCAACCATGAACGCTAACCACTTACTTACTCAAAGTATTCCAAAACTTGAACATGTAGATAATCCAAATAGGAAATTATTGATAGACGAAAAAAATAATCGAAAGAATCGATAATTAAGAATAATTGTAAATTAAAATAAAGCTAATAATTCACAATGATCATTGATCAAATAATATAACTTTTCTCCACTCTCCATCCAATTCCCACCCTGGCTTCTAATAATGGCATCCCACCAAAGCCGGAGCAGCCGACAGCATCAAAGAATTCTGATTCGCCGGAAACTGAAACTTCGAGTCTCGGAGGTCGTCCTCGGGCGCCGGAAGGTTGAGATCTAATTCTAGAACATTTCGAGGCTTAACTTCAACAGCACCATCACAAGTTGTTGTCGCTGTCTGAACAACAGTATTATTGTTATTATTGTTGTTGCTGTTATTGTTGTTGTTAGCTGACCTATGCCTCCTCATGTGACCACCCAATGCTTGCCCTGATGTGAATTCTGACCCACAAATGGAACACTCGTGAATCTTGGACTTGTTCCCATTGAAATTTAAACCACCCCTATTATTTCCACACCCTAATAGAAGCGAAACCGAAGGGTTAATCTTCATTTGATTTTGTTTTGCTTCTTCAAAATTGAATAGTTGCGATGACGATGACGACGGTGGCAGTGGCAACGGCAACGATGGTGGCGGGGACTTCTTTTCCTCAACCTTTGGCTTCTTGTGACTCGCCCTGTGGCCACCGAGAGCTTGAAAAGAAGGGAATGTTCTGTTGCATGTTTTGCACTCATAAACATAAAAATCAATTCTGTTGCCACCTTTCTCTGCCTTGACATCATCACACAGGTCCTTGTGAGGAAGAGCATCCCTTCCTCCTCTTCCTTGCGCCAGGAGAATCAAACAGTTAGCCATGTCTTCCTCTTCCTCCTCCAAGGCGGTAGATGAAAACGACCCACCACCACCGCCAGAAGCACTTGAACAGCTTGACGTCATAGCGGTGGTGGCGGTGACAGTGGCGGTGGTGACAAGAGCACAAGGCGACAAAGGCCTCAAACGCCGCTTTGTGCGCTTTCCTTTGGCTATGTTGGTGGGATCGTTGTTACATGAGACAAGTTCCTCCATGGCCATCCCTTCCATGTCTAATATTTCTGACAACATTCGGTATCCTATATGGTACTCAACAAAACACAATCAAACAGTGAGAGGGTTTTGGCTGTTCAAGAGAGATGTAGTAGTATTGGAGAGAAAAAGACACAGAGACACGTAGAATTTATATGGAGGAGGAGTGTGTGAACAGGATATATATATTTATATTTATATTGGTAATGAATGAGCAAGAAGAGGGTTTGATATGTGATGTTACAGTGGGTACTCCAAAATAGTCAGCCACCCAAATCTTCCTTGCTTTTCTAACCTTGGAAGTGTTGGTAACAAGAAAAGTTCTTCTGTTTTGTCACGCGTCTTTCAGAGCGAGTGGACCCACGCTTCAATCATGACCACAATTTTTTTTTCCTCTTTTTCCGTTTCTCTGTTGCAATTAATGTTTTCTTTTCTTTTGTTAATTCTTTATGAAAGAATATTTATTTTCCACCAGTTTGTGCTCTAGAACAGCACAGTGTTTTGACGCACACACAGAAGCTGCATGCGTATGATTCATCAATGATTAAACATACTTTGCATTTCGTAATCAATGTTTAAATTTAATGAGATATAGTGTGTGTGTGTTTATGCCTTAAGGTAATTTTTAAATGCTTTTTAAGAGCATTGAAGAAAAAAGATGATGTTGTCAAACTATCGCAATAGGTTTTGGATTACTGTGGGAAGTTTAAGTGGTTTACATCCACCTTTATACTGGGTTAGAGCTACACTATTTTATCTAATATTATTGAAATTTTATTTTATAAAGTTTTATATATTAGACTGTATAATCATTTTATATATTAAAAAATATGATATTAAATCACATAGAGTAGAGCTACAAAATTACACAAGCTAAAACTTTTTTATATTAAGTTTTTCTCTTAGCAAAAACTTTTTTATATTATTATCATATTATAATTTTTTTACTATAGTATACATATATTAGATTTGTTTTAGTTAAAGGATTAATTAGGTGAGGTTAAGAGAGGGGTAAGAGGTTAGAAAAAGGCATTAAGGCAAGGATGGGACGTTAAAACTTAAAAGCATGTCATGTCAATTAGTTGAGTTTGAAAGAAAAGTACTTATCTCGATGGCTTTCAAGCAAACACTCCTTTATACGTGTATTTTATTTATTTATAAGCATTCCAAGAAGAAAAGAAAAGGACATGAGTAGCATGTGATTAAGTATAGGATTCGGTTAAGGAGCATGGATTAAGGAGGGTATATGTACCACACAAGTATATCACATAACGCTGTAGGACGGTTCCTAATTTCATTTAATTAATTCCTCACTTACCCTTAATCTTCTCATTAAACCTCTCTAATTGTAATTGGTTTATCTATTTTATGTAAGCAACCGTAGTTTAATCTACAATTCACCTTCAATTCAATCCTTTTCTCTTCTCAACGTAAAATATTTTTAGCTTATTAAGTAAAACCTAATCTTCTGCTTAAAGCTATGTTCAGGAGTTGATGTTGCAGCTAATCTGTCTTAATAATTATCATTCGTTGCAAAACCAAATGTTAGTGATTTCATTTCAAAGCTGGTTAAATCATGTTTAATTAGGTTTCTAAAGAATGCTTTATTCCTCGTGCCTAACAAAAAAAAGTTACATTGTCTAATAAGAGTTTTTTTTTTAAACTATTAATACAAATATTATCAATAATTGTTAATAATAATATAAGCTTCAATATGTTTTTGAACTGGTAACTGTATTCTTTTTTCTTTATAAAATAAAATAAAAAATCAGTTTTTTATTTTTTTTTTTTTTTTATGTTATACATGTCAATCACTTAAATAAAAGATAAATTAACTATAAATCCCATTCAACAAATTGCATAATTTATCTATCTTAATAAATTAAGTATGATTTATATATTCGTTAGTCATTTTAAAAAATTAATTTATTTTAGTGATCTAGGTTGAAATATAATCTATTTATCTATCTTAAAATGATGTTATATATAAAATAATAATTATTTAAATTTTTTGAAGAATAAAAATATTTTGTTTACAGATGTTAATAATTACAAACCTATTTTATTTTCTGGTTGATTACTTGCATGAACTTTTTAATAAGGTTTGGTTTAACTTTTATAACTAGTGAAAGAAAAATTATACTGATTCTTGAAAAAAAAATATATAATATATGAGGCATGGTATTTTGAAATATTAAATATTTTAGACCAATTTCTATAGAAAATTGATTTAGATAATATTTTCTAGATGGATTGTAAGAAAAGGTTTGGAAAATATTCTTAGTTTGGTATTTCAACAACTAATTTGAGTTTTGATACTCTTTGCAAGTTTCGAAATTGTTGATAATTTGAGTTTTGACGAATCTAAAAAATTCTAAATCAATTTTTAGTATTTTTTTTAAATCGTATTTCAAATAAAGGAAAATAGATGAAGAATGATCATAAATGAAAATTAAAAGAGGAAAAAACAAAAGAGAGAGAGTGTCATTGAATATTGTTCTGATATTAGGTTAGAGACTCCATGAGAGGAAGAGGTTAAAGCATTTCATTCTTGAAGAGTGGTCCAGCACTAATGGTTTAATAAAATGTTCTATTAAGTGGATCTCAAATCATTGACTTAATCGTCTTTACTAAGACATGGTCCACAAGTTGGTGAGAAATATACTACTCATTAATGTGTAATATATACCAGTCACTCACACACCACTATTATCATCAACAGTGAAAGGAAAAAAAAAAAAAAGTGTTCAATTCCAAAATCACTGCATTTGGTGTATCTACTATAAATCAATAGTCATGCATATGTTCTATGTCACTAATTTAGTGGCATTTCACTTTTGGCATCATTTGTGAGTTGTGTACTAGTTAGTAGTTACCATCATCTTCAATTTGGTGTGAGGATTTCTTTGCTGGCATAGATTATAGTTGTTCATTATCTGGTTCATGTATCGTTGACCCACATCTTAAGATCATATATCTACTAATTAATTTAGAGTTGCTCAAAGATCAAGCAAGTTGGTTGGATCAAATAAATTCTTTAATTTCTTTATATATTTAAGCATTGAATTGCTCTAATTAAAGAGATAATAAAACACAGGGTTTTATTATAGTTTAACTATTAAATCATTGATATATTAATCCTAATATAGTTAGTACTTTCTTTAAGGAAACTATTCAACACATTGACCTAAAGTGAATGAGTTGTAAATATAAATTCAAAAATCAAATTAAGGGTCAAATACAATATATAACGTGTCTACCTATTAAGAAAAGTGCAATATATGGTGACCGATCGAGTCACACTCTTGATGAATGAATTAGATACAACAAGCTTAAAGCAAAGGTTTAAAACATGAATTTTTTTAAAAAAGATTTAATTTTTCCCAATCCCAATTCGAGTCAAGAATATATTCATTACGATTAAGGTGATCATAGATATATATAATATAAGCTTCTGATTTGATTTATGAGATTTTTATATCTTAGTTACTGTTCATTTTAAAAACCTTAAGTTGTTATTATAGTAACTTTGAGAAAAGGTTAAGTTAATTATATATACGTAACTTTGAACTAACATTTAAAAGTGGTTTTCCCAGTGTTCATTGAACAAGTCTTGTATTCTTTTGGTGGAATTTTTCTGAAACATATATATTTATTTGTGATGCATGCACTTGTGCAAGGAAATTAATATACATGCGTGGAAGGAGAATTAATGAGCAAGGTTAGTGGAATGCATTTTGCAGCAGTGATAGCAGCAGAAGTTCAATGCACAGTGAAGTTTTTGTGAATAAAAAAGAGACAGATTCTTAGCGTAGCAAATTGAATGCGGCAACTTAACTTGTTTTGTGTGAGGCACGTAACGTGAGGATTGGATGGATACTGCCATAACATGACATAACATAATAACCTGCTACTGCTAGTGACATTTTCCACCATTTTCCTTTTGGAAAAGAAAAAGAAAAAGAAAAAAACAAAAGCAAGAAAAGGATGAGAAGAAGAAGAAGGGGTGGTGGTTTGGAAAGTACACCATTCTTCCTTATCCCTTTTGTACTCAACTTGATATCACAACGCAGCCTTTTCCTCCAAACATCATGCTCCAAGTCTTACGTAAGATTGGTGGTTTCCTCCTATTTACCTTAACGAGATGAAAGAGAGTGGTGAATTGTGAAAGAGTGAGTTATCGTTTTCAGAAGCAGAGAAAGAGAGCGCAGAAGGGTCATCTCCTATTGGTTACAAATAAATTCAGGTCTTCATTATTTGATGTAATTTGCAGATAATAAAGAAGATCAGAATAATAGTTGTGGCAGTGGTGAGTGGTGAACACGCTCCTAAGGTTTATGTGGAACTCATCGTTTACATATTTATTATACACAGAGACTACACTAGCATTTAGCAGAGGACACACTGAAAGTAGTGGACTTAATACTCCAACTCCACTTTCACAATTCACACGTCACTTTGAGAGAAACGCTTCTGAACCACTCGTAAGAACCAAACAACTTGCTTCTATCTAAAACACCTATATATATTATATCATATTATGCACATACATGTTTTATTTTTCTCTAAATATTAATATTACAGATATTATCTTTAATTTCATATATTAGGGATGGAATATTTTTATTTTTCCATCAAATTATAAGTTCTTATTGTATTGTTTTTTATAATAATTGTTAATTAATTAATGGTATAAACTCTATCTTTATATTTTTTTTTCTTCAGAAAAAAGGTATTACTGTAACAAACGCAGACCGAAGAAGGTGATAGGCCCAAAGCGACCAACTTGGTTTATTTTCTTTTGATTTTTTTTTGGAAAAATAGTCACTTCAGTAGCATAATTGGGAACTTTTGGTAGGTTTCCTTTTTGTGTAGGATAAGAAGAAAGATGCTTTTGTTGGCAGTTGAAAAATGTTCTAGAATTTAAGTTTGGGTTTGACTTCTACATTTTATATAAATTAAAAGTTAAATAATATATCAGTGATTTTTTTTTTACAAAATTATTATAATATTAAGATTTTGATTTAAAAGTAATTTATCGTTTTTTATGTCATTGATTTATTATTATCTATTGAGATAAACATAAATTTAGTCTATTTTTCTTTCAAAAAAATTTGATTTTTTATTTTTTTTCAAGTTAATTCTTCTACTCATAAAAGTTTAATCAAATTTTTAATTTAAAAATATAATAATACGATTCTTTCATTTACAGGAACGACCTAGTTTAACTATAAATTGTTATTATAATTTAATAAGAACATTTTAAAATGAGAATTTAATAAGATTTACAATATTATAAAATCAAGTTAAATTTTATTTTAGTTGGTCTAGTAATGGGAGATTCTACCGTTTTTTTTTTTTACAATATTATGATAACTAAAATTTAATTCATTGTAGAAAAGAAAATATTAAATACAACAAATTGAATTATGATGAAAATTGGCAGATAAATTATTTTCAATTAAAACAGGGAATTCAAATAATGTTTAAATAAAATAATAATTTGTACATTTTTTCTTCTATAGTCTTATTACAGATTCTTTATGTATGTAGCAAATATTTCGCTTCTTATCTCTTGTTTTTTCTGTCCACTTTTCACACTTTTTTTTTTCTTTTTCATCTCTTTTTCCCTTTTTATCCCCCTTATCTTTGATTAGAACAAAAACGTTTAAAGTGTTCCCTCTTAAAATTTAAATGATAACAAATGATATTAAAATTTATGAGTATATACGTGTTCCCAATAAACTATAGTTTTTAAAAGAAATTCAAATCATATAAAGTCGTTCATATTTTAAGCTAAGATATGATTTAACTCAAAAACATCATCATATGCGTTTTTAATTGGATTCTTAACCAGATTGTATTAAATGTTTTATGAAGCTACCAATCATAAACACTTTTAAAATTAACAAATTATTTATCATATTTAACAAAAAAATTACTCTTTTAAAAAAAAATCTTTCATTGGATAAAAGGGATTCATTTTTACAAATTATAAAGATGTTTAAAAATTCATTTTCTAAATTAAATTTCAATGAGATTGGGATTGCTTGTCCAAAAAGCCATGAAAAATGGTGCAAAGAAAACCAGTAAACCTAATACTCACTTGTCTTCATCATGGTAAAAGACAAGTTAGTTTGTTGCAACTAAGCATGAAACACTCACATCACTTTACATTACAATATAATTATAAATACCAAACAAACTCCCTCCACTCATCCCTTTCTTTTATTCAACATTTGGGTTGAAGTACTCAAGCAACCAACCTTTGACAACACCATCTTAGTTTAATACATTCTATGTAACCAAATCTGTTGAACATTTTCTAATCATCTGCCAAACACAATTATTAAACAAAGTAAAATAATAATCTCTACTCTAATATGAAAGGGATTTGATTTCTGAGATTTGATGTCCTTTTTAAATGACTAAAAAAAAAATATGAGTCAAAGGTTTACGAAAATGAAAGTAACTAAATAAAACTTGCTATGTATCCACAGATTGTTATTAGTTGACATTTTTCATTTTTATTTTTTAAGTAAATTCGTACTTTAAAAATGTTCATTGTTTAAAACAACAATATATGTAGTTTTGCAAGTGACTATGGCAAGAATTAACTGGTATATATTCATTTTGGTTTAAAAATGATACTTGTTCATGTCTTGTTCAGTTAGGCACTGAATAATGAGTGGAAACTGAAACCAAAGAAAAGGTTTCCATATATATATATATATATATATATATATATATATATATATATATTTATTTATGTGTATATCTACTACTGAGTATGAATGGTGGAGGATATGTGTGAGATGAATGAAGTTAATTCACAATGGGAAAGTGGAGATAAAGAGGTCACGGATCAGGAAATTGAACCTTTCCTCAAACGAAAATGACTCTGTTTTTGTATATATTAGGTTTGATGCTTCAAGAGAACACAACTATTTCACTCTCTTAGCTTAGCTAGCTCCTATACACTTTTAATTTCATTCTCATGCCTACCTCGTGACCAAACTTTTCCATCAAATTTTCACCACATCTTCTAACTGCATCAGCAAGTACCATTCTTAATTACACAACACAACATCACAAACATAACCATTTGTTTTGGAAATAAAGAAAGGAAGAAACTGCATACCATTTACCAACTTAATTTCCAAGGCCATGTGTACACTTTTCCAGAAACAATAATAAAAAGTTATAAAACTATCAACTGTGTGCAACTGGGATAGAGTTGTTTCAGTCTCAGTAGAGATTTTAAGTTTGAATCATGAGTAGGCAAACTGCATTTAATACTTAGAAGGAGAGGTTTGATGATCTGTAGCACTCTTAATTTGTTGCTTTATCTATCATAATCATAATATCAATAAGGTTGGTGCATTCAAGGTTAGGTGGCTTCACATGAATTTTTTGTTTTAAACTGGATATAGAAAGTTACATTTGTGAATGAAAAATTACAAGAGTACAAAAGCTGGTGTTACTGCTTGGTGTATTCACCTGTAGATACCAAATTGTAGGTTGCTTCTGTTCTATTCTAAGTCCAACTTCTAACCACAAGAAGTTGTTACATGAGAAAGTAGTGGTGACTCATAATTAATAATGGAGAAAGGAGTTAGCCGAACCTTTCAAAGCCACATTATTTAATTATGCTAACAGAAGCATTCTTAAGCCACAAAATCGACAGTTCTTGAGTACAAGTATAATAGTAATAATATAGAAAGAATACACTCCACATGTACATTTAATTATGTATAGAGGAAGTTAGGTGGGGGCTAAAGGTGGTACTTGCTTGTGAACACATTTGGCTTTTTCTTTTTTCCTTCTGATATAGCTCTTTTCCCAGCTAGAGGGGGAACACATGATGTATCAAATAGAAGTTAAGTTTTGATAATACACATCTTAACTACATTTGAGTAAAGAATCCAAAAACAAAAACTTTAAGGATATTCATAGTCTGTAAACAAAATTAATATGACAGAAACCAATTTGGTATACCTTTTCAAGTCTGGGGCATGTTGTTTCTTTTGCTTTCTTCTTTTTTGGGGAATGCTGTGTAGAATGTAATCATAAAGGCCACGAGATTGCCTTGTTGGTATACAATTTATTCAGTTAATCAAATTTCATGCAAGACCATGATTAGAGAAGGTTCTGTACAAGTATACGCAAGTCTATATTGGATTAGATCCAGAGTGTGCCTGTAAGATTATTTTTCTATGGACTTAACTGCAAGTTTTTTTGGCAGAGGCCTGTTTGCACCACAACACTAAAACTGAGATGAGATCAATGATTAGATTATAATTCCACACTCTCCCCCTGACCCGAAATATTTAAGGAAAAAAACAAACAAACCCTCCTGGAAAGGAATCATAATTCTACCCATCCATTTGAAGGCTTAAATCAAACTCCAAGCCCAAAACTCGAATCTGTTTAAGCCAAAGTCTTAAACTACAAACTGAACAAAAGAAAGTTAGGCACAAGTAACTCGTGAAAGGCAAATAAGAGCATCTCATTTGGTGCAATCATTGATAAATTGATTAACTCGTTTTTGGTACACGTTATAGGCCTGTTTGAAAGAATAGTCTCTGCATCCACTTCTAGGAAAAATAATAAGAAAAGAAAATTTAACTTCTCCTATACTAAGAATTAAAAATAAAAAATTCGAAAAAGTTAATAGAAACTAATTTCTACAAATATAAAGAAGTTTCTTCAAACAAAAATCATATTGTCTCATGGAATTTAAGAATTCCAACAGTTTTTTTCTCCAATAATGTATAGTAATAATTCTTAAAGAACTTATAATAGGCCTGGCAACTGTCTCAATGTCCATCAACTATTGAAATTGGGTTACTTATGTAAGCAGTTGTTCTTATATAAAATCTATCATATCAATTACTCTAACAAAGAATCTGGCATAAGAACTACTTCTAATGTTTAAGAATTCATAAACAACTTTAACTAGGGATGCTCTAAATATGAATCTGTTACAGATGCACCCCTAGATTTGGGGCTTTGAGCACATCCTTGCATGGATTAAACTCATTGTTACACCATTATACATAAAAGCTGTTGCACAAGCCAAACTCTAAAGAAGTCATCTTCTATATACATACAATAGAGTCATTCATTCTCCGTAAATATCAGTATACATGGAACACTGCAGTAGCAACATTCAACAGTAGTTTTATTCACAAGAAATTCATTAGAAGTATAATTTTATTAGACAAATGTCGGATACAACATGTCTTCCCGATTCTATTTTGCATTCATCTTTAGAAGGATGTCATGCTTCAGAGCTTACATGGATAAATTGATGAAAGCATGCAACAGATAAAGCACAGCTGCTACAAAAAACATTAGTTGCATTTACACTGGAGTTAAACCAACCACACCTGCAAATAAGAAAGTGCAACCCTGATGTTATTAAAAGTGTTAGATATGATTAGATATTAGTTGATATTGTTTGATATTGTTGAGATATTGTTAGATATTGTTAATCACAATATCAAATAATATCTTTTTATTTACTCTATTTGTATTCTGTTACTCTTTTGAGGAGTACCTTTCTTTATTATAAATACACTGCCCTATGTGTGGTAAATACATAAGGGAAATTAACCCTATACAGTTTTTCCCTATATTCAACATGGCATCAAGAGCTTAAGGTCTCTTGGGATTTTTTTCGGCTCTGCCACTGAACCTGCAGCTGTCGCCGCCTCCATCGCCACCGCCGTCCGCCGCCGCCGCCGCCGCCGTCGCCAGAGTAACAGTTCGGACCGCCGAGCACAGGGTTTTGCTCGCCTCCCCCGTGCGACCTCCCCCCGTGGAAGTTTCGCGGTCATCGGAGCAGCCACGCTCCCTCACGCGCCTCCCGAAGCCGTGCCACCTTCTCCCGTTCCGCCGCGCGTGGCGGCGCGTCTCGCCGCCGTTCAGGCCGCCGATCTTTGCGCCGGCGTCGCCTCCTTCTCCTCTCTCCGGATCTGTCCTCGCTGCTCCAATCGGACCTCTTTGGTGTTTTAGGGTTTTTCTCTCTCTTCCTCCATGGCATCTTCCGCTGCCACTTCCAATTCGAAGTTACCTCGTCAGCTCCGGTGGGTCCGAGCAATCTGTTTTTACTAATTATGTCAATGTGAATTTACCCATTGATAAATTAGATGGTACGAATTATGCAACTTGGGCATCCGATATTAGACTTTGGCTTGAGAGTCGGGGTATGTTGATCATCTTACTGCCAAGGTAGATGATGTTCCTTCCAATGATCGTGTCCGTTGGAAGAAAGTTGATGCTCATATATGTATGGTTCTCAAGAATACCATCCAATCTTCTTTAAAACAAATTTTTCGATCGTATGGCACATGTTATGACGTTTGGGAACAAGCCAAATTATTATACACCAATGACACTCAATGTCTTTATGGTGTTTGTTACAATCTTCTTGATGTTATTGCTCCTCGAGATAAGGATCCTGTGGCGGATTATGTGGGTAAGATCCATGCTCTTCTCCATGAATTTAATGAGTTATTACCCCCTGCCTCGACTCCTGCCCAAGAATTAGAGCAACGATCAAAGTTTTTCATGGTTTTGATGTTACACGGACTTGCTGATAAATATGCCCCTGTTCGTGACCAGATTTTGGGTTCCCCTGTTACACCTAGTTTTACCGCTACCAGTTCCTCCCTTTTGCGGGTGTCATGTAAACCTCTCAATATTCCCCCTGTAGTTTCTAATGATTCATCTGCCTTGGCCTCTCACCGTGATGATCGTAATCGCTCTCACAAGCCAGGCAAAGGGCGTGCCAAGTGTGACCATTGTGGCAAACTAGGCCACAAAATTAACAAATGTTATGCTTTACATGGTTATCCTCGCCGATCTGCTGCAGTTGCTCAGACTAATTCTTCCGCACAATCCTCTGCTTGTGGATCCTCCTTCGTCTGTACCTTCGGACAAATCTGCTATCTTCAATGATTTTCTTCAATGGTATGAGGATCGAAAGCCCTCCGGTTCCACTACTTCGTTGCCCACACAGGTACATCTTTTGCCTGGTCCGACTCACTCTTCTTCTATTGGTCCTTGGGTTCTTGACTCAGGCGCCACCGATCACATCACTCGGTAACAAATCCTTATTTTCCTCTTTCACTTCTTCTCATAATTTACCCTCTGTTACAATGGCTAATGGGTCTACAACTTTAGCTCATGGTGTTGGAACGGTTACTCTTTTTCCCTCGTTGTCCATTGATAATGTTTTGTATGTACCGGGTCCCCCTTTAACTTATTATCCATCGCCTAGTCTAACTCGATCTCTTGATTGTGTTATCTCTTTTACCAAAACTTCGTTTCCCTACGGAACCGGAGCTCGCAAAGAGTGATTGGCACCGGATGTGAGTCACATGGACTTTATTATCTTCAACCTTCTCCACATGTTGGCACAGCTTATGGAGTCTCCTTCTCTCCTTCATGCTCAGCTTGGTCACCCCAGTCTGCGCAAATTACAAGCAACTTGTTCCCAGCCTTATCCCGAGTTGTCCAATTTGGTGTGTGAGTCCTGTCGGTTAGGCAAACATAGTCGTACTTCCTTTTCTCGTAGTGTTTCCCAGCGTGCTTCATCCCCCTTTGCCTTAGTTCACTCGACATTTGGGGACCCAGTCGTGTTAAGTCTAATTTAGGTTTTCAATATTTTGTTACTTTTATTGATGATTTCTCTCGTTGTACTTGATTATTTTTAATGAAAAATCGTTCTGAGTTGTTTTCTATATTCCAAAACTTTTATCATGAAATTAAAAATCAATTTGGTGTCTCTATTCAAACTTTTCGAAGTGATAATGGCCGTGAATATCTTTCAAACTCATTTAAACAATTTATGACTTCTCATGGCATTCTTCATCAAACTTCCCGTGCTTATACCCCTCAACAAAATGGGGTGGCTGAGCGCAAGAATAGACACCTTATTGAAACAACCCGTACTCTTTTAATTCATGGTGAGGTTCCTCAACATTTTTGGGGTGATGTCGTTCTTACTGCTCGTTATCTTATTAATCGTATGCCCTCTTCGGTTTTAGATAACAAAATTCCCCATTCTATTTTATTTCCTCATGACACTCTCCATCCTTTACCTCTAAAGGTTTTTGGGTCTACCTGTTTTGTCCACAATTTTAATCCTGGTCACGATAAGTTATCTCCTCGATCACACAAATGTGTTTTCTTAGGATTTACTCGATCCCAAAAAGGATACAAGTGTTTTTCTCCTTCTCTTAATCGCTATTTTGTGTCTGCCGATGTCACCTTCAATGAGTTTTCCTTTTACTTTAAGGACCCTTCCCTACCCGCTGAGTTTCCATCTCGCTACAGTTCCCATTCCCGTTCTCATTGATCCTTATGTTGAGGACCATCCACCATTAGCCCCTCCTCCTCCACCACCCCTTCGGGTTTATAGTCGCAGACCTCGCCCACAACAGACGCCACATGACTCACTCCCAGTGCCAAATACTCGCCTCCTCCGGTTCCGTCCACGAGTCCGACCTTCCTATTGCCCTTCGTAAAGGTACGCGTTCTACTCGTAATCCTTCTCCACATTATACTTGCTTTAAGTTATCATCGAATTTCTTCACCATTTTATACCTGTCTCTCGTCTATTTCTTCCGTGTCTATTCCTAAATGCGTCTCGAAGTCTTAGCCCACCCTGGTTGGCGTCAGGCCATGCTAGATGAACTCGGTGCTCTTCGGACTAGTGGAACCTGGACGCTTGTCCCATTACCATCTCGGAAAATCCGTTGTTGGTTGCAGGTGGGTCTTCGCTATCAAGGTTGGTCCCGATGGTACTATTGATCGCCTCAAAGCTCGCCTTGTAGCCAAAGGCTATACCCAAATTTTTGGGTTGGATTATGGTGATACTTTCTCTCCGAGTGGCAAAGATGGCTTCGTTCGTTTATTCATTGCCATGGCCGCTATTCAACAATGACCTCTTTATCAACTCGGATGTCAAAAATGCTTTCTTGAATGGCGATTTGCAAGAAGAGATTTATATGGAGCAACCTCCCGGATTTGTTGCTCGGGGGAGTCTTCTGGATTGGTATGTCGTCTTCGCAAATCTTTATATGGCCTAAAACAGTCTCCTAGGGCCTGGTTTGGAAAATTTAGCAGCGTTGTTCAACAATTTGGCATGACTAGAAGTGAGGCAGACCACTCAGTCTTTTACCGTCACTCGAATGCTGGATGTATCTATTTGATAGTGTATGTCGATGACATTGTTCTTACAGGTAGTGACCATCATGGCATCTCTCAGATGAAACAACACCTTTGCCACCATTTTCAAACCAAAGATCTTGGCAAACTCAGATATTTCGTGGGTATTGAGGTAGCACAATCTATCGACGGCATTGTTATATCTCAAAGAAAGTATGCATTGGATATTTTGGAGGAAACTGGGTTGATGAATTCAAAGCTCGTTGACACACCCATGGATCCTAATACCAAACTCTTGCCAAATCGGGGGAGCCAATGTCGGATCCCGAACAGTATAGAAGATTAGTTGGAAAATTAAATTATCTTACGGTTACTCGCCCGACATTTCCTTTGCAGTCGGTGTGGTGAGTCAATTCCTCAATTCTCCTTGTCAAGATCATTGGAATGCAGTCATCCGTATATTGAAGTACATCAAAAAGTCTCCTGGAAAAGGTTTGGTGTATGACTCCCATAATCATACAAGAGTTGTCTGCTATTCGGATGTTGATTGGGCAGGATCTCCCTCGATAGAAGATCTACATCTCGGGTATTGTGTTTCCATTGGTGGTAACTTGATCTCATGGAAAAGTAAGAAACAAAGTGTTGTGGCAAGATCCAGGTGCAGAAGCGAGTATAGAGTTATGGCCTCAACTACCTGTGAACTTATTTGGCTCAAACAATTGCTTAAAGAGCTACAATTTGGAGATGTCACTCAAATGACACTAGTGTGTGACAATCGAGTCGCTCTCCATATAAGCTCTAATCCCGTCTTTCATGAGAGGACTAAACACATCGAGATTGACTCGTCATTTTATTCGGGAAAAGATTATGTCTGGAGACATCAAGACCGAGTTCATTAACTCATGTGATCAATTAGCAGATATTTTCACTAAGTCTTTACGGGGACCTAGGATGGATTATCTTTGTACCAAGCTAGGCACATACGATTTGTATGCTCCAGCTTGAGGGGGAGTGTTAGATATGATTAGATATTAGTTGATATTGTTTGATATTGTTGAGATATTGTTAGATATTGTTAATCACAATATCAAATAATATCTTTTTATTTACTCTATTTGTATTCTGTTACTCTTTTGAGGAGTACCTTTCTTTATTATAAATACACTGCCCTATGTGTGGTAAATACATAAGGGAAATTAACCCTATACAGTTTTTCCCTATATTCAACAAAAAGGAAGAAACATTGATATTAAACAGAAATTTAGAACATTCTGACAATTGCAGTCATATAACATACGAAGCACTTCGATGAATTACATTGTCCATGCCTTGGAGAAGATAACCAACGGTAAGTTCTGGCAAAGCTTTTCCATGCCAAATATTAGGTTTGAAGATTCATTACAAAATTAATTGACATTTCCTAGTTTAATTTATAACTAAGTCAATTTTTTTAATATGCAAAGGGCAAAGGGAATCTGAGGTATATTCATCTTGCTTTTATTGAACAATCCATATCTATATCATTAATACAAGTCTCTAATATAATATATAGATATATTTTCTATGAAGACCTCCGACCAACATCTCTACATCGAATATGAGCACGTACTAACACTTAGCAATGTATATATCATGTCAATGAAGCATGTCTCTGATCAACTTAGCTGACATCATCATTTACATCAAGACCTGCTAGTTTATCGAGCAGAATCATATGCTCAACTTACTTTTTAAAATTACACATTGCTTTTGAATCATATAAGCACCATCCATATATATATATATATATATATATATATATATATATATATATATATATATATATAAATGTTTGGAAATGTTTTGTGACAAGGTCATTGAGCATACATTATTGTTATGGACATTCTATGAAAGAAACAAAATTAATGACCATTTACAAAGTTATAGAAAATTTGTTGTCGCTGAAACAAAAGGTGAATCAAATAACATAGTCATACCACATGCCAATCTCGCCCCAGCATTTCCTGTGCTCAAACTAAGTTCCTGCCCACCTATAAAACCATAAAAAAATGCAAATGAGACTAAAGTAAAAATACTCCAATGAACAAAAATGAAATTTGTACAAAAGCCAGCAATTGCAAAGTTAGATATAAAAACAATAGTTGGAATAGGAAAAATCAATTTCGCGTTCATGTCACAACATTCTTCCCATGGTAAGCACGCATACTTTGCACATTCATCTGCAACTTAATTGGCAAAGATATAAGTGCTGAAACTTGTCAATGATTTCCTCTGTAGAATATAGCAAAGTTTCTAAGTGCTAACCCTTTCCGAGGTCATCCTCAAGCTCATGAACCACTAAGGCTCTTCCAACTACTGAATTGGGTCCAACTAGTGGTATCTGCACATTTTAGGCATAAACACCTCAGTCAGCTTACAGATGCAATAAAACAAATTACATTGACCTCCTGTAATTTGTTGAAATTCAAATGACACCGATGTCTTTTTGGCTTTACATTAACTCTTATAGGAGTACAAGATGTAATGTGTTTCTAGGGTAATTGGGAGTATCAGTGTTAATATATTCTAATCAATTAAGAGAAGTTACTGTAAAGTTGGTGTGATTTTAAAAGAAATTAGAAGGGTGTGAGTGTAATTAGCTAAATACAAAAAGAAGAAACCATTGTTCTTAAAATTAAGTTTTTTTACTAGGTCTTAAAAGGTAAGCGTTGAGATTCAAACCTGCAGACTCAAGTTGCAGGGGTTGTATTACAATTGGAAAACATGTTAAAAACAACAGAGCAAAACACAAAGAGTACCTGATTGTCCACAATTGTTGCTTCTGCGACTCCTGCATTTAAAAAAGTGGGAAATGAGGGCACGGATAGGTTTAAAAGGAATGCCAAAGAAAGAGAAGAAGACAGAAGAAAGAGGCATTACCATCGGCATTAGCAACTATGTTTCCCAGGTCACCCGCATGGCGAATTTTATCCTCCGGAGCACCATGTGTGAGTTTATTAGGATTGAAATGTGGCCCTAAATATGTCATTCAATTCAAAAAGCAAATACTCTTGACTTCATCAACAGAACCACACCATAGTATAGTAACCAACAATAGAAACCAAGGCCTTACAATACCAGTTGATATGCACCCGTTTGTTAAATCACCATACTCATGCTGCAAGAGAAAATAGCACAAGTTAGACAATGGTTTTGAAAAAGCGATAACAAAAATATAGCAAGAGAGGCCTCAAGCTCACGAGGTGAAAACCATGAGGCCCGGGAACAAGACCAGAAACACGAACATAAACAGTTGTTGGACCTACAAACACAGCACAGAGAGGTGGTTAAAACATTGAGAGGGACAAAGGAAGTGTTGCCAGTGGTATGGTTGGTTGAAAATAAAGAGAAGTAACCGTTGTCTTGTTGGATTAGTGTGACAATGCCTTGGACGGAGGAACTTCCCTTGAGGAGTGCAACAGCTTTCTTGGAAGTGGAGGGAATGGCTATGGATTGAGGAGGGGGTGGGAGTGAGAAGGAAGAAAAGAGAGGAGCTTGGAATGAGAGAATAGTGTGGGCAGCCATGGCTGCCAATGCAGCTTGCATGGTTGAGGGTGATTATGCAATGGAGAGGTTTGACTTCACTGTGAACTCTGATGAGACAATGCAACCCACTCAATGCTACCTATGCTATCTTTTTCTCCCACTCTTTATCTTTTATATTTTTTTCTTTTCTCACTTTTGCCATACAAACTAAACCCACTTAAAAACCTCATCATAATTTACATCCAATTAGTCTATTTATTTATGTGATTATTTTATCCTTTTTTTATTATGTATAATTCATTGGAACTTCTTGTTAAATATTTATCTTTTACATTTTTTTACACATGTTTGTGTTTACTTATAGAAAATCAATACCGATGTAAAAAAAAATCTGATAATTCACATGTTTTATTAATTGAGCTTGATTCATTATATCTATAAATTGTTAATATAGAATTGAGTTTAAAATAAAAAATAAAAACATAGTAAGAAACTAAACATAAAAATCAAAGCATTTTAAATGAGGTAAAATAAATTATAATATCATCAAGAAAAAATATGACACACAATAAATGATCTGAAAATATTTCAAATGTTAAATTATAATTACTTCTCGATTATTCAAGTTTTAACTGAAGTCAAACTTTATCTAAAAAGCAAAATCAAACTTAAGTCTTAAATAATACAAATTTATAGAGTTTAAAGTAAAAATTTTTAATTTAAATAATAAAGCTCATAATATGTGTCGTCTATTTATAAAATAAAAATAATTAATAATTATGTGTACTGATTAGAAAATTAAAATATTTAATAATTATATAAATGTGATTCCATATATATCATAATATTTTACGGACTGATAAAAAAGAAAAATCTCAATAATATATTTATTTATTTTAAAAGCAAGGTGAGAAGTTATCTCCATTATTAACATTTAATTACTGTGAAACTAAAATACTAATAATAAATGAGATAATATTAATATATTTTTTTCATTGAGTTTTATTATAAATTTGCTTTGGATAAAAATGCAGTGCAGTTATCAATTATTTATAATAAGATAGTATTTTATTAATAAAATATGATTGATTAATATTAAATAAATAGAAATGAAAATTTATAGGAAACTGATGTAATTCTAGAATTCAAGTAATATTGTTAGAAATAAAAAAGTAAAAGAATAATAACTGAGTTGTATAATAAAATCATACTTTATGAAGCATGTAAATAGTTTTCAGTTTTCAGTGTGTTGGAAATTTGAGTTGAGTTGAAGCCATTAGACCAAACTCCAACAGCAGAACTCAAAAGTCCACGTTTCAAATACCGCACTGCATCAATCTATCCATCTGCAAGTGCGAACTGCCAAACCAACACCAAAAACTAAAACACATTTTAAATAAAAAAAGAAAAAGAAAAAAGAAAAAAGAAAAAAGAGAGAGGAGAAGAATGGGATGAAGCTGGAAATACAAATCTTGCACAGCAAAGAAGAGAAGGCATTGACATTTGAACAATGGAGCAACGAAACCCTTCTCCGTCTCCGTCTCCGTCTCCGTCTCCGTCACCGTCACCAGTTCGAGTCCTCATTCGCCCTCCGTCTTCTCCTTCGCCTACCTCCTCCGACCATCCACCTCAGGCGTCTCTCCCTCGCGCCTCCGATGGCGTGGTGGTTGTTGGCTTCATCGCGCGGCGGCACGGCGATTCGGCGCAGCTCCTCAACCGCGTCATCGACTCGAACGCCTTCGCCTCCGGCAATCTCGATACGCCGCTGCTCGTAGACGATGAGGAGGCTCGAGAGTGGTTCGAGCGGAGGAGAATCAGCTACTTTCACGACCAGGAGAGGGGAATTTTATTCCTTCAGTTCTCTTCCACTCGCTGTCCAGCGATTCATGCCGCTGCGGAAACCGCGCCGCCGGGATTCGATTCTGCCGTCGAAGAGCACGAGTTCGGCGACCTCCAGGGAATCCTTTTCATGTTCTCTGTAAGTCATTTTCTTCACTCCTCTATATACCGTATATTATTATGTATAATAATATTTCAATATCAATAACCTAATCCTATCGGCTAAATTACTGTCAGAGAAGTCTTGGTGATGTTTTTCATATTCATATTATGAAAGTTTGTAAGATTAGAGTGGGCTTTATATTATGAAAGAGATAAGTACTCTAAGCTTCAGTGAATTAGGAAGTCGAATTTTACTGTTGTAGTTAGCTTTTGTGAAATTACAATGTGCGTTGTCTGTATAATTTTGGTTTTAAATTGCGCGTGGTTGATGGTGTAATTGACGGCATAGAAATGCAGGTTTGTCATGTTATTATATATATTCAGGAGGGGTCACACTTTGGTACTAGGATTTTAAGGAATTTTCGTGTGCTGCAATCAGCTAAGCATGCAATGGCTCCCTTTGTTAGATCCCAAACTATGCCGCCTTTGTCAGCTAGATCGCATCCTTCATCATCCACTAGACCTGCTTCGGCAGCAAACAATTCTTCTCCAGGTAGAGGTGGTGGTAACTTGAGTCGCAATGTGTCGGCCATATCTCCCATGTCAGGTTTAGGTTCTTATGCTTCTTTGTTTCCAGGACAGTGCATACCTGTCACACTGTTTGTATTCGTGGATGACTTCTCCAGTTTATCTAATTCCAGTGCAAACGGGGAGGAATCTTCAGATGGCTCTTCACTTAGTCAATCATCTAGTTTGAGTGGAGCGGCCAAGGGAAACTTGTCTGCTAAAGGTTCGGGTTCTGTAGTTGTGCTGGCACGACCTTCAAATCGATCTGAAGGTGGATTTAGGAAGAAACTACAGTCATCTCTTGAAGCACAAATTCGCTTTCTGGTTAAGAAATGTCGGACTTTATCAGGTCCTGAAATAACTCATTCTAGCGTAAGAACTGGGGGTACATCAACTTCTGCACCTCTGTTTTCACTTGATGCATCAAGGACAGTTGTCTTGTTAGACCGGTTTTCAAATCAAAGAGGCGAGTCTCTTGAGTTTGCCAGTGGACTTGTTGATGATGTGTTAAATGGGAAAGCAACTTCAGATTCCCTTCTGCTTGAAAGCCATGGTCAAAGTGCAAGCAAAGAAGATTTAATATCAGTTAGGGAGTTCATTTACAGGCAATGTGATATTTTGAGAGGGAGAGGGGGACTAATTAATACGAACAGTGGCTCAGCTTCTGGTGTTGGTATGGTTGCTGTTGCAGCAGCTGCAGCTGCGGCCTCAGCTGCATCTGGGAAAACATTTACTACTCCTGATCTTCCAAATCTTGAAGTTTGGTTATCTTCTAGTCGTCATATATTGAGTGGAGTTCTCTGTGCAAAAGGTGGTTCCCTGGATGAATTTGATATTATGAAAAGAAAACCTCGTCCTAGGAATGCTGTTTCATCGACAGTGGAAGGATCTATGAAGAGTACAAATCCTTTAGATGTTGCGCTATCTTGGTTAAAAAGTGGTAGAGGGTTGAACACTAAATTCTCGACTATGTGGTGCCAAAGGGCCATTCCAGCCGCAAAGGAGATTTATTTGAAAGACTTGCCTGCCTCTTATCCTACTTCACAACATCAGGTGCATTTAGGTAAGGCTTTGAAGGCATTTCGCTCAATGGTGAAAGGACCTGCAGTGGAACTATTTGCAAAAAAGTTGGAAGATGAATGCACTTCCATATGGAAATCAGGAAGGCAACTATGTGATGCTGTTAGTTTGACAGGAAAACCCTGCATGCACCAAAGGTATGATGTTGAACCTGGTAATTCAGATTTAGGAGACTCGCACAAGCTACATTCAAGTGGTTATTTTTTCCTTCATGCATGTGCTTGTGGTCGTTCCAGACAGTTATGTCCTGATCCTTTTGATTTTGAATCAGCTGATGGCAGTTGCTTCTCTAAATGTGATAGTCTACTTCCTGCAGTCAAATTACCCGAAACAGAAGTTGCAGGGCCTGTTAAACCTTCTGCTTGGAGTTTACTTCGTATTGGGGGTGCTAGATACTATGAATCTTCTAAAGGCTTACTTCAAAGTGGATTTTCTGCCACTGAAAAATTTCTTTCTAAATTGACAATATACCTAGAGAAAAAGAATATACCAAATGGTTCTACAGAGAGTACAGTGAATCAAGGTTCTGTAATTAGAGCACCCAAGGTTGAATCTATTGCAGATGCAACGAAAACTGGGGTTATACAAGCCCACCCTGCTGTGCAGAATGGAGTGGAAGATGTAGGAACATCTGTAGATGTCATGAAGGCTGATGATAAAAAGATAAGTTTTGGTAGAGGTTTCCCTATTTTCAAAATGAGAAAACCTTTTTCTGAGGTTGTTGCTGGATCAGCGGCTAGTGATTCAGGATTTCCTCCTCTTCAACAAAGGAAATTGCCTACACCAGGTTCGGAAAAGGGTATGAAACAAAACAAGTCAAGTAGTCAGACTGTTGAACAAGTTAATGCAACCATTGATCATCAACTATCTCAAAAATCTCAAAATGTTTCATCTACTCAGGGACATCTTGATGATAATGGTAACAATATCTGCAGGGACAGTGATCCTTTTTTGAGGATAGGTAGCAATGTTGTATACTTGAATGATAGTGAAAGGAACAAATCACATTCTTTGAAGCATGTTATAATATATGTTGGATTTGAGCATGAATGCCCCCGTGGCCACCGTTTTTTATTGAATGCAGAACATCTTACTGAACTGGGATCGTCATACTCGTTATCTGAAGAATCTCATACATCTTCTATGGAGCCTGCTGACCGAAGTCAGCCATCTCATACTAAAGTGAGCAAGAATGCTTCCTGGAACAAAGTTCATCGAGGCTCAAATGAAATTCTGTCTGCAGCCTCAAATAAGGAAAGAGATGTGAACAAATCTAATGGGATGATTCCTAATGGTGATTTGAATTCAGATGGACTAATACATACTTACGTTCCGCCAAAGCAACATAATTTGACTTCAACAAATGCATTTGCAAAACCCCTGAATCTTACGAAGGATTTTGGAGGAGATCTTCAAGCTATTAGCATGGATGGTGATGATCTTGCATTTTCCATGTTGAATAAAAACTTGCCTATCTACATGATCTGTCCTCACTGTAAGCATGCAAGGAATAATAAGGATACACCAAAAGTGAAGTTTGCAAGTGGGATCTCACAGCTTAAAAGAATTTTTCTGGTAGGAATTACTTGTATAAGCATTAAATTATGTTTCAATTAGCATGATTGAAATTTTTTTTTTCTGTCAATAAAATGCATATTTATGTTAAAGCTTGTTCTAATTTTGGAGTGTTCCTGTCTTTTTCTTCTGATTTCTTTCATATAAACCTATGGGGGTTAAAATTTTCCTTTTATTGTTTGTCTTTTATACTTTGTCTATGAACTTCACTTTTGACATATTTGCATTATGTTAAAAATGGGGTATAATATTCTAGGGTATTTAGCTGGTGTATGTTTATATGCCACGTGATATTGATGTTGACTGTTAGTTTAATCCTTTTATTTTTAAATTATTATCAGATAAGTAAACTAATCTATGGATATTACTTGTAGGTGACACCTGCATTTCCAGTGATACTAGCAACATGCCCTGTTGTACAATTTGAGGTATGTATTTATTCTTCCCTTGTACAGTTATTGAAATTTTTTAATATAAACTAACTATAATTCACATATTTAAAAATCTAACTCTTTATGCATATAGAGTTAAACTTCTCAAGAAATGGATGCTTTATGATGAGATGGGACAACCTTCTGTTGTGTACTATATAGGCAAGCTGTATTGATTTGTGTAGTATTTTGTCTATCACCAATTGTTTCATCTTTGTAACTGCTGGTATTACTTTTACTAAAATATTGTACAACTACAATCAACAGAGAACTTGATAGCCTTTATCTTTACCTGTGACGTTTTAGCTGCCATCCCTGAAATGGTTTTACTATTGGAGTTAAATTTATATGCCTGTGATGTGCTGATGTTTGACTAAGAGCTGTTTGGTTAAGAGAAAAATCACATTTTAGGGAAGGGAGAATTGCTTTTATAGTATGCAAGATAATTTGTTTTTATTTTTGTTATTTTACGGGTAGTAAAATTGATTTTGAGAGGTTGAGTAGAATTGATTCTAGGTATGAGATCCACTAAACACACACACACACACACACACACACACACATATATATATATATACTTGAAAAAATGATGATACTTTATCTTCCTAACAAAAATACTTCTTCTAAACTCACTTTTATACATCATCCCCTAACATAATATTTTTAATCTTGAATCTTTCAAATTCAATTCCTTTAACATAAATTCTTTAAAAATAATTAATGTGTCAATATATAAAACAAAATCTACCCGAAATACAAATTTTGCATGCTTTTGTACTCTTTTTTGGATATTGTTGTTCATACTTTTGAAGTTATATAGTGGTTGTTGTCCATTTTGTTGATCTGCTCAATTGTGTAATATTGCCTGCTTTTTTTACCTTGTAGACATCATGCTTACCTCCCTTAGTTCCAGATCGTGAACAAAAATTGCAGTTTAGCCTTGGATGTGAGGTGATCTTGCCACCAGAGAGCTTCCTTACACTTAAATTACCGTTTGTGTATGGTGTACAGCTTGATGATGGAAACAAACATCCTCTTAACCCCTTTGAACAACAGCCTGAAATGACTGCCTGGATTGCCAAGGGCACAGTACTGCAGATCTTGTCCAAGGGGAACAGTGATGAGGGATATCAAACACAGTAAAAGCGTACTAAATTTTTGAGTGCCATTGCTAGATTGGAAAGGAATGGATGTCAATAGCTTCTTCAAAACTCAGGTGCGGTTCATACCCCCACTTTTTTCCTTCTAGCTAACATCATGTTTGGAAATTTAATGGGAAAAAACATGCACCTTGCAATAATTATTCAGTTTAGAAACTAGATCCTTTATGTCAAAAACATGCCCTTTCAAAAGATTCCTTTGGCCCTTCTAATGGAGAATGTTAGTTCAGGGTAAAAAGTGTGAGATCATAGGAAGCAATTGACAAGAGTATACTGTGGCAGGTCCGATCTAGTGAAATTATCAGGCTCCCACATTTCTATGTACCGTGAAGAAACCTTTTCACAAGTGTTTTTTTTTTTTTTCTTCGTATGTTCTTAGAATATGTGCAAGTTGTAATTGAACTTAAAACCAATGTGTGAAGTTTTTTGCTATATTTTTTTAGTTAAATTATGGGATATTTTTTGCTTTTGAAGGTTTAGAACTGATGGTAAATGCCACGGATGAAACATTAGGCCATTAATGCTGATTACAATTAAATATTGTCTTGCATGAAATGATTGATTTTGTGACTTTGCTGGGATTGGAGATGTGTGCAGGGTATGGTCTGCAATTGAATTAGATGTAATGGAAACTAGTGGAGTTCATTACTCAGGCATGAATTGGTAACGGATTTTTCTAATGTAAATTCTTTCTACTTAAATCACCAGCCTTCTAATTAGGTTGTTTGTTTGCAGGTCTGTGGTTGGCTTACTAGCTTCTTCATAAGTTCTTGGATCTCACGTGGTAATTGCAAATTCATGGTTCAATTATTGCTGTCTGGATTAATTTGGATGAAAATATTCTATGGTTCGAAGGAGTCTTAGATATGTGCATCAATAACCAGAGAATCATAATGGCCCCTGTAATGGTATGTGACTATGTCTTCTCACCTGATTTTTTTCTCATTATCTTCTCCATTGCCCGCCCTCACTTAAAAAAGGCTTCATTTGTAATTGCACGTTTTATTCTTTAGCGTTCTTGAAAGTAAATTTGTTGTTTGGGTCTGCTTGGATCTTTATCGTGATAATTAGATTAGTTGATGAGTACTTTCTATCAATATTGTGCAGCTTATTGTAATCGAACTAAAACTAAAATAAATAAACAAATAAAGGTGCAGTTTGTTTGATCATGCAAGGTTGGGGAAAATGTTGATTGATCTATTCCACGTGTCACAGCTAATTGCATAGGCAACTCTTGAATTTAGATTGAAACCCATTACTTGATTTACTACTGCAATAACATGAAAGGAGTAACTCTTGATGTGAAACTATAAAAGAATCGCAATATATCTTAAATATAATTCTTGGACCTCCTTATGATTTATAAATTATTGTTCCTATTAGGATGCTTAGGCGAATACAGGCCTCGTTAATGTATTATTTTTTTGTATGCTGCTGTCACTAAATTTGAACTGCTAGACTTTCTATGAAAACGAAGCTTGCTTGCAGGTGATGCCCCTCCAAGTTGTAGTTGATGAAAGAAAGGGTGGATGACAGCGTATGCATAGAAGATCATATAACGAGGACACTGATTGATATCTTTTCAGTAGTGATTTTGTTTTACAACGTGAAGCAGAATATATGAGGAATGATATTGACCCTGTGCATTTCAATTTATGCCATAAGCACCAAAGGATAAAAGGGGCAAGCGAGGGCTATCAAGGAAAAACCATACGCATTAGTGTATCTTGATTTCCCCGGGGGAATTCTTGGTATTGTAAGCTTGCTGATCGTCAAGGTGGTAAAAATTGGTTGAACTGAAGCCTGTGGATGGCCTCTGTGAAAGGCTCAAATCGAGTGTTCTTGAAACTGTTGGCTTACGCATTATGTTATCAACTAATGAACATTAGAGGGGAACAAACAAACTAAATAATTTTAAGTAAGCTTTCGTTTTATAAGCATTGCTTTCTTGATTCTGTAACATTTTCTTAAGTCATTTATGTTGTAAAAGTATGTCATTTCTTTTTCTTTCTCTTCATTTTTCACTATTATTTTGTATTACAAAAATTTACCAAGATTCAAAGTCGGATAAAATAAATTCCGCAATGTAAAAAAAATTCAGTGATCGTTTGTTCAATTCTAGGGACCAGAATTAGATAATAATTTACAATTATTTTGTGGGAATCTTTTACGCGAATTAGTTCTGTGGGGTGATTAAAATTGCTTCTTTTGTCCTTATAAAATGGAATGAAGATCAATGTAAATCCAAGTTTTGGGCACCCTAGCATCCAAGATCACAATGTTTAATTTCATTTTATAAAAGGGTAAAAGTAAATTAATATTATATATAACTAAAGAGTCATGATATGTTGTTGGGAGAGTTATGAGGTCATTGAAATATTTTATGATACTTAACTTTGTTTTAGAAGTTGATAATAATGTCATAGGATATTGAGTCATACAATATTAGATAATAGTTGTCATACGCGATTAAATTAAATATGTAATTGTAGTTAGTTTTACGTTATAAGTAGTTAAGATTTACCAGTTGTTAAAATTAAATAAATGTGACTGTATAAAATTAATGTGATCAACAGAGTCATCAAATTATTCAAATATGTATTAGAGTAGCTAATGACTAATGGTGTTAGGAATTCGTTAACTACATTAAACGTCTGGTGGACATTTTCGAACGTGTGAATAAATATCACTACTCTTTTCTTGCAATAAAAAAAGCTCCCAGTTATGTTGGTTTACGGTTACTCCAGTCTCTGTCGAACGAAATTTTTACGATATTATTTTAAAGGTAACTTATTATGAACATTTGTTTGTGGGGTTTCGTGTTTTGCTAGTCTTTCTAGTGTTATTATTTGTACTGAATATTGGAGAGTTGCACAGAACGAAGGTAGCAACGATGTTGTGGTGGTTATAATATGTGATATCATACTACTGTTGTTATACATGATGGTGTTGGAAGCTCACACTAGCTCAAGATGTTGGCGTCCACATTATACGTGTTTCATGGTTCATCATACATACTGGTGCATTTAGTCAACCAGAGAAAGATGCCTCGAATTCAAATCCTTGATTCAGAAGGGCGCCAGTCACCCATAGCTTCAAATTTGCCAGGTTAATCTCTGCTTCAGATCCTTTTATCTGTTTTCAACACATCAATGACTTATCCGTGAGCAAACTAATAACTCAAAATTTCAACGAAATATAGTTATTGAATTGGAAAGGAGAGAGAAAACGGCTCACGTTCAGTGTAAATGTAAGTAGAAAACTGTCACAAACTGTACCCAAGTTTGAATTCTGAACATTAAAACCTGCAAGAGACTCAAGAGCCCTGAACAACGATGCAACCACTCCTTCTCCTTTGTTGCACACTATTTTTGCATAATACCCTCTTTCCTCCACTTGCAACATCTCCAACTACAAACCCGCATTCAAAAATGTTATGCAATTAATGTACATACAAAGACTAACTGAAAACTTGAGGAGTTGTCAGGGATTTCTTTTATCAAACCAACCTGCATGATCTTCTTGCAGATTGGATGACTATTACGGGCAACTTGCACATTGTTGGGATTGTTAATTGATCCTTGATAATTTTCAGACACTAATAAGGATGCTTCGAGTCCTGCAACTTCAGCCTTCAGCTTCCTAGTTTGAGCTTGAAGATCATGCACGTATGCTACTGCATCTCCAATTATAGAAGCCTTGTCCATCTGTATACATAACTATATCAATCACATTTCACTCCCAAATATGACATCATCCTTGTTTTAGACTCACTTTTCATAAACTTCAACATAAACAGTTACAGAAAAAAGAAGAGTTTATATAAACTTAATTTATTTTACCTTGTTATTTTCTTCTCTTATATAGAAGTGTTTATGAAGAAATTCATCTGAACAGAACTAATTAAACACTTTAGTTTGTGCTTATTGAGTTTCAAGCAACCTTCTTTACATTAGATTTTAATAGCAGTTTTACTAGCTTAAATAATCGAAACGGGGACATGTACCTTAGTTATGTTGGGAACCAAAGAACGCAATGCGTAAAGCTTCTCCTTCATTCGGCCTCTCCTTCTCCTCTCAGAAATGAGAGTCTTGGACCTATCAGTTTTCAGTTTCGATTTGGAGTCATCATTCTTGGTAGTTGTTGTTGTCGTTGTTGTTTCAGAAGAATGCGCTCCATCATGTTCTTCTTCTCCTTCTCCTTCTCCTTCTCCCTTGATCTCCCCATCAAAACAAGAGAAGGAGCTAAATGTGGAGCTAGGCTCATAGACATTCACAGCATTGTTATTGTTCTGATCAAAAGGGTCTGCAGGACATGAATGGAGCTGATTGTTAACAAAACAATCATTGATGAGGTCAGAACCAAATTCACAGTTGGCATCTTCATTCTCCCCACGGATCAAATTGATGAACTGATCAAAATTTGGATTGTCAATGAAGTCGTAAAGCTCAAAATCATTGATGTACGTCAGTGTGTTTTGGTGAATTTCATCCATAGCGTTCATGGTTACAACTTTGGTATACTAATATATAGAAGGTTGACATGATTATTAATATACAGTTACGGTGTGAATGGAATAACGAAGAGTTTCCTTTCATGTCACCAAGGAATATTATTTTATTTCCGCCATTGTTAATTAACTAAAGTGGAGATGCCTTTGATTTCTTGTCTGGTTACTACAGGATGGCCATGATAATCATTTATGTGGTTAGTATCTGTCCAAGGACCAGAAGATGTGACTTACTTATTAATAAATTCACACAAGATACTTCTTTCAGAAACAATTTTACTCATATTTGACACGACCTACGAACATATCTTCTGGTGAATATTTGAACTTTGGTTGTTTATTCTGTAAAATGCTAGTCTTTTCATTAAATCCAACCCGAGAATTTACTTGGCGGTTTGTTTTTGTATGATTTAAATTCAACTCAGAATGATGAATTGAATAACTTTTTATTCTAAGCATATATAAATCGAAATCCATCTAGTGTTGCAGACGATCTCACGTTTTCAACTTTTTGCCCATAGATTGTAATGAATTAAGTTATTGCAATTGGTGTAACAGCAAGAAAAATGCAAACCAGAGTTAAGAAAACTGTTGATGTTCAAATAGAAGATAAAGACTATGTCAAGTAACCTTTTTCATTGTCATATCATGCTGGCTAGCTAGCATTAATATCACTATTTTATGCTGATTAGAAGAGGTTGAAACTGGGTAAATCCATTGTTTATCAGTATTCTATTAAGTTCTGCATAATCAGCATTTCTTGACTTTTATATTGATTGAATTGAAGCCAGTATTGTTGCAAAGCTTGCAAACGGGTCACTTTCTATGATGACTACTGCAGCTACATGCCTCTACTGTTGTAGTGTGAACAGAATCAAGTGGGAACGTAATGACGTGCCTCATATATTTTAAATTTCATAAACCAAATGGAAGGTACTGTGGATAGAAGATAGTGATTTCACAATCATAAATAATAACCCTCCAGATAATATACTAAATTAATCTTCATTATATATAATTTTTAAAATTTTCTTCTCATCATCCATTAATACAAAACACAAATATTCATATTATGAAATAGAATTATAAAAAAAAAACTAAATTTATATAAAAATTATAAATCATCTTTTAAAACCAACACTTTTTTTCTAAAATATGTCTTAATACTAATTACAAGATGCAATATATACTAGCTGTCAATGTCAGTATCACCATGCAATAATAAAAGTTCTACACAGAATTGGAAAGCTTTTCATAGCTTTTTATAACTGTGACTTGCTGTTACTGAAAGAAATACATGCATATGAATTGCATATATATATAACTGAAAAGGTGAGAATAAATATATAATTGAACCCAGTAGACACATGTTGCCCTGGTTGACCTTACTCAAATGATTGAAACTCTTGATCATCTGACCCTTTCTTTTTTCAGGAGGAGAATCTAAACTGACATCAGTGACCACGGGTTTAGTTGTATTTTATGGTAGCAACTATCACAAAAAGGAGAAGGAAGAACCACACGCAGAGTAAGAAAATTCTTCACTGATTTGGAACAACACTTATTGAAGGCACGAAAAGGGGTGTGTGAGACAACAGTTTGAGGTGAAGCTTGCATGTGCCATGGTCCACTATCTACATTTTATTTTCACATATCGTACCCCCAACATTTCCATTCATCTCATTTAGCACGGGTATAGCATAAGCTTCTTGGAACTTTTTTTTTTCTAGCTTTGCTTCTAGAAACAATAAGCAGCAGAAATATTTTACACGTAGAAATGAATAAATATTGTAGGGTTCATCATATTAACTTGTTTTATTTTATCGTGATGAATTTAGTAATTTCATGCTTGACCCATTCCCGTCTTCAAAATTACATTATAAATAACGATTATTAAACACAGTGTTTTTTTAATTTTAAATTACTTTAAAAAATTAAATAAATCTAGTTTTTTAAGTTTTTATTTAGTAAAGTAAATAAATGAACACTTTGATGTGTTTTATAAGTGATCTTTACCGTTAAGTTAAAAAAAAAAGGATCAGATATATAAGGAAGAAATTTCTCACTTGAGAAACTTTACTCTTGTTTAAGGAAGAGACATGAAACCACAATGGTGAGTAACCCATAAACTTTTTCCAGACAAAAAGCATTTCGCCTAAATTGCAGCTTAGATAGTGTCCCTTATTTCTTTGCAATTTACATGAAGAATGTTAATAATACAACCCTTGTCAATCTACTGAACACGTACATTTTTGGAATAAAATTGTGTCCTAGTTACATAAAGAATCTCACTACTTTTTGGGCCAGTGCCTTTATTTTTACATTGAAATTCCAGGTTTGAATGGTACTGTTACAGTCAACAATCTATAGAATGTTTCAAAAACCAACCCCTACTTTATCAGGCTTAAAGCCTTTATATTTCTTTTTTTAGTTTGAGGAGTTTTATGACGTCAAAAGATGAGTGCAAGGACTTCCCAAAGGATTACATAAACATGGCGATTATGAACTTATTTTCAGAACATAATTCCTTATTTTTCTGTAATTTCCTGACAGACCTTTAGACAAAACAATAATTCCCTACTGCTTGGAAATTAACACAAATAGTGCTAATTTGATGTTTAATACAAGTGCACGTGTTAAGTTCAATCTCACATGTAACATAATTGGCAACGCCTTTGAAAACGACCATGGACTTTTTTGTGCGACAATTTTTAGCCTTTAGAAAATGGAAATGCAAGCAAAGTACCAGGCACTAACTTAAGCAAACAAAAGGTGTGGGGTAAAATAATATCATATATATAGTATGTGTAGTTACAAAAAAATATGCAATCACTTCATTTCAGGTGGCAGTCCCTATAAGGTGCAACACAAGATTTGCAGAATGAATAATGGACCATTGGGACCACTCCTTCACTATTAGCCATCCCCCCCCCCCCCCGCAGTGAATAATCTGTCATAACATTTTCACTTTGTATCAGATGGACCTACATAGATTTAGGGATGTTTCAGATGGGCCTACATAGATATATACCATCATGTTGCATTCAAACAAAAGCTGAAAATAGCAGTTTTTGCTATCTGCCTAACAAAAATATTTAAGATTTGTTACTTGCTGTGTCTCTCAAAATGGTTTAGACTGGATTATAACCCGAGCTCCTGAAGCAAGCCTGTTGAGTTAAATCAATATCGTCAATCAACGACTGAAAACTATAAGAAGACGCTAATAAAAAAATCAAGGACATGAGTAGAAACAAAATAGGTATAAACACTTAACTTTCTTCAATTTTGATCACCCTCTCTTCTTCTCTAAATGAATCTACCCTCTTAGATTGCTTTCTCCCTGACCCTGATGAAGTTTCAGTGATCCTTCTGCTACTACCATTAGATGGTACTGATGATATGCCTGAACCATCGGTTTTATCCATGGAATTTCTTGATCCATCAGAAAGAGGAGATATCAAGTGTCCACCTGGCGACTGATTGATCAATGAGGCCTTTACTGACTGAGGAACACATTTTGAATTTCCAGGGGATGATGATTCCTCCGTGTCTTGTGATTTCAACTCTGTAGATGTCCTGCATATTTGTTATGGATGAGACATTGGCCAGGATGTGATGACTACTGTGTTCCTATCGCACGCCAATCAGAATCAATCACACAACTCTAAGACTTGAATTCACAAAGGTGGTCATAATAATTTTATATCACAAGTTATTTTATGCAGCATGTGATACAAGATAAAGGCTTAGAAAGCTCGAGCACTTGCGTTAAAAAATTAAAGGCTTAGAAAGAATTTTGTAAACCGAATTTATTTAGCAAGAAGAGAAATGCTACTCATTCCCATGGGGCTTCTATCAACTCCACTGCAGAATATATTATCAAATTTGGAAGTTATCCCCGACATTTATTCAAAAGGGCATATAAACCAAAAAATCCTTATTCTTCTTTATTATTCCACATGGCCTTCTTTCTCATATTTAAGTGGGATGATGCTAGCTATTGGAAGTTCTAATGATATCTAAGTTATTTCTGCAGAACAGTAACTTCCTAAAAAAGTAATAAAGTCCGTTCTTTTGTGCCTTTGAAGCCTCCATTTCCTTGAATCATCTTTCTATACCATCTATCACATAAATATTGATTAAGCAAGCATGTGAAACCATTTTTATATTCCATTAAACATTGTGTAACTTTGGAAAACAAGGTTAAAATATAAATAATTTGGGAAAAGTTTTAGAACCTTACATCATATATGCTCAATTGTTTTTTATCCAAAAAATTGTTAAAAAAAATCATTTAATGAGTGAGAATTTGGCTCAATCAGGACAAACTTGAGGTCTAGTAAAAACTCTTAAGTAACAGAAGCATTTTAACACCGGATTCAGGCATTTTCTACCTTTGTACCATGGCACAATCGACTTTTTAAAGAATAACTATATATAACAAAATAGAGTCTCACTACTCATCAGCTATGAACAAGAGTTTCGATGTTATGACTAGTGTGGTCCGTTTGCAACAAACCAAAGAGCAGTGTGTGATAAAACATCCAGCTAGCAGATAAACCATGATTTTGGGAATGGAAGCAATAACTCTATCTAATGCTACTTTGTCATGTTGCAAAGAAATGAATTGAAAGCAAAACCTACCTCTCGGCATTGCAAGAAGAAGAGTGTTTCAAAACAACATTAAGTCCACCTTCTTCCGTCAGTACTTTAGACTCCACTATGCTCCCGCCATAATAATCTTTGTCTTCCAATTTGAGGCCCATCACCTTCGTTTTTTCTGCTAGGCAGTCAAATTCCCCCAACATAACAGAAGATGAGAACAAAGGGGATGGGAATTTGGAATTGGAAAACCTAGTCTTATAAGAAGGAATAAGGCCAACACTATGATTTTTCACTGATATAGATCCGCATGAGATCAGTTGCATTAGTAGATTTGAGGCTTTCAGCCTTGCATTGGTTTGCATTCGAATACGCTCCTCTTCTAGGATCCTAAAGCTGTTCATTTTACTCACATCAGCTCTTATAAGGGACTCCAAAGTCTCAGTTTTCCCTCCAGAAGACGATGGACTTGAAGTTGAGGGAGGAGGAGAAATAGTATCCATACAGATATCAGGATTGTCTTTCACCTGTGGCACTCGAGCATCACATATTTCATGGCATTCCGATTCTAATGACCCATCATCCTCGGTTGATACACCCCTGGTACAAGTTTTCTGGGTTTCAGGTTTGCCAATAGTTTCTTCTGTCTGAGTTGAAGCATCAGCCAATCCATCCGTCTTGTAGATTTTGTATTCTGTCAATGGTAAGCTAAGAGAATCACTCGTCCCAGCTCTAGACTGAGGAGACACATCAGATGAATCAGTTTGTTGTCTTGGGGAAAGCTCATCATCTTCTTGGGAATTTCTTGTCTCTTTCTCATTCATGCTGGAAGAGGTGGAAGCCTCATCATGGCTTCTACAAGAAACCGGCTCTGGTAACTGCTTCAGGTTCTGAGTTTTCAAATTGCTAGTAGGGCCAAAACGTTCTGCAAGGCAAAATCCACAATAATCATAAGATACCAACAGGACCCAAGAAAACACACCATGATTTAGATAAACAAACATAAATATAACATTCTTGACCTGAATTTGATTCGTAAAACAGCTCAGAACCCTTGAGGACATACTCAGTTCCATGAGCAGGTAGAATTAGATCATCTTCGCAGAGATCATGCCACACAAATCCGTTTTTGTAGCTTCTGAATTATATAATAAACAAACATACATGATGAAAACTGAATAAAAAGCACACAAAAATTGATCATGGAGTGAAGTAACACAAATCTCAACAATCTTGATTGCTTAATCCAACTAAATCAATAAACATGGGGAAAAGATCCTCTCCATTTCTTCATTTACTATGCTTTCGAGAAAACAAATGAAATGAACAACCTGCGTTGACTTTCCCAAAATGCAGAAGAGAAACAAGGGACAAGGACAGACCCTATCAATCAACTCTTAGCATTATTCATTTTTCATGTTCTCTTATTCTCACCATACAAATAAACACCAATAGAAGATACTAATTAAGGAATCAAATAACTTACTCACCTCTTACAAGACCACGAATACAAAGAAGCCATGCCTCTACCTCTCAGAGCGTTTAGTCTATCAATCACATCTGCACAAAAAGAACCCCTCAAAAAACCACACCCCACGAACAAAACGAAACAAAAATCACAAAAATTTATACTTTTCCGTTTTTAAAATAAAATCTACCTCTCAAAAACAACCCATCCGGGGATGAAAGTGGAACCTCCATGAAATGAGGATGTTCTAACTGCCTATTCCGGCAAAGATAGTAAACCAGCGGCACCTTCCGATTCTGATGGTACTTTGGGGACTTTTCCGTCCACACTTTGGCCCTCTCTGGACTCACTTGCCGATACTTTCTCATCCGTGCTTCCATTCCCACATTCACAAACTCGTCAAAATCCAAACTTTCTCCACAGCTTGCTTCTGGGTCCAATTATTAATTATCGTCCACCATCACACACAGCACACCAGAAATCTTATTGAAGCTGGAAAATCATCAACAATAACAACGCAATAATTAAACAATAAAAGAAAGACCTGTGTAAGAAAAAGTAAGCAATAAGAAAGATCGTACAGGAATCTATGTGGTCACGTTGGTTTGTTTATTTGCAAAATATGAAAGGTCGCGCCTAGAAGAACGTGAAGTGTTACAAAATTCCAAATGAAATTGAACTAGACCAAAATTGAAGAGAGAGAGAGAGGGGTTTGTGATGTGTGAACTGGAGTGTGAAGTGAGTGATATAAAAAGCTTTAGGAGAGAGGGGAAAAAAAGTTAGTATTGAGATTGAAACAGAGACAAGACAGGAAGTGAAGTGAAGGTTGCACCTTACTTCCTGCTAATCTTTTGGCCGATTTGATGGACATATGCTTGTTATCTCTCATGTTCATACGCTTTTCCTTTTGCCTTTTTTTCACCACTTTTTTTTTATTTTTTAATCATTCTCTTCTATAATTATATTTTCCATATAAAAAGTTTGTATGAATTGAATCTACCTAACTAATCAAAATTACCATATATTTCCAGATTCAACCAGATTAATAAAGATGCTTATTAATCGTCTATAACAAGAATTAGAATTTATCAGATCAAAGATATCTCTTAGACTAAACAACACTAATGAAAACGCTTTTCACCATTATGATTCTCACACTAATAACGTCATTGGATAATAAAAAATTCAAACTTGAATACTCACAAATCACAGACCAATAAGATATGAGATTTCAAGCGCTGTGAAATTCGAAAGAGTTGTGCTCTTGCATTCACTATCAACTTAATACAATTTTGGCTACAATCAATTATACATCATTAATAAATAATAAAGTAGTAAAATAATTTATAATTATATATTATTTTAAATTTAATTTATACGAAATATCAAATCATTTTAAATTATTATAATTTTTTATATAATTTATATGAAAAGAATTCAATGGTGATTTAAAAAAAATGGGGGCCATGGTTCCCCCGCTCCCATGAAGCTCCGCGGCTGCACTGATGAATACGAATTAATGTTTTGGAAATATTTTTCTCTCTTGATGTTGGTTGAACTTATATTTTCCTAATGTTAATTATTTTTGTATTCAAAATAAATTACATAAAATTATAATATTGAAACTATTATACAAATTTACTATTATATCTTGAAAAATATAAAATATAATACAATTACAGGGTAAAATAATCCCTCAAAGTTACAGTTATAAATATATACTAGTTGTTAATTAATTTAAATATATTATATATTTAATTTTTCTTTTGCTAGTTTTTAATTATTTTTTGAATTAATTTATTCTTTTATCAATTTTGAGTATTATTTTAGATTAGTTTGATTTCGATCACCTATTTTAAACCAAAATTCATTCATGGAGTTTTCTTGATATTTGCCCTATGAATAGATTTAGATGCCAATGAATATTTAAACAGTATTTGGTTAAATTAATTTAATGGTCATTGTAATTTCACTAGTTTCTTAATTATATTCTTATTGTTATTTTTTTATTATGTTTATTGGCAAGAAAACTAATTTACAAATTATTCATTTATGCCGATGAGGTTACTAAATTTGGCTTCATAATTTCTTCATGGAACATGGAACACGTGTCTGTGTATAAATAAAAATAAAACACATGAATTTAAGTTCATGACCATTTACAATCAAGAAAACAGATGAATTTAAGTTCATCACACTTTATCCAGTTGATAAAGATGGTGATTTCAAATTTTGTTGTGGATTTGAAGATCCTGATTTTGTTGAACTCTATACAACTTACCTAAATTTTTCTGTGAAAAAGAAAAGAAAAAAGAACACGTGGTAGAGATCTGATATAACGAATTCTTTCATTTCTTTCAGGGTAAGCAACCCATGTTAGTAGTGTTGAGTTAGTAAAAGAGATGTATCTGCAACTTTGGAAGTTCGCGCTACCTTTGATGTTCAAGGGTAACATAACATGAACGATTTCAGAATATTGCAGAACAAAGTGCAAAATGGCACAAAAAAAAGAAGAGAAAGAGAGTAAAGAAAAACAACACTTGTCACCACATAAATGACTCAAAACATATGTTTGACTTGAGGAATATAGTTGGAATACTTTTGTTTCATCATCTGTCTACGCTGCTATGCAAAGTTGAAGTGGTAACGAATTTTTATGAATATCGTGGGCCATTGTTTATTTTGTATGGCAAGCTTTCACTTTAGTTTCTTGATGGGGCAATGGTTTCACTTCCTCACCTACTTTCTTCCCCTCTGTAGCTGCACAAGTACTTATTTATTACCATTAAACACCGCCAAATTAAACTGCATATACTTTCACTTCATCAGAGTTCACACGGTTTGAATTTGAAAATCGCTTACCTTTGAACATTACCCGTGAAGCAGTGAAGGCTCTCATATTCAATCTTAGTTAATAAAATGACCCTAGGCAATAAATTATCATAAAATAGCTTAATCCAATCACAAACTATTGTAATAAAATGGTTGACTTATACACCAATAAACGATGTAAAAGTGTTTGTTTATCCTGAAAATCCATAATCATTAAACTCCTGTTTACTTATCTGCATCACCTAAAATAGACTATTTTTCTGTTAATGTTCTTGACTAAAAACAAGACATCAACAGGGATAATAAGGTTCCTTTTTGCTTAGCAACTCTCTGCATCACATTTGATAAGTAATGACTTACTTACATGTATATGATGCAAATGTAATCATCCGTTACAAAGAAGGTGCAAAAGTAAAAATTCTCTATGCTTTGTTGTCTAATTAATCAGACATTTAAAGTGGTGCAGATCTGAAGTTTATTATAATATACATTACTTTTCGGGGTCTTCAAGAATTTTGTAGTGAAAGAGAAGTAGATTAAAGTGTGTGTACTTAGTGTTGGTTGATCTTAATCCAACAAAACTGAAAAAAAATAAAAAATGGTTTTAGTCTAGACATGTAAAAGGGTACTGAGATCTCAAGGCTTTAGACTTCAGTAGTTAAACTCATGAAAAAGCCCGATACAGACATTGTTTGCTAGTCCCTGCAAAGATACCTCATCGTAGAAAGGAATATTTATTGTGACAAGGAAAATGTCTGATAAGGAAATTGGTTTATGCAGATAAGCATTAGTAACACCACATGGATCACGAGGTATACTTCTTCATCACCAAATGGACATTTATCACAAGGTTCTGCCTGTTGGTTGTAGCATTGATAGTGATCAAATACAGTGCTAACTCTTCTTGTAAGGATGAAACAAAGATGTTAATAATTTGTCTCTATGCCAAAACAAGAGAAAAGTAGCACTATGAAACAGGATTATTGGTTTCAATTAATTCTCACTTTTTAAACAACGAACACGTAACTACCACAGCAGGTCCCTCAAAAGTTCTGCAACATTGAATTTCACTGAACCAAACTCTGCTAGAATTTCCTGCTTGCATTGCATTAAATATATTTGATATGTCCATGCCCGAATGATGAAGGCACAAAGTCTTGAAATGAAGTTAGGTTAAAACACAACCTCTGCTTAACCGAGGCCTACAAATCAAAGAAGGAAATTACTTCTTTATAGTACCAGCTTTTAAGGATAGTTCCCTAGAGATGATTCAGATATGCTATAGTATAAACAAGTGCATCATTTCTATTATATTGGAAAAATTGATTTCTTGTTGCATTCAGGGGCCAACTTTGCTTAGGTGAGAGACATTAAATCTTGTTGCATTCAAGGGCCAACTTGCAAGTAGAAAGTCTTGTAGCCATCATACTAGTTGCCCACGTTCAGGGCAACTAAACCTACCAAGGACCAACGTGTAAGTGTCTAAGAGATAGGGATAGGGGGAACCTGATGGCTCATGACAACAAAAAAAGGAGGGTTCTTCCCTTCTCCAAGGGTAAACTGATTAATTGCAATACATCATTGAGTGCATCTCAGCAAGCACCAGCTTTTTTTGCCATTAAAGAAAATTCTATCTGTACAATATTTTGAAACAAGTTTTTACAACTGTTCTAGACCCCATATGCAGAGGATATAGGTCTAGGATAGTGAATCAAGCTAATGCCCTAGTTCAGTACCCTCAAACTTAATACCTTATTGCCTTATCCACAAGCACCAAATTTAATGCTACCCTCCAACATCGAATCAGATCTCATACTTTATTAATGCATTTCATTCTCTTTCACTTCTTCTAATTTTATCTGCCCCTTTTGTCGATTTTTCATAATAGCAGTTTTTCCAAATAAAGCTCTTAAAGTAAGGATAATTGCATTAATGGCACTATATTGTCAGAAAAAACGGTAATATTTTGCTACATACAACAGAAGGAACATTTAAGGGAAAAAGATAAGTAGACTTTTTAATGCTTTCAAGAAAACAGAATTAGGTATTTTATTCATTCTCTCTGTTATACTTTTTAAGGGATCGTTTGTAGATCTTTGGAAAATAAAAACTCGTTTTAGATTTTAAATTTTTTTCATAAGCATTACTATAAAACAAAAACAAAATGAAAAATAAAATATTTATAAACTAAAATTAACTTATATACAAGTTAAAAAAAAAAACAAGAAAATTTACATAATAGAGTTCTTATAACTTAATTTCTACTAAAACTTATTTTAATTTTTTTCTTTAAGAAAAATTAATTTTAATTTTTATCTTTAAAATTAATTATGAAAGAATGTCCCAGTATCACTGTTTCTTTCATTTGGATCAGATAAATTAAATTAGATTAATAGGGCTTTAATTTCCTAGTTTACGAGAGAGCGTGTGGGCTGGGCCTCGAACAACTTGTGGAGTTATCGTTTTTGGTATTACAACGGGCTTTTTAAAATGAATGCGAATGTAACAACCAATAAAATATCAATTTAATCTTTAACATTAATATCACTTATTAATTTGAATTTTAATATTATAAAAAATCATATTTATTTTGGTCATTAATATTTTGTAAAATTTGGTACATATTTGTCAATATATTTTTTATCTAAGATAATATTAATTAATTTTATCCTTTGTAGAGTGTGTAAATTAATTTAGATTCTGATACCAGGCTTTGAATTAATTGTTACGAAATTCAATATTTTAAATTGATTTATTTAACGAGGTTAGATGATAAATTAATTAATACATTAATCTTAAATATTAAAGTAATTATAATTTTTTATTTAAAACTCTATCGTTAATAGTCTAAAATATTATTTATTATAGAATTTTTGTCAATTACGATATTATTTTTAAAATATGTTTCATTGGATTGAAAAAAGATAATATAATAAATTATTTTATCCTCAATGACTTATGAGTTTATTAAAACAAATATTATTATCTAAAAGTAGTTTACAAATATTTTATTAAAAATAGATTTTAAATAAGTTTTAAGAAAAAAAATAAGACTTTTAAGTCAAATAAAAAATAAAAACTTTTTATGAAATTTCTCATTTAGAAGACTAAATAACTTTTTTTTTTCCAGCTTGTACATTTTTTTTTCTAATTCCAGGTGTATACAACTCAATAGAAGAAGAAGAAGAAGTGTGAATGTGGCATTTTTTTTTCAATTCCAGGTGTATACAATCTCCATGGACCTGACTCAGAAGAGAAGATGAATACGATGAAAGGTGTTTTGGAAGCTACAAAAACTCAACAGAGAAAGAAATTGACTCAAAGTGGAACTCTGCCTAATGGTTTGAACAATTTGGTGTATACAATAATAATCAACCAATTATTCAACTCAACCTACACTTCACTCGTTTCTGATCCTCTTCTCTCTTTCTTCATTTTCTTAATATCTGTAATCTCTTTATGTTTTTCTCCTTGAATGCAAGCTGTGAGTGTTAACCTGGGCCTGTGGCAAAAACAAACCGTCAAATTGGGCCTCTGTATGGAGCTGGATTTGTAATGTCAAAATTAGGTCCAAATTAGTTGCGTTTGTATATAAGTTCCCTATCGAATCGATTGACCAAAGTTGGAAGGTTTGTGTAGTTTAGTGATGCATGAGTGGCGCCATTTGCGGCTTATTTCACTGTCCAGAATGTGCCTTAGCGCGTTTTTCCCAGGACTTCTTGCTTCCATCACTGGAAAGGATGTGTTGTTGTCGCAGTGTTTAAAATCATTCCTAGCTAGCTACATTGAAAGTTACACTTTTTTTACTTTCTTTTTTTTTTCACAAAAAAAAAAATTATAGGTCAAACTCCCATGCTATATGAACTCTGAGAGGCTCTTCAATACGTACAAAAGAATCACTCAAGTGCATTACGTTAATACGAATAATTTTATTTATTAGGAACCTCAAAAATTCAACTCAGCACAGTACTAAGGTTTTTCTTCCTCTTTCTTACTTTTTAATGTTACTGCATTTTCACGACCCAGATTTGAAACTTTAATTAATTTATCTTAATACTACGTCTGCTTAATAATAGTTATACTTATCCGGTCCTAAAATCGGGACATAACGTAAATGGCGGAGATATTAGATGTCTCTTCATAATTTCAGTATCATTCCAGATATCTGAAATGATTCACAATATTTATAATATATTTGATAAAATAGTGTAGTATTCAAAATAATTAAGTCTCGTCACCGATTTTATAGATTAAGCATGTACCAGAATTTAGCCTAAAATATCATTATTTATTTAAAAACTTGGATAATAAACAACAACCGAACGTTAAATAGGGAACAAAGCCTCAGACTCAAGACTGAAGACAAATAATATGAACAAAATTAGGTTAAGATTAAGGGGAGAAATTCAAGTGATACCAAAGAATAAAAAATATAATGTTTCATGATTCTTAATATTTTCTCTTATTTGATAATTAATTGATTTATAAGTAATTTTTTCTCATTCTCAACCTGTTCAAAAGGAATTACGGTGATTCCTTAAAATCCAGATAACAACAATAATAATAATAATAATTTATGTTGTGCTAAATTTAAAATTTGAAACAATTAAGGATAAAATAATCAATTTTAAAAAGTAACGTTGAAAATAAAATCTTTTTGCATTTTAATCCTTTCAAAATTGTTTTGAAACAAAGAAAGCTACTGGGAGCCCCAACGGCCCAAGCACAGTTCAGTGACAAGATTTTCTTATTTTCAATAGTGTGGTGGCCGAAACACCTCGTTAAGCATATCAGTTTCTAGAAAGAGCATACAAACTATTTCTATCTTATTTTCTCCCATTTTAATATTGAAATAGAACAAAATAATATTATCTATTTTATTTCACATATATTTATTGTCTTTTTGTTTATGTATCTTTCATTTATTTGTATATAAAACTTTAAAAAATAACCAATTTCCCTTAGAAAAAAGATGTACTAAGAGAGAGGATGTGGTGGGATAAGACGAAAGTGAGGGACAAGGAAGGAACCTGCTGCTACATAAATAAGAAACGTTTGGGACTGGTAAATAAATAATTTAAGCGTTTCTTTTTCGCACAATATAATTGAAGCCCTTTTTTTATACCATAATGCAGCATGTTACGTTTGTCTGCAGAATCTCTCTCTTTTTTCGACCCCAATTGTGATGCTTTGGACGAGGATGATAGTAGTCAACATTTTCTGCTCTTCCAGGGAAGAAATATTTGTGAACTCATATTGAGACTATGTAAGCGTGAAAATGAAAACAAGGACTTAATAAATATAGTGAAAAAGAAATAGAAAAAAGTATTTGGAAAAGCACAAAATTTGACCTCCATAATGATAACATCCCTAACAAGGGCTTAAACATAATCATACACCACACCAGTAACAGATCCTGTGTTCCTAAATTTGGGTCCACCCAACCCGACAAGCAGAACTCAAAAACCTTCCCTTTGGTCGTTGGACACACTCATCTCCCAATCCACCAACTCCACACCAATTCTCTTAATTGTTGATGAGATCTTACAGAGATCAATCAATCTCACTTCACACCCACACACACTCAAACTACGTGCTTGTTGGACTACAGTATCTTTGTTACATAATGATAATAATTTAAGAGAAATCAAATTAAGGCCCCTAGGAAGCAAAAGTATGTAAATGGATGAAAATGCCATGGACAAATTCTTCACCAAAATAAAACCCAGAAAGCCTAAATCAAACACTTCTTCTTCATAATCCTCATCTTCCTCAAAATGAGTTAAATCTGGATAACTTGTGTTCTGTCCTAGAACAAGTGAACAACCACTGTACAGAAGCTAGATCAGTCGCGTACCAGCTTGTTACTCTTACCCTCTAATCCTAAAAACTTGCGGATATATCTATATATATAAATTAGAAATTAAATATGTGAATCTGACTCGGGGGAAGTAAGTCAGTGAAGTACAAGCCTTTGGTACTTGGTCTCGGTGGGAGAATCAGAACCATCACAGAAGACCCTTTTTCGACTAACCCTTCCGCAGTTGGTTGTGGTGCTGCTACCGTTAGTGTTATGAAAGGAATCTTGGTGGAGGAGTTGTGGTTGTGGTGGTGAAGGTATGGTGACAGGGGGAATCTCAAAGGACTCAAGTGGTGGAGGAGGGTGTCTCCATTGAGGAAGAGGTCCTGCTAGGAGAAGGGTCTGAAGGAGAGGACCAGCTTTCATCACTGCTTGCAAGAGCTTACCCTTTTCTGGTAATGGTTTGTCTGGTGTTAGTTCAATCATGGATTGTGGTAATTGAGGTTGTGGTGGTAATTGGAGTTTATGATGAGACAAATGGTCAATGACTGGAGAGGAAACAATGCTCTCTTCACAATCTGATGAAGAGAGGCCATTGTTGGAGTCGATTCCTCTTCTTGGCTCATCCTCAATGCTAGAAATTCCAGACACAGGAGCCGCTTGTTGTTGCTGTTGGAAAACTATCTTCTCCAGGAGAAGTCTCTGGCTTTTCTCTTGTGCTTCGTCTCTCTCTCTCATGGTTTTGCTGAGGAGTTCCTTTAGGTTGAGTAGTTGGTCATCCCTCTTTCTGAGCTCTTCTTGCACTGCAGCCCTTGTTTGTTCCAGCTCCACAGTTAAGTATATGATAGACTGCCTCAGCTCCTCCATTGACTGTACCAATTGAATTAAACAAACAACAATGAAAAATGAGTGCTCAAATTCAAACAATCATCAGCCCCATTACACTTCTTTTCCGGCGAATACATTCAACTACAGACCATGAATTTATGAATGTGTGTACTGAATGGAAATAGTTGAAGTTTAGAAGAAAGTAGCTACCTTTCCTTGGAAGTAGTTAGCCCAACTTATAAGAGAGCTACGCTGGTTGTCCATGCTCTCAAGTTCCAACTCCCAGGATCAGAACTTAGATAATTATATAAATATCTGCTTTTTTGAAAGAGGGAAGGGAAGGGAAATGGAGAGTCTTAAAGAGAGAGAGAAAGAGAGATAGAGTTAGGAGTGTTTTGGGTGAAGGAGCAAGGTCTTTTATAAGAAGTGGTCCAAGTCACTGTTGGGTGGTGTGGGAAGAAATGCACATAAAAAGCCAAAAAGCTAACCGAGGCAAAATCCTAGTGATGGTAGTAGCGGTATTTTGATTTTCAATTTGGTAACATCTAGGTGTGTGATGGGAGAAAGGGAAAGGGATAGCAGAAAAAATCAGCAGTAAAAGCGGGAACAAGAAGCCAGTATCTGAGACACGTCCTCTTCGCGTCGATTACTCTGCTTTTCTGGCCATTTGCATTGTATTGCATGCTTTTGAGCATTGAGCAATAAAAATTTATGACAGTGACCGTGGAAAACAGTTATCCCCTTCTACCTATTTAATTTACAATAATAATAATAACAAGAATGAGAGCTGGAGTGAACATGACATTTAACATAAGAAACCCAATTATACTCAAATGATGTCTTTTTCCCTGTTGAAAATGCAAGTTTGTGAAGAACTAGAAAACTGAAGGTGTAGAAGTCTCCCCAAATATTGCAGAGTTGTTGTAATAAATCCAGGCTGAGTGTATTGGTAGGATTTACTCATATCTTCAGACATCAACATTTATAACGCATCTCCAATTTATTACTCTTCACATCACCGTTTTCGAATCAAGCCTCACAAGCCACAACATTAAATGTTCATCGTGTTCATATCTATGCAGGTTCACATTTAATCAAAGAAGAACTTTCAAGTATAAACACCTATCATCCACCACTCACTAAAATGTCCACTTTTTCTTTTATTCAACATTAAATCATAAGATAATATATTATAATTTTTTACTGTGTTGGGTGTTTATGCATCAGTATTCTTAAACAGATTTAAAATACTAATAGCTATGTACCATTCATTTTAAAACTTATCTCTTAAAAATTATCAAAATTATTTATATAAATAATTTCTTTCTATTTTTAAATAATATTTTTTTTATTTTAAATGGCTAGCCTCTGATAATTTAAAATCATATTTTATGTAATTTTACAATTTTTTTAATTTCATGTTAACAAATTAGTTCTTGATTCAAATTGGATTGACTTGAAACAATTTTACGTAGTTTCAAAATTAGATAAAAAAAATATCCTAAATTTTATTATTAAGTTGCTTTTAGTACAAAATATTCAAAAAAATGATCTAATTTACCTCAAATTTAATTTTGACCAAAATATTTGCATCATTGGAATCAATTCTATAAAGTTGGTCCAAATATATACTCGGAATTATTTTTCAAATTCTGTAAATTAAATTTAATCTCTCCAATTTTAAATTTTTTTAAAACTATATCATCATTTAATAATATCATTATCTAATTTCCTTTTTAAGAAATTATTACCTAATTATATATCACGTCACATACATTTTTAAATTGCACCACTATCTAGTGACAATTATTAATTAAAAAAAGATTTAAATTGAAGAAAAATCAAAATAATAAAAACAAAATAAGTAATATTCATTACATTAAAAATTATTCACATAAGATAAGTATGTCAAATGAGTCATGCTCATGCTTACTTTTTATAAGAATTTAAATATGATATTATGAAGATATTACAATAAAAAATCATATTTAAAATTTGTAATAGTTATAAATCTTAATATTACTAAATTTGTTCTTATAATTGTAAAATTTTGTCTTCCTTGACTATTTGAGCATTTTGCCAAAAACATTGACAATGTGTTTATATATGTCCAAACAACACAATACTAGTAGTTGCCTGAAATGACTAATCACTGGAGCTAAATTGAAGTTTATCAATGATTTCAAAGTTAAATCGTATAATCACATTAAATAACCACATAAGTTTGCAATTAGGTAGGTTTCTTCTAACTTACACTTGGAACTTGGAGAGAATTTTTGTTTGCTAGTTTAAATAAAATAATTAATTCCACGTTGATAAAAGGAAAAATTCCACTACGTTGATTTTTCTATTTAATAAAGTTTTTAATCCTCACTTGAATAAAAAGCATTTCAAAATTGATTGATTATTTTATTAAATTTCCACACTACTAATGACGACGTACCTACCCTTAAAAAAGATTAAGAGAGATATCCCTTTTTCAATTTTGAAAAAAAAAAAAAAGAGTAAATTGTCAATTGCGATGATCCATTTTTTTTTTTTTTATATATATATAATAAAAGCTTACTTTTTGACAACTTCTATGTTTCAAATGGCTACTATGCGTGTGTTTGAATTTTTCATGCTAAGACACCAAAAAGTTATTTTAAGTTGTTTTTATCTTAATATTATTATAATTAATAATTAGTATCGGTATTTTGCTCTTATAAAATATATTTTTAGAAATCGAGTAATACCTAATATAAATACCATATTTATCACATGCAAACATTGTACTTCACTTCAATAAAAAATATGAAATTTGATAAACATCAAATTCGGTATAACTTGGAATTTGAACATATATAATAATTAAATTATCTTATCATCAACCTCAAACGAGATACTACTAGTAAGATAACAAACATTCACTTACGTTATATAACAAAGTAAAACATCAAATTATACTTAAATATAAGAAAATATCGCATTAAAAATACAACCAAAAGAAAAATATAATTTTAAGCATTCCTTTTATATAGCAAAACAAGTATCTCGATGCATGGGATAAAACGTGGAATCATGGAACCAAACGTTTCTCAAACAAACTGTAAACAATATTGTATAAATTTTTGTTGTTGGTTGCTTACATGGTACGTATAATAATAATAATATATAAGAACTGTTTGGTTTGTGCATTAAAAGTTAACCATTTTCTTCTTCCGATCTTTACATTTTTATACGTTGGATTTTGCTTTCAAATCGCTAAGCGTGCTTGTAATCAATAACTCTTTTCTTGACTTACATTTTGGTGTACATCATGCCACTGATTCAGAAACGATCTTCACAAAAGAAACGAAAAAAAAAACTTAATTTTTGAGCACGTCCTTTTTGACAAAGGCAAGTAAATGAGAGAAAATATGTATTTATGAAATATGTGAGTGCACTCATCTTTGACTTGTGAAGTATGGTACATGTGCTTAGCAGACCTACCTCAGAATTTTTTAATTTTCTGAGCAAAGAAATACTCATTCATGTTATATAGAAAGAATAGAAGCAGTTGCTAGAAGAAGATCCAAGAGAGAAAAGAAGGTAATTAAGCTAAATTACCACCCTCTTCTATCTTTGTCTGCTTCCCTCGATCGCCTTGGTGATAGATATCAATTACTGGGTCAAGGAATATTATTAGCTTGATTGGTCAGAAAAAGGAGCTGGTAACCAAACTTTCCCACCAATATTTGTCCAAAGAAAGGTGATGGACCCCCTTCAAACAACAAAGTCCTACCGCAAGGAAAGCAAGGGGCTTCCATTTGACTTAATCAAGACCCTAACCCTGCAAATTAATGTACCAACATTACTCACATTTCTATTCAAGTTTCCATCTTTTTTATAATATAACAAACACAAATCCTCTCTACTACAAGACACGTGTACGTTTTCAACATTCAAGACAATAATAACCCATAGCTATGAGGGTAAATTAGTTCATTTTCATTTATTTTTTTTTTACTTTGAAGAAGGAGAAGAACAAATCCAATGGATAATAAAAAGCCCAAACCCAGAGGGAATAAAATGAGGCGCCGCATCTTTATGTCCCATCTTGTTTTTTTTTTTTTACCTCTCAAAATTACCTTGATTTAGTTAACGAACATTGAATTTATATTCTATAAGAATGTGAATAAGTAACTTATATAATATAAGAGTTATTTTAGTCGTAGTGAATTGTGAGAACCATTTCACTTTACGTGCATGCTCAAGTGTGTGAATGAATGTCACCTTAATTCGGCAATAAGCTTGCTGGGTAGGGAAGATGCCAGACAGGAAGGACCTTGAAACCCTGCTTATGTTTTCAAGACTTTTCTTATATGATTTCTCTTTTTTTATTTATTTATTTTTTCAAATTGAATAATTGAACACAATGGCAGAAAGAGATGTGTTTGATATGTTGTCCACTTGAAGGATTAATTAAATAATTAATTTGAGGAGCTTTTGGCCTTTGTGGTGTCCACTACTTGGTCTTGTATAATTAATTTATGGCGTTGATTAATTAGGGTGTGGCATATGTTATCATACACAATTAACAAGCGTGCCAAGAGGCCATGTTCCTACTTGTATATATCAAGTATAATTTATATCCACAATGTTTCTCATTTCATAACCTTTGATTACTATATAAGAATTTATTTTAATGTTAGTTAGTAGTTGCATACCGGTCGCTCTCTAAAAGGTGTAATATTTCTTAGGCATGTTATGAAGCCATGATTCAAAACAGTGAAAGACATGGCATGATACTAGCAATTATGGTTATTAATCAATCGAATTACGAAAAGGCAACCTTAATCCACATAATCTTGAGACCTAGTCCAGTTAATAAATTTGGGAAAGACGACATCGTACGCGACACGACCATTACCTTAACACCTTTAATCAAGATGTGCACATTTTGACACCATCATTTTAATCGTCAATTTATGGTGGCCTCTTGAGTGAGAGCATACACAAAGGGTATGATCTGGTTGGCAATTTGGAGTGCAGAATTGTGGTGCGAGGGTTGAGAATGAATGAGTTTGAACCCTTTGCAAGCCTACAAAGTACTATAATCTGTTGTGAAATAAGGGAATCGAAAAAGAAAAATATGAATGAGAACACCCCCATTTAGGTTGCAATTTGAGATAGTACTTTGCCGACCAAATATGGTAACGACGATGTTGTTGGAGCATGGATAAGAAATCCATTGCAGAGACAGAAACACGTGAGAGCCAAGTGATTTATTATTTGTTTAGGCATCAATGTCTTAGGAGTCACATTTACTCCATCTTCATGTTAGTTATTTTGCTTTTCGTAAGGAGAAAAAAAATATATACATATAATTGAGCTTCAGATACTTTTTGGGATCGTCAATGTAATATTTGAACTGCTACAAGAGTGTGTGGAATAATTAGTTCCTTGAGATTTTCTTGTGTTTGTGGTGTTGAGATGAATAACAGATTTTGATCCATGCTTGGGTTAAGGATACAAATGGAATCGCTTTTGTGAGCTGTATCGATGACAAAAGAAAGAAAAGACGATACTTAACAAGGAATGTTTAGCAGTTGAAGAATCATTTGGCGCGCTACACATCAAAGATCACAAAAGTTAATTACAATGTCCTGAAAGAGAAAACAGTAAGTGAGTGACTGTAGAAAAGAATTAACGAATTTCTTTTGGGGCAGTTAAAGAATTTCTGGTCCGGTATCATAAAGTCACATTCTACACTTTTTGACTCCTCCACTTTTAGGTCTCATACACATTCACATACCTTGCCTTCAACCATCACAAATATTGATTATAATTAAACTTGAATACTGCAAAAATGTTTAAACATGATCAATTAATTGCAGACATGACATGCGATGACGAGAAGAAGTTGCATTTGCAGAATTGCATGAGGTTGAAGAAGGTATATGAATAAGGTGGAAGATGGGTTTGGATGAAGTTGGAAGAGATTAATCCATAAAAGGTGAAGTGGTTAAGTCCACCATGAGTGGGGTCTTGACGGGTAACACATGTCGGGAGGAATCCTTCAGAATCATGGATGCCAACTTTGTTTAAACCGTGTGGGGTCCATTGATTCACATACTTTTTTTAAGCAGAAAAAAAAAAAAGTAAAAAATAAAAATGGGTCACTTAGAGGAAACCCTTTTTTATTAAAGTCTTTAGGTGGGTCGTCAATTCCATCTCCATCTCCAATCATATCATGTTTTATAGATCTTTGGAATCCCAAGCGGTGGTTAGTTAACATGCTCGTTGGTCACCCATTTAACTAAAGTTAGTATTCAATTCATTACATTATTATTATTATTATTATTATTATTATTATTATTATTATTTTTTATTAATTTTAAATGTTTCCTCAATTTACAAATCGTATAAACATGTTGACAACAGTTATATTATAAGTATATACGTGAAATGTTTCAAAAACATCTCAAAGAAAGCATTTTGTTTTTAAGAAAAAAAAAAAAATTCCGTGAGAGGACGCGGTTTTGGGTGTGGAAGAGAAAAACGACGGCATATTTGTCGTATTGTTGGTAGGGGATCCATGGCTTTGGCATGTGAGGAATTTGAATCGATATTTGGATATTGGTACGTGTCTCCATCTTGTGATTTTGAAAGTGTGATAAAAAAAAAACAACAATCCCAAAATCCAAAAGGGATGTTTTATTGTGCTCTGGGATCTGTAGGGACGATATACCTCGCTAGATTCTTTTGTAGGGTTTATTTTAGGGAAATGAAAATTCTGAAAAAGAAAAGGAGAGATGAATGCAGGTGAAATCTGATTATCTCCATCATCATAACAAAAGAATCTGATCACAGTAATTAGAATTGGCATCATTGTCCAAACAAACACCAAAAGGAATGGTTTTAGCAGTGTCATTAGGCATCAAAATGGAATAAAGTACCTTGGAGTTGGTCCCACACGGTTTCTCTTCAAGCCATGTTACTTATCCTAACAAAATGAATCAATATGAATGGTGCTATCATCCTCACTCAACCCCAAAATTATGCTATTGACTATCACTCGCATTTCACATGCTTTCACGTTTTTTTTTTGGTCGCTAATCACTTGTCATGATAAAGTTCACATGCCTTTAAGACCAAACTTGATTATAAATTCTCTGTGTCCTGTTTCTTTAATGTAATGCTCTTGTCCTTTCCACATTTTTATTTCAAAATAACTTGGGCTTAGAGTGTTCACGTTTTGGGCCTTCTGTGTACGGATTTGGAAAAAAACATTAAACAGTTTTGAATTAATGACGACTCCACGTATCAACCCTAATTCAAGTATCGTAGTCCAACTGCTTCATAGTAACCTAATCAAGCTCCACACAATAATTGATAAAAGGTGATATATGATAAAATAAAAATAAAAATTGGATGAACACTTGAGAGAAGAAAACAAGTTGTGATTGTTTTAGTCAATATATTGGATTTGTGTCACCCATTTTTTGATGACACAAGTCAATCCCTTGATCCGTTTGACATTGAGCGTGAACTAACAATTTGTCTTGAACCTTCTCTTTTCTTCCATGTTTGTGAACGCAGTAAAAGAGAACCCATGGCTAAAATTCGTACAAAACAAAATGTTAGAAACGTAGTCAAAGAAAACAAAACTCGTGTCGCATTTATGCATTCTCTTCCATTCATATTTCGTATTCTATCTTTGATTTTCTTTGATATTTTAGATGGGCTTAGCACACCCATAAATGCCACACAACACAAATAAGTCAATATGTTGTAATATTATTTGGGCCTGCGTCATGGTGGTCAATTATAGAATTGGACATCAACATCCCTCATAAAAAGTGGGCTTGTATTTGGGCTACACTTCTAGTAGTGTAGGGCGCAAGAGGTGCGAAATTGTTGGCTGCTTCCTTATTTCAAGTTTCACAGTTTGAAAGGCTGTTTCTTCATGTATCTCTACAATTTTTTTCGTGCATCCCCATAGTTAATATAAATTCTAGGTTACCCTTATATCATTCACATTTTTTAAATTTATTTTGGGATTAACTGTTCTGGAAATATATCATGCATTAGGTATTTCAAAATATATTTTTAAAAAAATCAATCTAAAAATATATTTTGGATTAAGTGTTTCAAAATGTATTTTTGAATTAACTATTTTGAAGATGCATTCTAGATTAGATATTCCAAAATATATTTCTATAAGAGTGAATCCTAAAATACATTTAAAAATACTCAATTTGAAATACATTTTTTATTTATTATTCTGATAATGTATTCGGATTAGGTGTTTCAAAATGTATTTACGTAAGAGTCAATCTGAAATGTATTCTGAAACACTCAATACGAAATATATTTTTAAAATAGACAATTCAAAAATATATTTTAAAACATTCTATACGAAATACATTTCCAGAAATCTATTTTAGAATATCAAATATGAAATACATTTTTATATTAACTTTTCCATAAATATATTTTAGATCAATAATAATTTAGATCCATATATTCATTTTCAGCCTAATTTTGATGTAATAAGTGCAAAACATTAAAAACTTCTCACGGGTTGAAAATAATCTTTAATGAGAGTAAAATCACACAAAAACAAAATTGAAAAAACTGTAGAGATGCAAAAGGGAAATGGAGGTGTACAGGAGTGAAAGAGAACACAACTTTTATAGTTTCAAACAAAAAGTAGTACAAAGTACATAACGAAGAAAGAAATTATGAGATGCAAGTAGAAGAAGTAGTTTGAAATTGCAGTCATAATATAATTGAGAATGAACTATCCACAGAGGTTGTTTAGTTTTGTTCTCTATAAATTTTAAAATACATGAAGTAATTTCAAAAATTAACAATTTTTAATGAGACAGAATTTTTTAAAAATGAATTTTAGAATAAGTTTATGAAAAAAATTATATTTAGTTCAAAACTGATTTCAAACCTACAGTTTGTTTGAAAAGTATTCAAAATTGATTCATATTTTTTTTTATACAAATGTATCTTAAAAAATGAATTTTAATCTGGAATAATTTCAAAGCTTGATTTAAGCCAAAATTATTTTGAAAAGTAGATAGCCAAGTTTAAAAAAAGAAAAAAGAAAAAAAGAAGAAGAATATATATATATATATATATATATATATATATATATTATTTTAATAATATTTGTAATAACCAGAGTATTCAATATATATGATGTTATTTTTAATGCGGTGACTTAGATTTCAACCAACAACAACTTCAATCATTTGTTGAAAAGTCATGTGTAAACACAACTTGTATGAACCAATGAATTTTGATGTCAATGCTCCTTCATACCATAACTTTTAACTTGAAAAAACCACTTTTAGGAATATGGGCATGCACAAACAATTTATATATATATATATTTCAAGCTATGCAAATGCTAGGTCCCATGGCCTCTTTCGTTCTGAAAGATTTTTTGGATATCTAAATTCTATATATTCTATTCCTTCCCAATTCTGATCTCTTTTCGAACTTTCCAACTGTTTGTTTAAACATCATGTCCAGGTTCATGTCATTCATGGTTTCTGATCTTAGATGTGATGCGAAGCAGTAGCTTTATTTAAGCCACTTATCTAACGTTTATTTATTCATAACAACAGAAAGACCTTCCTGTCCTGTTTTTTTCTGCCCTGTAATGTTGCGAAAGCAATATGATCTACGGTTTCCAACCACTTCACTTGGCCACATTAGCTGTACTATAGCATCCCGTGTGAGCATTTTATCATGTTCTGCTCATTAAAACCATTATGCAATTCTTAATATGATCGATAAAATAATACTCAACAAGGAAAAACCAAATGCACATTGGACCAATCATTTAAGACTACCAAAAGCGGCATAGTAACCGATGCCCCCGCCGAGCTACATGCTCATCCATCGCCATGTGACCTCTGAATCAAACCTAAACATCTCTTCTTTCCATGTTACTTGATTTCTCACCTTCACTAATTAGGGAAGAAGATTTGGATTTCGGAGTTTCAAAGATGCGACCGTTTTCGTTTCAGAGGATTTCTTAAGTTGAATAAATATATCCCCACTTGTTTTTCTCTTGGTGCAAAAACGGAATTTTAACAAACCTCAACCTTTTTCTTCATTTCTTCATTTCCACTTCTTCATAGCCCCGAATAGGAAAGCCTTCACTTAACAACTCCTGCAAAGCTAAGGTTGCTTTCGTTCTGTGAATTTTGTAATTTTTATGTGAAATGTCAGAGCAAAAGAAAACGCCCAAAGGCAGGGTTTTCTATGTCGGGATGAAGCTTCTGCAGAAACCAGGGAACAAGCCTCTACAAGAGAAAAACAGTTTCTTTCATACATATTACAAATGGGTTCTCTGGCTTTCTCTCTCCCTCTATTTCTTCACTTCCTATCTCATCACCAGCAACCCCAACACCAACACACCAACCTCTCGGGATACATCGTCTCATGTTTCAAACTCCGAATCCGACGTCGTCCCTCGTACCATTATGGACTCCACAACCAACACACTAGGTAGTGTAACGTGACACACTGGTCAGCATTTTCAACACTAAATTTGCTTTTTTTTGAAATATTTTTTTACTCGTTTCATTGTAGGGGTGCTGAAGAATATGAAGGTGTTCGTGTACGAGCTTCCTCCCAAGTACAACACCGTTTGGCTCGCGAACAAGCGGTGTGGCAATCATTTATTCGCGTCGGAGGTGGCCATCCACAGGGCACTGTTAACAAGCGAGGTGCGCACGTTTGACCCTTACGAAGCTGATTTTTTCTTCGTCCCCGTTTACGTTTCCTGCAACTTCAGTGCCGTTAATGGCTTCCCCGCGATTGGGCACGCGCGCGCTCTAATTTCTTCCGCGGTCAACCTCGTGTCCATTGAATATCCTTTCTGGAACCGCAGCAAAGGGTCCGACCATGTGTTCGTCGCATCCCACGACTTCGGCGCTTGTTTCCACACCCTGGTAAAAAGTCAATGTGCCACATCGATTAAGTGTAGTGTCTGATAAAAAAGTTTATAGTGTAGATCCTCGAGCGGTTGATTAAATGAATGACCTTTTGTGCTTTGAAGGAGCATGTGGCCATTGCTGAAGGAATACCCCAAATTTTGAAGGATTCGATAGTTTTGCAAACATTCGGCGTAAATCACCGGCATCCGTGTCAAGAAGTTGAGAATGTGGTGATACCGCCTTATGTTTCACCGGAAAGTGTACGGAGAACGCTAGAGAATTTTCCGATGAAAGGACCGCGAGATATTTGGGCATTTTTCCGTGGGAAAATGGAAGTGCATCCTAAAAATATCAGTGGACGGTTTTACAGCAAGTAATTATCGATGACCCCACTAATCATTAGTTAATCTTAAATATTAATTTAATCATTTATTTTTGTTGAAATGAATTGACCGTTTTCTTGTCCCTTATTTATAATGGTGAAGGCGAGTGAGGACGGAGATTTGGCGGAAGTTCAATGGTGACCGGAGATTTTACCTACAGAGGCACAGGTTTAGCGGTTACCAGTTGGAAGTTGCTCGGTCGGTGTTCTGTTTGTGTCCGTTAGGGTGGGCTCCGTGGAGTCCGAGGTTAGTGGAATCCGTGGCATTGGGTTGTGTGCCGGTTATCATTGCGGATGGGATTCGGTTACCGTTTCCCTCCGCCGTGAATTGGTCGGAGATATCGCTGACGGTGGCGGAGAGGGAAGTGGGGAAGTTGGGGAAGATTCTAGAGCGCGTGGCGGCGACGAACCTGAGTGACATTCAGAGGAACCTGTGGGACCCTAGAACGAGGCGGGCCCTGCTTTTCAACAAGGAGGTGGAGGAAGGTGACGCCACATGGCAAGTTCTGGTTAGTTTGAGTGAGAAGCTTGGTAGGTCTTACCCAAGGTCATTGGTTAATGGCCAATTGGAAAGTGACACGTAATGGAGGCGTTGTTTACGACGTGGATTTGGATTGGATACGGTGGTCCTTGTCACGCACTCTGTTGCATTTCATTTGCTTGAAGTGCATGCATGCCCAAGATTGGGTTCGTGGACACAACACCACACCTACCATTTTTTGTGAAATCAATTTTTTGTGTATATAAATTATAGATTGTAGGAGTAGATAAATTATTGTGATTCTTTATTTTACTATATAATTGAAATCTGGGTAAATTTACACTCTCTGAATTTGCAGCGAAATGATTGATTAGTGGGGATGGAGTGGGGTGAGTGTCAGAACTTTAGAGTGTATTTAATGAAACTTTTGGGAAGTAGTGAAGGTGTCAGTGGTCACGGATATGTAATGCTATGCCCTTTCTATGGCTATGCCTGTCAATATCAAACGTTGAAGGTGAGAGAGAATCCAATAAACTATCACATTGTTTCCATCCTGCCCTTTTTGATCGCTTCAATGACCTAATTTAATGTTCATCAATTATTTGTCGAATCTTATGCCTACATTTATTGATCCGCCATGAGTTTTGATTCGTTTAATGACTTCAATTTTTTTATCAGATGTTTCGTCACCTACTTGTTATACAAGTAAATAGGATTCCATTTTTTATTTTTAAATTAATAAATTGGGTAATAAATGGCTTTTGAATAAAAGTTACCATAAATAAGAAATTAAATTTGAAATCGTTTTAATAAAAAATATATGTATTTTGATTATCTATTGTTTGGACATAAATGGGTCTCACATACCATAGCCGGGCTGGGCTTTTGGGATTCGAAGCCCACATCTCTCTTTCTGGCCCATGTATGTACCTCGTTCAAAGTCCTTCCCTTTGCTAACCCAATCATTGTTCTTTGCAGTGCTTCTCGTTTGATTTCATCAGTCAGTTTTCCTCAGATTTTGTTTATTGGGAGATCAACCTTCTTAATGTGTTTATTTTGCACATTCAAAATTCATTTCTTAGAATATGAATTTTAATGACTGTAATAAATAAATAATAAAGTTTTCGTGATAAATTTTAATAGACTTGGTGATAGATTTTTATCATTAATTTTCGTGATAAATAATATATTATTAATAAATAAAATAATAAAAAAGATAAGAGGATAAAATTTTAAATATATAAATAAATATATTAAATGATTATCATATATGAGGGGTCAAAATTATAAATTATATGAGAATTATTAATATAAGGAAAGAGTAAGTGAATAAAATTGTAAATATATAAATAAATATATTAAATGATAATTAAGTTTAAGGGTAAAAATTATAAATTATATGGAAATTAAAAGGCTTTGAAGAGTTATAACCCCTCGGTTCCAAAAATATTTGTCACTCTTTTCACTCACGAGAAATGTATAATTGTGGTCCCGCATACATGCAGTGAATCCTTCGTTGTAACATCCTACCTTATAAACCCTTTGTCAGAAGAATTAATAATTTTTAGTGAGAATTTTTTTTTAAATCAATAATAATCTTTCCCTCATATATAATATTAATATATTAAATCAATGCATTAATCGTAAAAATAAACTTTAACATATAAATTTTCAATAACCCATTCCTACATTTCATCATTTTAGAAAGTACTAAAAGTAAACATTCATAATTACATATAGATAAAATACTAGTACAGTCGTTCAAAATATTGAGGGTAATATTGGGGATAACTTCCTACAGAACAGTAAGCTACACAAAAGAGTGACTACTACCAGTATCATGTAGGTCTATGTACTACAAAAGGCTGCCTATAAAAGTTCGAATATGTTTATCCCAATACATGTTGCCATTATTGTGGCTCCCAACTAATGAGTATGAGTGTCATATTCATCGGGTGTGGAATCTGTGTCATCTCCCTTCTCTTTAAACAATGACCGATCAAGTCTAACGAGTACTGCAAGTACAGAAGAAATAAAAAAAATAGAAAGACAAGAGGGTGAACAACAGTTCATATATCATCTTAAAATCAAACATCATAAACATTCACAAGTCAATCAAAATCTAAATGATTGATATTAATGATGTATGATTCTAATATGTTTTCTAAAATGTTTATGCATGCGGGCCTAATCATTTCTCAAATTAGTATTAGGGTAGCCAGGAGTTGACACTACTAGGTATGGAAAATCCACCCCACAGGATGGTTGAGACCCATGCTCAAATATAAACCCAGCAGCTCACTGACCATTGATATACGGTAAGAGCACAGTCAGGTACAAAAGAGTTTGTACGGTGGGATCCCTGACAACAGGTAATGAGTCTGGGTCTTTTGGGGCCTCCAACCACTACCCTTCCTATCCTCAAGTCCTCCCTCAGGGTCTCCCTATCGTATTCTCAAAGTCCATACTTTCTGATTCCCAAAATTTCACAAATAACCTGTTACAAGCAGAAAACTTCCAATACAGTTAAAAAAAAAGAGGTTCACAACCCATCATCCAATTCTTTCAATTTAATTTTCAATGAACTTTCTCATAAAAAAACCACCATGCATATAAATGTTCACTCAAAGACAATACATATCATAATAGAGTAGCAAACATGTATTTTACACCATTATACATGTAAGCAATTCATTATCACTTTCACAACCAAACATATAATGAAATCAAAATTATTAATCATAACAAATTTAGACAACTTCAACAAATAAGGTCAAACAAGTTTATGATGTAATCCTTACTATATAGTCCACCATTTACCTGATACGTCAATACTTATTCCTTTCAAAGCTTGATGTTGTGTTTCAGCAAAATCTATATACGTAATAAAATACTAATTAAAATTTATATTTCTATGTTTCTATCTCATGAGAATTTAAATTCACTTTGTGTTGCTAATCGATTTCTAATAATATTTTAAGCTCATATTTAACTTACAATTAACTTAAAAAATTATTATATTTCGTATGCACTTAGAGTATAAAGAATCCTATAGCAAACATGGACAATGTTCAGTATTTCAAAGTTTTCTAAAGTTATATAAGCTGTTTTGGCATGAGGTTTGAGCCAAAATTTCAATAACTTAATTTTCTATAATATGGATGAAGGAAATAAATTCAAATACCCTATAGAATACTTGAAGAGCATAGTAAAATTTATGCATTATTTTCTCATTTTTACTCTATTCAAGATTTGAATCCAAAACCCCTAAGACTCAAGCATTAGGCCAAACCATATCAATCATCATATGTTTCTTGTTAACTCATACACATAGTAAAGTTTTAATGTACCCACACTCAATGCATATAAGAAAACAATAATTTCTAAATGTAACAATTAAAATTTGTTAAGTTCCTAAGCATACTCCACACACATGAGTATTTTCTAACAATTATAAAATAATAGAAAAATTATAATTGTTCTAATGTACATACAAGAATTGAACTCATGACCCTCAAAACTTATGACAAAGGCCTAACCAAATGATCCACTCTTCATATCTACAATATTATTAAATTCTTAATTTAATTACTTCTCTTACTTTCACTTTCTATCTTAAAACATATCATTACTATGTGGCGTCCAGCTGCCCGTAAAACGGGTTAATTTTGAGTATTTTCTAAAAATTCTAGAAAACTTTTAGAAAATCATAAATAATCTAATAAACATAAAACTCTACAATCACTTTACCTAATTCCTAATAATTTAATTATTAAAATTTTAACAAAGATTTTGCCAAAATTTAACAAACTAGGAGTACTCGAGAATTAAGATGTTACACTTGTAGTGTTTAGAGACTAATGGTATGATGTGTGTTAGGGTGGATAGTGTGACCGAGAGATTGATTCAGAGAGGCAGAGATAATTCATTATAGAGGAGAAAAATGATTCTCAGTTCACAAGGAATTGATTATCCGAAAGTTGATGAAATAAGAATTGATTCTCGCTTAGTTTGAAAGTATTTGAGAATCTATTTTCTGGTGGTTTGATGGATTGGATTGGAATATGTAATTCATGGATCAATTTGCTTATATAAACAAGTGTGAAGTGGACTGATCCATTTTATCATCTTAAATATATTTATAAAATAATTTGTTAAAATTTAGTTATACTCATTCATTATATTTATAAGAGAAATTTAGAAAAAATATATAAAAAAGTATAATCCTTTCCTTATATAAATCATGTTATTGAGTTTAACTATTTTTAGTGTACAAGAGATAAATTGAAAAAAAAATTAAAAAGAAGAAAATTATAAAAATGAATAAGTAGATACATAAATTTTTATTTGTTGGATTGAATATGAAAAGAAAATTATTTTTTTATTATATATAAAGAATATGACAAAGTAACATAATTATATTTTTTTAATCTATTATAACTTTATTTTTTTCTTTTAATTATACAAGTAAATAACTAAGCCAATATTATTAAAATAATAATAAAAATATTAATTATAAGTAAATATTTTATATTTTAAAATCTCTCGTACCATCTAACACTTGGTTTGTTTCCGCAAAAGTAATGTTGACATGAAAGGAAAAACAATAATTATTGGTGGAGAGTGAGACTCATGAACCCCTCGTATATGAGGAGAGGAGAAGAACGAAGAAATAAAAGGAAAGAAGAGTTGAATGATCATCTTACCCTCGTCTCACTCATGTGAAATCCATACTTATGGTTCACGTGGCTTTGCATGCATGTATCGAATCCTTGCAGTTTCAGAGACCGTTGGGATGGTGCGTGTGATATGCATTGGGGCGGAGAGTGACGAGAGATTGACTTAGATAATTTATTGTGGAGGAGATAATCAATTCTTGGTTCATAGAGAATCGATGATCTGAAAGTTAATGAAACAAAAATCTATTCTGGCTTAGTTTGAAAGTATTTGAGAATCAATTTTCTCTTGGTTTGAATGGATTAGATTGGAATATGTAATCCATGGATTAACCCTACTCTATCTCATTTAAGATACCAAATTATTGGATTTTTTAACTAAGTTTTCAGCTACAGTGATATTGTTATAAGTTGAGATGAGTATGCAATACTCTTTCACACCACACGTTCATAATAAATTACTAAATTTTTGTATTTATAGTATCTTCTTTTTGTTCTATGATTTCAGTATAAGATTTGATTACTAGAAGATGACTCAAACTTGGCCACAAGGGTTTTGCTTGCATAAACAATATGAAGTAGACTAATCTGTCTTATCATCTTAAATATAGTTATAAATAAATTTGTTAAAATTGAGTTATACTCATTTATTTGTATTTATAAGAGAAAGTCTGGAAAATATAAAAAAAAGTATAGTTCTTTTCTTATAAATCATGTTATTGAGTTTAACTCTTTTTCGTATACAAGAGAAACATTGAAAAATAAAAAAAATTGTAAATTTTAAAAGAAGAAAATTATAAAAATGAATAAGTAGATAGATAAATTTTATTTGTTGGATTAATATGAATAGAAAATTATTTTTTTATTATATATAAAGAATATAACAAAGTAACCTAATTATGTTTTTTTAATCTATTATAAAACTTTTTCTTTGATTTTTTTCTTCTTTTAGTTATACAATAAATAACAAAGTAATTATTATTAAAATAATAATGAAAATATTAATTATAAGTAAATATTTTATATTCTAAAATCTCTGTTACAATCTAATACTCTCTATTTCCGTAAATGTGCGGTTGACACGAAAGGAGTAGCGCAAATTGTTGATATTTATATCTATTAATTTGAGCAGAAATGGACATATGGATTTGAGTGAGACTCAACCCCCTCATATATGAAGAGAAGAATGAAGAAATAAAAGGAAAGGAGAGGTGAATTACCTTTTTACTCTCATCTCACTCACGCAAAATCCATAATTGTAGTTCATGTGGCTTTGCATACATGTAGCGAATCTTGTAGTGTTCAGAGACCGATAATATGGTGTGTGTGATGTGCATTGGGGCAAAGAGTAACTGAGAGAGGTAGAAATAATTCATTGTGGAGGAGAGAACCGATTATCTGTTTACAAAGAATTGATTATCTAAGAATTGATGAAAAAAGAATCGATTCTCGCTTAAATTGAAAACATTTCTCTTGGTTTGAATGGATTGGATTGGAATATGTAATTCATTGATCAACCCTACTTTATCCCATTCAATATACTAAATTATTGGTATTGGTTAACTAAGTTTATAGCTACAATGATTTTTTTTTTTTTTGAATTTTTTTCTTTTAACTATTCAGGAAATAATTAAGCAAATATTATTAAAATATTATTAAAAATATTAATTATAAGTAATATTTTATATTCTAAAATCTCTCGTACAATCTAACACTCTGTTTGTTTTCTCGTAAATGTACGATTGATGCGAAAGGAAGAGCGTGAATGATTGGTGGTTCCAATTTGAATAGAAATGCAAAAATGAATTTGAAGGAGAGTGAGTCTCTTGAGCCCTCTGGTATATGAGAAGAAGAATGAAGAAATAAAAGAGAAAGAGAGTTGAATTATCTTCTTACCTTCGTCTCACTCACGTGAAATCCATACTTTGGTTCACATGACTTTTGCATGCATGTAGTGAAATACTTACAAAGTTCAGAGGCTGATGGTATGTTGTGTGTGTGATATGCGTTGGGCGAAGAGTGATCGAGAGATTGACTGAGAGAGACAAAGATAATTTATTGTGAAGGAGAGAATTGATTATTGGTTCATAGAGAATCGATTATCTGAGAGTTGATAAAACAATAATTAATTCTCGCTTAGTTTGAAAACATTTGAGAATCAATTTTTTTTTTGTTTGAATGGATTGGATTGAAATTCGTAATTCATGGATTAACCCTACTCTATCTCATTCAAGATACCAAATTATTGGTATTGGTTAACTAAGTTTACAACAACAATGGTATTGTTATAAATTGAGATGAGTATGCAATACTCTTTCACACATCACATTTTGATTTTTGTATTTATAGTATTTTTTTTCTATGATTCCAGTACAAGATTTGATTACTGGAGGATGACTCAGACTTGACCACGAGGGTTTTACTTGCATAAACCGTGTGAAGTTAACTGATATGTTTTATCATGTTAAATACATTTATAAATTAATTTGTTAAAATTGAGTCATACTCATTTATTTATATTTATAAGAGAAAGTTAGGAAAATATAAAAAACAAAAAAATAAGTATTTTTTTTCTTATAAGTCATGTTATTGAGTTTAACTCTTTTTCGTTTACAAGAAAAAAATTAAAAATAAAAAAATAAAAGAAGAAAATTATAAAAATAATAAATAGATATATAAATTTTTATTTATTGGATTGAATATGAATAGAAAATTATTTTTTTATTATATATAAAGAATATGACAAAGTAACATAATTATATTTTTTTAATCCATTATAAACTTTTTCTTTGATTTTTTTTCTTCTCTTAGTTATACAAGTAAATAACAAAGCAAATACTATTAAAATAATAATAAAAATATTAATTACAAGTAGATATTTATATTCTAAAATCTTTCTTATAATCTAATACTCTCTCAATTTTCGCAAATGTGCTATTGATATGAAAAGAAGAAAAGAAAGTGTTGATGTACATATGGATTTGAGGGAGAGTGAGACTCTTAAGTCCCCTCCGAGGAGAAGAACGAAGAAATGAAAGAGAAGGAGAATTAAATTACCTTCTTATCCTCATTTTCAATGGTAGATCTTGACCATTGATTATGGAAGAGTTAAATAATATATAAGAAGATAGATGAAATGGTTAGAAGATAAAATCATAAATATACAAGTAAATATATTAAATGATTATTAAGTTTGAAAACTTAAAATTAAAAATTATATGAGAGTTACTAAATAAAATTATAAATATATAAATAAATAGATTAAATGATTATTAAATTTAAAGAATCAAAATCGTTCATTATCCCAGAGTTATAAAATTTTAAGATCAACATGACTCCTTTAGTTCCAAATAAATGTCATTAGACCTCGCATTAATTAACTTTATAAAAATAATCAAAACATAAATTGAAGATGGCGTGAAAGTAATTACAATCATATAGTTAAAGAATGTAGTGTGTGATTTGCGTGAAGAATATACATGAATAACTTTTTTCCAGTCTTAACAATGCTTGAAAGTTTGAAAAATGGGGGATCGTAATGCATTGTTCTCCCCCTAGATGCCTTTTGAAACCCTAAACACATTCATTCATGTGACATTTGACAATGCCCCAAAGAGACAAGGAATAGTACGACAAAGTAATGTTTCTGGTCACTCACAAGATGAAATAGAAAGCCAAATATTTGTTTTTGAATAATTATTTTCATGGAGTCACAGATTGAATAATTATTTTGGTTGTCCAATTCAGCAACAAAAGTCCACAAGGTTCTTTCTTTCCCACAGCTTACTTTCAGAGGGACAAAGGTCCCTTCTCTCATTTCTGGAATCTAAATACGAATTAGGAAAGCATCCAAATAGATTTATTTTCACAGGAAAAAGACTAATAACAGTACATCACATTACACAAACAACAAAAACATCACAATGTTTGTGGGGTACAAACAACATAGTTTCAGAAACAACAAAAACATCCCAATCTTTTTTTTGGGGGGGGGGGGGTTGGACGCTCACTGTTCTTGCAATTACACTTACCATCAGCAAGTGGGACCATCACAAAATCCACCCCATGAAGTAGTATGTGAAAAGTAAAAAATCAACTTTGAAACACACCAACTTCAACCAAACCAATTATGTGGCGTGTATTTTTCAAAGCAACAATGATATTCCTTATTCAAGTTTCCAATTGTGCATTAAAAATTATAAAAGTGTTTTCCCAACTTTAATCCAGCTATGTCTTAAACCTTAGCATTCTGGAGTAAGGGTATGGTCTCTCCCAGGATCATGGCAATAGTCATAGACCAAGTGGTTGTTTTGGACCCATTGCATTGTAGCAAGTTGCTGAGGGCTCAGGCTTCCATAGCCTGATGGTGAGGGTGATGGTGGCTGGCATGAGGTGGTGGCTTCTGTGGTGCAACCTTGAAGTTTGAAGTTTTTGTATTGACCAGTGAAGGGTTGGTATTTATAATCAGCTTTGTATTTTCCACCCTCTGTAGCCCATGAAGATGCATCCCATATAGATCCGTACACATACATTTCTCTTGTGGGGAAAGTGGCGTCACTCTTCCTAGGATACCTTCTTATTGGGACATCATCCACCAAAAATCTGCATATATTATTCCCAGCGTAAGATAATATTAAATTACTAAAACCAGTAAGCAACATACAAAATCCAGATTCTGCTAGATTTTATCATAACCAACCTAATCCTGTGAAAAATATATTGTCGTCCCATAATAAGCTATGAATGATTGAGTGATGAAAAAAAAAAACAGCTCCATGCACAGTTACTCTCACTTTGACAAACATGATAAGAAAGATAATAGGTATATTTTAAAGGGGACCATATTCCATTATTGTATAGAAATGGTCTTTTCAGTGAAATATTTTAACCTAGGCTATTTGCTTAATTGGGCTAGCTAGATGGTTCATCAAATATTCACAAGAAATTTATAGTAAGGGCTTGAAGGTAGATTTATTGGAAAATTTATGAGTATCATGGTAGTGCATGAAAATATTACATGATCTCAGTGGGTTCCCATAGAATGGCATAGTTGTGAAAATCTTCTGTTGGGTCGAACCAAAGGTGAAACCTCATCTCTCTCCCTATGATATTCCCATCTCCACTTCCTCTAATGTATACATTTGTCTGCAAGATATATGGCTTATCTGGCGTGGTACCAAGGAACTCAATGTCTATTTCATCATGGTTTCCGGGGTAGTCTTGGTTGTTTGAAAGCTACAATTCCCAAATCAAACAGCAAAGAAAAGCGATGAATAACCGCACATAGTAAAAGATATGTTCAATTTTCAACATTATCTCAAGCTATAGATTAATCCTCACGTATAAAGATGTTATGACTCCTGCAGTATAACCAGGTTGAAGCTTAATCGCAGCACCAAAGTATCCAGATCGGTAAGAGCGAAGTGACTTGAATCCACTCCCTGTGTTTCAGAAAGGTGCTAGTGAAGAGGTAGTAACTACTAACAAGTGATGGTGAATAAACGGGGCTTAAGATTTTGATAAAATAAAAAATAAAAAAGCATATGTAGTTGTATTTAACTATTTAGCTGGGTGTTTAAGTGAGACATTTTACATACCTGTGTAAGTGTCAAGCCAGATTGTTAATGAGTCTTGGTCTAGTTTCTGATGCTGAGGTCCCCAAAGGTTTCTAAATCCCTCACCAAAGGTAACAGGACTAATTTTGGAACTGGGGTAGTAGCCAGGGGAAGGTGGACCCTGAGCAGTACTATAACGAATCACGATTGAGAATAAAAGAAGAGAGAAGAGAAGATCCATGTGGAAGAAAGACAAAGGTAGAAATGGCATTGTAGTAACCTGAGTGGCTCTGCTAAGATGCAGGTTGGGACAGAAGATCAAAAGGGTAGTTGGTTGTGCTAATGAAGAGTACGAGTACACTGTTATTATATAGAGGGATTTGGTGGCCCCACAGTGCCAAAAACGGCGATAACTTAGTTGAACAAGGAGTTGTGTACACGGGGACTAGAGTTTATCAGGTTTGTGACGATAAACAAGAGGCGCAAACACTTCAATCTGTGGTGTGTGTTTTTTTTATTTTCATTTCCTCTTGAGCAGGAACTTCCTTTTGAAGTAAATACATGTTTGCTATGCTCTGTCAATTGCGAACGAGAAGAAAACTTGGAGGACGAAAGACACATTAACTGTTACTTTCGTGACATACTTTTGAAATGTGACAAAGATGTCAAAGATAGGTTTAGACATGAATGGTTCTCCTTATCAAAAGCTTTAAATGTTACCACACAACACTTGGACAAAGCATATGATAAAGAGAAAAACGTCCTGAACTTATGTTTAGGGCGATGTGATGTGCCTTCATATTGACACATCAATGAGAGCTATATATCTTCTGGTACTCCACACCTCTAATATTTTCTAGCAACTGTAGTGTAAGATCTGAAACAATTAACCAGTACATTTAGAAACTATTATTTTGGTATTGTAAAATCAAATTCATGAACTTGTAACGCGTATTTGCAGTAGAGTATAAAAGGGTTTAATAATTGGAGGACTTGTTTCTAGTCAACACTTACAGAGGAACTTATAACCACCATTAAATTTACCATGCTTTTATTATTTTCATAATTGGCACGTCTATTTCAAGCGTCTTAAATTTTCTTTTATTCTTACAGTTCATTGTGTCTGCAACATCTACAACCTTGGAAACCTTCCATGATGTAACCTTACAATAAACTTGTGGGTGTTTTTCTCTATGCTTTCTGCTCATGGTCTTCTGCTTATCATAAAAGGCAACAAGATCAAATCTCAACAACCTGGATCATTAAATAATGTAAGTTGAGAGTTTTGTAAACATGAAAAGAAAGTCTCAGAGTCCATAAAGTGAGGATTACTCCTACGTTATTTTCTGACAAATAATAGTGAGGTGACAAGATTAGACCTAATGGTGTTGTATTGTGGGAAGAAGAAAAGCAATCCAGAAAGGATTAGGATGCAGTTCATGGATTTAGTAAATTAAAAAAGTAAAGAAAACAATTTTACTACGCAAGTGGTTGTCCACGTTCTTCCTCATCTATAAAGGAAACAGAAGTGCATATCCCTTGTGTTTCGCAGCTCTGTTTCTTCTACGATTTATGAAAGAAGATAGTTTTCAATCCTTTTCCCTTCATTTGGAAAGGAAACGTATCCTACTACTAAGATTTTATGTTTATCTAATTTAAGACCAATTCTTCCAAATTGTTTGTGTTTTTGTAACGAAGTTGTTTTTACTTAAAAAAATTTGAAAGATTATAGAAACTAAAAATCATTTGTTAGAATTGTTTTCATACAAACTATTTATGAAAAAAAATAAAATAAAAATAAAAAAAATATATATATATATATATATATTTTTTTTTTTTGAAATGAATAATACGAATGGTGAATTGGTTGTAGAAACATAGATGTTTGTTGGTGGGTATGCCCTACAACACTGGTCCGAGTGGGTGTCCTTGGTTCTGGTCAGAAAGCAAGAAAGTGTAGCAAAATTCATGTAACATGTTATTGTGCACCATCAAAATTAAAGACAATGAGACTTTAAAATGTATAATGTGATGGAACATTTCGTGTAAATAATTTTAGGGACCATGTCGTGTTCTTTTCAAATCTCCCAACCCGCAAACAACGTACAATTGACCTCTATGTTTATTTATTTTATATATAAAGTTTTTAATTTAAAATTAATGAAAAAATCTATTCTAAATAATCGTTTATACTAATTAAAAATCCTAGATTAAAATACGAGTCAATTTAATATATAAATAAGATATACACTTTATTTAATAAACTAATTTTATAAATTTGAGTTAAACAATATTTCATTTATAATCTGTTTTATTAATCATAAAAAAATTAATCCAAAAATTATTTATTTCATCCAATAGCGGAAACTAATTCTGTTTATTGTAACAAGTCTCAAATCGGGAGGTCTCTTTACCAAGGGGGTTTATAAGGTGGGAGGTTCTCCAACCTTGGGCTGACTTTTGAGAGATGATTCTTCTCCTTAGTTTTATGATTATTATATTGGTGCTTTCATTGAGAGTCAGCCAACTCGAGAAGGGCTACCCACGGAAGGTTTTGACCGGCAAAAAAAAGGCCAAGTGAAGTACCGAGAAGTACAACCATTTTCAAAGGGGGCTTTTGAGGCACGAAGAGTTCTAACCACCAGAGGATTCTGACCGGCAAAAAAAGGCCGAGTAAAGTACTGGGGAGTGCAACCATCGAGGATACTGGCTTTCGAAGGAGACTTTTGAGGGATGGTTCCCCTCCTTAGCTTTATGATTATTACATTGGTGCTTTCATTGAGAGGTAGTCAACTCGAGAAGGGCTACCCACGGAGGGTTCTGACCACCGAAGGATTCTGACCGACAAAAAAAGGCCGAGTGAAGTACCAGGGAGTGCAACCATCGAGGATGCTGGCTTTCAAAGGAGGTTTTTGAGGCACGAAGGATTCTAACCATCGGAGGGTTCTGCCCAGCAAAAAAAGGTCAAGTGAAGTAGCGGGGAGTGCAGCCATCAAGGATGCTGACTTTTGAAGGGGGCTTTTGAGGGATGGTTTCCCTCCTTAGCTTTATGATTATTACATTGGTGCTTTCATTGAGAGCCAACCAACTTGAGAAGGGCTACCCACAAAAGGTTTTGACCACCGAAGGGTTCTGACCGACAAAATAAGGCCGAGTGAAGTACCAGAGAGTGCAACAATCGAGGACGCTGACTTTCAAATGGACTTTTGAGGCACAGAGAGTTCTAACCACCAGAGGGTTCTGACCGGCAAAAAAAGGTCGAGTGAAGTACTGGGGAGTGCAGCTATCGAGGACGTTGACTTTCGAATGGGGCTTTTGAGGGATAGTTTCCCTCCTTAGCTTTATGATTCTTATATTGGTGTTTTTATTGAGAGTAAGTCAACTCGAGAAGGGTTACCCACGAAGGGTTCTGACCACCAGAGGATTATGACCGGCAAAAAAAGGCCGAGTGAAGTACTGGGGAGTGCAGCCATCGAGGACGCTGGCTTTCAAAGGGGGCTTTTGAGGCACAGAGGGTTCTGACCACCAGAGGGTTCTAACTGGCAAAAAAAGACCGAGTGAAATACCAGGGAGTACAACCATCGAGGACGCTAACTTTTGAAAGGGGCTTTTGAGGGATGGTTCCCCTCCTTAGCTTTATGATTATTATATTGGTGTTTTCATTAAGAGTCAACCAACTCGAGAAGGGCTACCCACGGAGGATTCTGACCGGCAAAAAAAGGTTAAGTGAAGTATCAGGGAGTGCAGTCATCGAAAACGATGACTTTCGAATGAGGTGATATTGTAACAAGTCAGAAAAACCTTATAAAATGAGAGTTGGACTCGACTTTTGAGGGATGATTCCCCTTCTTAATTTTATGATTATTATATTTATAGTTGTTCATTTGATATATCTTTACAAATTCATAGATTGAATATCAAATTTCTACCAAAAAAAATATTTCCTCTAATTCCTTTAAGGTTGATTACACAAATCAATATAAATATTATTGTTTATTATTTTTAATAAATTTATTAATTTTGTATTAATATTTGTATCATTTAAAAACTATCTGCTTTAACTAAAATATTTTTAAATAATTTGGTATCTCTTATTTTTTATAATAAATATAAAAAAAATAGAGATATAATTGATAGAAAAATAATTAATACAATTAAAATTATACACGCGTTATATATTTTGAAAGAAAATTTTCTAGATAAGATATATATCATTGTTTGTTTTGAAAGAATTTTTTCTACGTAAAATATATATTTTGATACAGAGAAAATAATTGGGTTAATTTTTAGACTGAATCTTATTATTGAAACGAAATAATAATGATAATAAAAAAACCCAGTAGTTGCTTGAATAAAATAAAAGCCCGTAACCACAATTAAATGATTAGTTTATAGGAAAATATAATTATTTTCTTTGCATGTGGATGACTGAGAAATACTCTACGTTGTTGTTGGCTAAACATAAAATGAATACATTTAGATTGAACCTTTTATATAAATAATCTATTTTTTTTATTTTGCAATAATTTAAAGTTGTTGTTTTTAGTTCTAATAAAATAAATGAAATTTTGTTTTGATTCCGGTAAAATGTTTTTTAAAATATTTTAATCTTAAATCATTGTTTTTTTTATTTATTTTATTTTTAATGGTCTTATTATATATTATTTTTCACATGATTGTACATTGTTGATGATATTTGGTACGTCAACTATGCTTTCGTAATGACGTTTATATGTCTAAAAAAGTAAATCCTAAATTTATTAGTTTTTTAAAAACTAGATCAATTTTAATTTATTATTTTTTTAAACATTAAATCCTAAATTCTAACCTCTAAATCTTTAAAATTTAATAAAGAACAAAATTAATAAAAAACAAAAGATAAGAATTATATGTTGTAATTATCTTCTTTGTTTTAAAACAAAAAGGAAAGAGTGGAAAACAATCGTACGCCACTACTCTTCATTTTTTTTCTTTATTTTCTAACTATTTCTCAGGGAAAAACATTAAAATAGTGTAATTTTAAATCTAAATTACTAATTTAAAATATTTTTTAAATCACTTAAAATAGTGTTTGATAACACGATTTCAGTTTTTTTTAAACAGTAAAAGATAATAAAAAATAAATAAAAAAAAACTAAAATCGTACTTGTAATTACGACTTCCTGTTTTATTAAATCGTATTATCAAGCATAATTTATTCATTTACGTAATTTTAAAAAAATATCTAAAATTATTAATTTATATTTAAAATTGTACCATTTTGATTTTTTTTTTGTATTTCTCATATTTATTCTACTTGTTTACATTTCTCATTTCATGAATTTGTTTCTAAAGAGATTATATTTAAGTAATTATAATTATAATTATAATTATAATTATTTTATATTTTAGAATCGTGTTCTATCGTACCAATATGAATGCATGAAATTGAAGTACACGGGGTTTGCTAATGATGCAATGAATGAGATAAGAAGAATAATAATAATTGCAGAAGTTGATTAAGAAATTGCATGTCATTGGGTTTTCTTGGCCCATATGCATTTCAGATTCTAACCCATGGAGATCAGGTATGAATTATTGTACCAACAATACATTTTTTTGTTTTTTCTGCTTACCTTAATTACCATCTTTATTATTTCTTTTTTTTCCCCATTTTGTGCTGCATAACACCATTGGATAATGAAAGCGATTAATTTTAATTTATATATCCCTATTAAGGGTTAGTTATAAATCTCATGCTTAATTATAATACTTTTTTGAAGAAATTGGGCTCAATAATTATCATCATAGAAACAAACACGTAATTTTTTAATAATTATATTTTGGCATGTTACATGTGGGGTATAGTAAATTAGGGAGAGGATTAATAAGAGTATACGCCGAAATCATATATTAGATGATAAATGCTTAAATTTTTTTAATTATTCCATCAATAATTTAATAAATCAAAATAAATAAAGAGAGAAAATATGAGAGAATGGTATTTTTAAAATTTACAAAAAAAATTTAAAATGAGTTACTTAAAAATATATAACATTATAAATTCTTATTATACAAATTTTTAAAATAAGAAACAGTAATTTTTTTTAGTTGAATATATATATAACAAGTTAGAATTAGAGTGAATATAAAAATTACCTTGACATATGAGTTAAAATATTGATATTTTAATTATTGTTATAAATTATATTTCTAAATCTATTTTTGAATGGATAGTTATAAAAATTATTCTATAAAAAAAGAAATTTCAAAACCAAACTCATAAATCAATTATGCAATTATTTTGGCGTGGAATATTATATATTTGGATCCATAGAGAGAAGAAAAAGCCTATTCGTATTTCTGGGCTCAGTTTATGGCTAGTCCAAACTGTACTACTGAGCCTACACAAGGCCCAACAGAAATTGTTCATTTTGGACCAATATTATCCGTTCCATAGTTTAATCTTGAACTACTTTCTTGATTAATTTAATGACGTTTGGATTTTAAGTGTTGCGAAGATATTGCATTTAAAAATGATGATTCTGTTGTGTTGGTAAGGTCACCATATCTCTAAAAGCTCTATAGGTTTTGTCTGTCATGAAAATACTTTGTGGTGATTTTTGAAC